ATTTGGGGGTGTTTCGTTTTGTGCGTTGTGTGGTTATGGGGGGCCAGGTGGGAGATGTTGATTGGATGTTGAAGTTGTGATTGTTGTTTTGTACTCAGGAGAACAATTGCAGTGCCTTCCTGTTTCAGTACTGTGGCGTTCGTTTAGTAACCTCGAACACACAAAGCAGACAAGTGCTGCAAACCCTCACTGTTACGAACCGGACAAACAGGGTGGTTACCACGTGCATGTTAGAAGCACGGCAGACGCGTGACGAAACGAACGAACCTCAAGCGAAATAAGGTTTAGCTTACAGTCCCAAAGCACAAGGCAACCGGGAGGGGCTCTAACGAGCATCAGGTGTACTGAAAATAATGCAGGCAACATAGCAGAGGGCGGGCTTGAAAAATCCAATGAACCACAGTGAGGGGGTCAAATTTCTGTTTCGCACTCGGTCAAGCTTTCACACGGGGAGAAATTGTACACACCCGCAGCACTGCCCAGCGAAACTTGCGAAGTTTTCCCGGAACAAATTCGTGCGGGTGTGTTTTAGTGTTGACGAATTCAAAATAACCCTAGAACCCACAACTCCGGACCGAACCTAGCGCGTCCCTCCCTAGGTTCAAGAAAGGAAAAAGATACCGCCGGTGAATTTACCGCGGGCTAGGTGTACCTGACGCCTCCCTCAACCGAACAAAAGCAGGTTGAAAGCAGATCTCTTGCAAGGCGTGCTTTCTTCACCTAGAATCAACTCTGTCTGCCACCCACGCAGCACGACAAATGGAGTTTTCGCGCGTAACCATTTTGCACCCGACGGTTCAAACTGCGGACCGTCAGTGCTGGCGAAAAGTAACCCACTTCGCATAATCTCGTTACTAAACTCGCTTACGTGTTGGCGACGTCGCCAACAAAACGGACTGTCGTGACACTTTTTCACATTTTCAACTGTCCGCGATGTGAACCTTGGACAGTCCGAAACCCAAACGGACGGTCCACCAGTCATGGCTAGATATTGGCAGGCGAAAATCAATATACAGTAACTTCTTACGATTGGCCGACGATTTTTTTTTTTTGGAAATTCGAAAATTAAATTACGAAGATACAGAGGCCCTAACGAGGCTACAAGGATCGCAAAAAACTACAACCCCAAAAAAGTGTCACACTTGCCTTCGCCGAAAATAGCTCAGCGGACAAGCGAGTCCGCCCGGCGGAGCGCGCTGCCCGCGGGCAAAAAAAATAAACCCCAGACGGGCATGCATCCGGTCAGGGAGCCTCAACCCTAAACGCGGGGAGGCATGGTGTTTAGGGTTGAGGCTCCCTCGGATGGCATGCCATCCGATGGGGGTTTAGTTTTTTTTGCTGCCCGGGGCAGCAGGTCGACACAGGTCGACAGGCTTGTCGACCTGATTCCGCTGAGCTCTTCCGGACTGTACGAAGTTCTAAAATTTCACATCGGACGGTCCCGTTCGCGATAAGAGGACCGTCCGCTTCGATATGAGCGGACTGTCCGTCAAAAACGAAAAATGCAAAATGGTTACGCGCCTTTACGGAGCCTTACCTGTGTGACAGCTCCCTCAGGGCGCAGCCATGGCAGATTCTTCGCTGCTTCCCAGCTGGCGCATTCACACGCATGCGGCGAGCCTCTCTGTCCTCTCATCGCATCCCTTGTCTGGGAATCCTGGACAACGCGCGGATGGAGGAACCTAGAGGACCGACTCGCAGACCAATTCTTTGTCGTGTGTCGCGAGAGCAGAACAATGCTGCATAGCAACAATAGAATACATGTAGGTGCGTCTAGGCCATCACTTCATTCGCTAGGTCTAATGCTGCTGCCAAAGCGGGCTTCCCGCGGCTGGCATAACAGAGCCTGTGACAGATGTCGTATCGCGAATGCGGCAGCAGAGGATACGAATGCAAACAGGCAGTCAGCGGGAAGTCATACTGTGGTCCGGGTCTAGAAGTCGTTCTACCTATCATCACCACACACTGTGGCTCACTTACAATCGTCGTACCTTCATTCACCATCGCGCATGATATAAAAGCAGCCATTTTTTCGCAGCTTTCATTCCATTTCTCAAAAGCATTCGCGGAGAGCCTTCAAGTATTTCAGTCATCTCTTGTAATGTCACTCCACTCCTCAACGAGAAAAAAACTCGTCTCGTTTTAGCTTCCTCCGAGGATTGAAGCGAACTGACGGTGCTACTCGCGAATTTCGCTCTACCTTCCAAGTTCTCCCACTCGGCTCTTGCGATTCATGGCGCAATCGGCGTTCGCACGACAGCCTTCAACCCCGCCGCATGTCATGGAGCCAATCAGCTTCGCAATGAGTCCTCCTGCCGCTTCCGACGACTTCGCAACGGCTCCAATCCCCCTCTGCGAAATCGCTCCAGAATCGCCCCCTGCGGTTACCAACGACTTCCATGCGTCGCAACAAAGTATCGCTGGCACCAGCTCCGTGACAGATCTGATCCAGTCCGTCCCGCGGAGGCGTCCGTACCACTGTCGATCTCAGAGCGTGTCCGATGTGACGTCACTCTGGAGTATCAGCGGCCCTTGGTCCACGAAGCCCGGAATCGCCCGCGGTTCCGATCTCACTCTTGATGTTACTGACATTGCTTGTGACGGTGACATTACAACCACCCCCAGAATCGGTGGTTGCAATTCCCTGGAGCATTTTCCGTCGCCGTCTCCGTCGCCGCGCGAATGGAGGAGAGGCTCGCTTGGCGGGATAGCCGATCAACATCACAGCAAGCACTGGTACAGCCCGGCTAAATCGCCGGTTGCGCTACCGAAGCCGGTGCGGGGTCACAGGAGGTGTCACTCGATCACCGAGATCGACGGTTCTCTGTTTGAAGATGCTGCTGCAAATGATGATTCGGGTGCCGCATCTCGCGGAGCCGAAGAATCTGGCTCTGCTCTCAAGCGGAGCTGAACCCAAAAACGGGAAGAATCGATGCCACACGCCGCGGATACAGATACGTGTACTTGATTGTTGATTATTCAGCGATAGGAAGTGTGAATGGATGGTGGTTTAGGATTGCGTCGCATGCATCTTGTTTAGTGCGGTGTAGGTTGTGACTAGTATTGAGACGCGGATTTGTGCATGAAATGTATGCTCCCAATAAAAGGACCTCCTTTAACTGGTTCTGTAAAGGAATTTCAAGTAATTATCACCAATTGTATTTTATTTAGCACTTGAATCTCTCAGCTTTAGGAGCTGTGAAAGGGGGTGCAATAAGGCTCTGAAGGTTGTAGGGAAACATGGTAGGTGTAGTTAATGTTCAGTGTTATAACAAATAATTCCATTAGACACTGTATGCCACTTGGTATCATGACAAATGTTCAACCACAAAAGCCTGCACAGTCTGTATTATTGTTCATCCCGAAGCACATGCACCAGTCATGACTCATGCTTGGTTGAAACTCGCAGGAACAGCAGCCAGTAGGATTGGCCACTGCAGTTCTCCCTATCACACAAGGCAAAGCAGCAGACACTTGACCGAATACCAACTAGGTAGCCCCAAACTCCTCCCTCCCACCTCACAACACCCCTCCACTCAAGTCGTCTCCCTCACCACTGGATCTGCTTCCTTCTCAAACTCCCCCGTAAACCTTCTCTGTCGCATGTCCTCAGCACTAACTGGCTTCCTCCAGATGCTCTTCCCAACCCCATCCACATCATCCAACAGTTTGGAAAATTGTTTTGGAAGCCTCAATACACCCACCCCTCTTCTCAATTTGATTCCTTCTCAAACTCTGTCGAAAACCTTCTCTGCCGCATGCCCTCAGCAGTGAGTGGTTTCCTCCAAATGCTCTTCCCCACCCCATCCACATCATCCAGCAGCTTGGAGAATTGTTTCGGAAGCCGGGCAGCCAAAAATCCATCTATGTCAAATTCTTCCATCTCATCCCCATATTCGTCCAAAAGAGCCGCAGAACCCCCCTCTGCCTCCCCCCCTGCACCACCATCACCGCTTGCACCCTCCCTGTTACTGTCACCGCTGCTACCACTGATACTGCTGCTGCCCCCGCTGCTGCTGCTACTAGGAACATCAGTCAGTGAGGAGGAGAATGGCATGGGGCGTGTTGGGCTGAAGAGGGCTTTCATGCGGTCGATGGCTGGCCCGATGATTCCTCCTAGGTCCCACGTGGTTGGCTCCACCACCTCAGTGCGCTGTTGGGTAGAGAGTGAGGGTGAGGGGAGGGACAGGGAATTGGACGAATGCGAGAACGAGATGGCTGGCCCGATGATTCCTCCTAGGTCCCACGTGGCGTGGTAGGCTCCACCACCTCAGTGCGCTGGGTTGGAAGAGGTGAGGGGTTGGGAAAGGGACAGGGAATATGATGAATGAGAGAAGGAGTTGGCGGGCCGGATAATGCTTCCTAGAATTCACATGGTTGGCTCTATTACTTTCAATGCGCTGTTGGGTGGAGGCGAGTGGTGGGAAGGACCAAAAAATCAAATAAGGGAGAGGGCGGTTCAGGCCGATTTCTTAGTTTGACTCAAAATCGACTTAGAATCGGATGAGGGGAGAGGGGGGTTCAGGTCAGGGGCGAAGGTTAGGATGATGAGGCAGGGAGATGGCCACCCCGATGATGCCTCCACCACCTAAGATCAAACCTTAAAGCCCCAACCTCCACCATCCACCCACCCTCCACCCTCCACCCTCCACCATCCACCCACCCTCCACCCTCCACCCTCCACCATCCACCCACCCTCCACCCTCCACCCTCCAACCACCCTCCACCCACCCTCCACCCTCCACCCTCCACCCTCCACCCTCCACCCTCCACCCTCCACCCTCCACCCTCCACCCTCCACCCTCCACCCTCCACCCTCCACCCTCCACCCACCCTCCACCCTCCACCCTCCACCCTCCACCCACCCTCCACCCTCCACCCTCCACCCTCCACCCTCCACCCTCCACCCTCCACCCTCCACCCTCCACCCTCCACCCACCCTCCACCCTCCACCCTCCACCCTCCACCCTCCACCCACCCTCACACCCATCCCCTCACCCTCACCACCAGTGACCCACCTGCTGCAGCCGCATGAGCCTTAACTCCTCTGCCCTTACGGCGTTCCCCTGTCTCTCCTCCATGGCAGCCCACGAGCGCCACACCACCGAGTTGCCGGAGTCTGCAGCCAGCGCTCTCTTGAACAGCGCCCTCGCCAGCCCTATGTTGCCCTCCCGCTCCTCCAATACTGCCCATGCCTGGGAGGAGCGAGGTGTGGGAGGAGGGAAATGAGTGGGAGCAGCAAAAATGATGCACGAGCGTGAGGTCCCATGGGCCCTCGGTCATGGGGATGAGCAGCAAGGTGGAAAACCTTCATCAGTAGAAAAAAAAAAAAACAAAACAAAAAGAAACATTGTAAATCAGCTTTTTGAGTCGACACAAAACAAGGGAAATGAGTAGGAGTACGAAAAAGTGCAGCATCACTGATCCGGATAGTAACCACAAGTCTGCATGTAGTGAACAATCCGGACAGTAAGGATTCAATGCTGAAGCGTTGGGCGAGGAGCCGTTGCCCTTCATGGCCCTCTGGTATTGATAAATTCTATACATTTGACTTTGCTTGACTCGGTTGACTCACCTGGAACACTCTAGCAGCGTTGGGCGAAGAATCGTTGACCTCCACTGCCTTCTGGTAGACCTCCCTTGCTCGCTTGACTCGATTTACCTAGACTTCGATGACCTACCTGGAACACTCTGGCAGCATTGGGCGAGGAGTCATTGACCTCCACTGCCCTCTGGTAGAGCTCCCTTGCTCGCAGCACCCGCCCCTCCTTCCACTCCATCCATCCCCACGCCTGGTAGGTGGGGAGGAGGGAATGGTGGGAAAGAAGGGGAGGAGAGGGGGGCGGAGAGTTGAAGGCAACGCAGAACAACACTCGCCCCTCCTTCCACTCCATCCATCCCCAGGCCTGGTAGGTGGGGAGGAGGGAATGGTGGGAAAGAAGGGGAGGAGAGGGGGGTGGAGAGTTGAAGGCAACGCAGAACAACACTCGCCCCTCCTTCCACTCCATCCATCCCCACGCCTGGTAGGTGGGGAGGAGGGAATGGTGGGAAAGAAGGGGAGGAGAGGGGGGCGGAGAGTTGAAGGCAACGCAGAACGACACTCGCCCCTCCTTCCACTCCATCCATCCCCACGCCTGGTAGGTGGGGAGGAGGGAATGGTGGGAAAGAAGGGGAGGAGAGGGGGGCGGAGAGTTGAAGGCAACGCGGAACAACACTCGCCCCTCCTTCCACTCCATCCATCCCCACGCCTGGTAGGTGGGGAGGAGGGAATGGTGGGAAAGAAGGGGAGGAGAGGGGGGCGGAGAGTTGAAGGCAACGCAGAACAACACTCGCCCCTCCTTCCACTCCATCCATCCCCACGCCTGGTAGGTGGGGAGGAGGGAATGGTGGGAAAGAAGGGGAGGAGAGGGGGGCGGAGAGTTGAAGGCAACGCAGAACAACACTCGCCCCTCCTTCCACTCCATCCATCCCCACGCCTGGTAGGTGGGGAGGAGGGAATGGTGGGAAAGAAGGGGAGGAGAGGGGGGCGGAGAGTTGAAGGCAACGCAGAACGACACTCGCCCCTCCTTCCACTCCATCCATCCCCATGCCTGGTAGGTGGGGAGGAGGGAATGGTGGGAAAGAAGGGGAGGAGAGGGGGTTGGAGAGTTGAAGGCAACGCAGAACAACACTCGCCCCTCCTTCCACTCCATCCATCCCCACGCCTGGTAAAAGAGAGGTGACGGGAGGAGGAGAGGAAGGTGGGGAAGGGAGGAGAGGCAGGTGGAGAAGGGAGGAGAGGCAGGTGGAGAAGGGAGGAGAGGCAGGTGGAGAAGGGAGGAGAGGCAGGTGGAGAAGGGAGGAGAGGCAGGTGGAGAAGGGAGGAGAGGCAGGTGGAGAAGGGAGGTGAGGCAGGTGGAGAAGGGAGGTGAGGCAGGAGGAGAAGGGAGGAGACAGAGGGAAAAGAATGAAGGCAACACAGCACAGCACTCTCCCCTCCTTCCACGGCTGAACAGCTCTCTGGCCGTGCAAGTAAGTCCACACTCATACTCCAGCAGAGCCAGCGCCTGCAGCAGCGCTGCGGCCCGTACACCACTCGACACACCTCAGCACCTGCTTGTACCGCACTCCACTCACCGTCCACACAGGCTGGTGGTTGGGGCTGACCAGAGAAGCCTGACTGAAGAGTTCCCTTGCTGTCCCGGTGAATCCACACTCATACTCCAGCAGAGCCAGCGCCTGCAGCAGTGCCGCGTCTTTGGGGTTGAGCTGTGCCCCCCGCTGCAGCAGTAGCCTCCCCCGGTCGTACCTACCCTGGGCTGCTTCAAACAGCCCCCACGCCTGCCATGTGTAGGGGTTCTTGGGACTCGCATTTAGGGCACGCTGCGGGGGTGAAGGGGAGGGAAAGGCATAGGGGGAGAAGTGTGTGAGAGAGATTAGGGTAAGTGAGAGAAGTGAGTGGAAGTGCAACAGGCTTTAAAAGCCCCCACGCCTGCCATGTGTAGGGGTTCTTGGGACTCGCATTCAGGGCTCGCTGGGGGGTGGGAGAAAAAGGAAAGAGAAAATGAAGAGTAAGGTATAAGAAGGGTGAGAGAGGGGTGAGAGAGGGGTGAGAGAGGGGTGAGAGAGGGGTGAGAGAGGGGTGAGAGAGGGGTGAGAGAGGGGTGAGAGAGGGGTGAGAGAGGGGTGAGAGAGGGGTGAGAGAGGGGTGAGAGAGGGGTGTAAGTGAAGGGAAACAGACTCAAACGGCCCCCACGCCTACCACGTGTAGGGGTTCTTGGGACCTGCATTCAAGGAACGCTGGGGGGTGGGGGAGGGAGAAACAGGAAAGAAAACTTGGGTTGAGGCATGGAGTAACATGGTGGAGTAGGCTTTATGTCGCCTTAAGCAGCCCCCACGCCTGCCACGTGCAGGGATTCTCGGAACTGGCGCCCAGGGCACACTGGGGAGGCGGGTGAGGGGATGAGGGAGAGAAGTGAGAGGCGAGCAGAGGCGCCGTCTCCCTGCCGTGTGCAGGGGTTAGGAGAAGCAGGCTCAACCCCCCCCCCCCCCCCACTGCCACATGTAGGGATTCTTGGGACTGGCACCCAGGGCACACTGGGGAGGCGGGTGAGGGAGATGAGGGAGACAAGTGAGAGGCAAGCAGAGGCGCCGTCTCCCTGCTATGCCTCCCAGCTGCGGCAACGCCAGCCCGCTGGAAGAGAAACAGGTGGAGGTGGCACGCAGAGCAGCACCAGCAGGGGAAGGTGGTACCTGGTAGAGCAGGAGAGGTCTCACCTGGAAGAGCAGGCGGGCAGAGGCTCCGTCGCCCTGCTGAGCCTCCAGCAGCGCCCACGCCAGCCAGCTGGCGGCGCTCTTGGCATTCATCCTCGTGGCCTGCAGGAAGAGTGCCCTTGCCTCCGCCACACGCCCGCTCTGCACCTCCATCACTGCTAGGGTCTGATGGGTGTTGGGTGGGGTTCGGTTCGGTGAAGAGGGGTAAGAGGGGGTCAGGATCTGACGGAATGGGTGCGCTGAGCTGTCTCCTGTGACTGGCGGCGCTCTTGGCGTTTATCCGCGTGGCCTGCAGGAACAGCGCCCTTGCCTCTGCCACACGCCCACTCTGCACCTCCATCACTGCTAAGGACTGGTAGGGTGGGATTCGGTGAAGAGGGGTAAGGTGGTAACTGGTTTACTGGGGTGCGTGTTGAGGTGCCTATCACAGCTGAAGGCGCTCTTGGCGTTCATCCTCGTGGCCTGCACTGCAGGAACAGCGCCCTTGCCTCCGCCACACGCCCGCTCTGCACCTCCATCACTGCCAGGGTCTGGTGAGGAAGGGGTGGGGTTCGGTGAAGAGGGTTAAGATGATGGAAAGTGGTTAACTGGGGTGTATGTCTGTTTTGGTGTGTACAACACCGCTTGCGGCGCCCTTGGCGTTCATACTGGTACATGTACTCATTATAAGACGCACCTGGTATATGTACTCGTTCCCGCCGCACAGCTTCAGCCCCTTCTGCAGCAGCTCCCTCGCCCGGCGCACATTCCCCTGCTTCAGCTCCAGCACCGCCCACCCATGCCATGCTGCCACGTGTCTCTCATCTGCCACCGTGGCAGCATCAAACAGCTTCCGCGCCTTCTCCACGTTGCCTGCTTGTGCCTCCAGCACAGCCCATGTCTGGGCGAGACGAAATCCAGCACAGCGGGGAGAGCGGTGAAATGTGAGTGCAGAGGAATGTATGTGAAATGTGAGTGCAGAGGAATGTATCAACACGGGGAGAGCGGTGAAATGTGAGTGCAGAGGAATGTATCAACACAGAGGAATGTATCAACACGGGGAGAGCGGTGAAATGTGAGTGCAGAGGAATGTATCAACACGGGGAGAGCGGTGAAATGTGAGTGCAGAGGAATGTATCAACACGGGGAGAGCGGTGAAATGTGAGTGCAGAGGAATGTATCAACACGGGGAGAGCGGTGAAATGTGAGTGCAGAGGAATGTATCAACACGGGGAGAGCGGTGAAATGTGAGTGCAGAGGAATGTATCAACACGGGGAGAGCGGTGAAATGTGAGTGCAGAGGAATGTATCAACACGGGGAGAGCGGTGAAATGTGAGTGCAGAGGAATGTATCAACACGGGGAGAGCGGTGAAATGTGAGTGCAGAGGAATGAGGGGGAGACGTGAGGGGAGAGCGGTGAGAGGAAGTGCAATGCAACACGGGGAGACGGTGAGAGGAGAAATGAGTGCAGAGGAATGTATCAACACGGGGAGAGCGGTGAAATGTGAGTGCAGAGGAATGTATCAACACGGGGAGAGCGGTGAAATGTGAAATGTGAGTGCAGAGGAATGTATCAACACGGGGAGAGCGGTGAAATGTGAGTGCAGAGGAATGTATCAACACGGGGAGAGCGGTGAAATGTGAGTGCAGAGGAATGTATCAACACGGGGAGAGCGGTGAAATGTGAGTGCAGAGGAATGTATCAACACGGGGAGAGCGGTGAAATGTGAGTGCAGAGGAATGTATCAACACGGGGAGAGCGGTGAAATGTGAGTGCAGAGGAATGCATCAACACGGGGAGAGCGTGAATGTGAATGTGAGTGCAGAGGAATGTATCAACACGGGGAGAGCGGTGAAATGTGAGTGCAGAGGAATGTATCAACACGGGGAGAGCGGTGAAATGTGAGTGCAGAGGAATGTATCAACACGGGGAGAGCGGTGAAATGTGAGTGCAGAGGAATGTATCAACACGGGGAGAGCGGTGAAATGTGAGTGCAGAGGAATGTATCAACACGGGGAGAGCGGTGAAATGTGAGTGCAGAGGAATGTATCAACACGGGGAGAGCGGTGAAATGTGAGTGCAGAGGAATGTATCAACACGGGGAAAGACGGAGAGTTTAGAGGAGTGTATGAACGAGAAACGAAATGGGACCGTGAAGGGAATGGGGCGAGGGAGCAGGGAGGTGGACGAGGAAAAGGGATGGGTAGAGAAAAAGGAAAAATTGGCAAGTTTGGCATAGGGCAGATATGCAACAAATGTGGGACTCTAATCCCAAACCCCTCCTCTATCCCCCTCCCCTTCCCCCACAAAACCTTCCCCTTTCCCCTTTAACATCAGCAGCCCGGGTATCGACGACAGTAGTACCTGCCTGGAGAGACCGCATCTGAATACGCCGTCAAATGGAGAAACCCTAACTGGCCAAGTTAGCAGCACTAAGCAATGTCCCAGCCCTGCCAAATCACCTGCTGCGCAGCCAGTGACGGTGAAGAGCCACAGGAGGTATCATTCGATAAGTGAGATTGACGGATCTCTGTTTGAAGTCTTAGCAAAATCACAAGATCCTGACTTGGGCGCTGAGCTGAATGACGGCCCAAGTGAGGGGTGATGGGGAGAGGCACAATTCTTTTTTGTCATAATAGTTTTCTAGGTTACATGTGCGTGCAGCATTGTGGAGGTGATTGCAGCTTGTGGTAGACTCGGTTTCCTGTGTAAGGTGTACAAGAACATGTAGGCTCCTTCCCCCACCTTCACCTCAACTGCTCCCACACTCCCCAACCCAGTCAAAATGCTGCAAGATTGTTGAGCTTCTGGGATGGGAGCTGCTGGTGAGGGATATTATAGTGACGAATGGACGAGCGAAACCGAAGGAAGTCTGCGAGTAACCATAAAACATCCTCAAGTACCGAACTGTATCTTCGTCCAATGCACTTCCATGAACCTGGGTGGCATGGTCTTTCTGAATTTGTCTTATGGCGTCAGATTCACAATACTGTACAGTACGGAGCAACAATACCACAAGTAGTTGTTCGCTGTGACCAGTCAGGCAAATTCCCACTTTCAAGGGATCTTGATCGATACAGCTGATGCCCGTCCAGTGCACGCGAAATTGCCATGCACCGGATGGAAACGCTGCCCCCGAACAGGAAACCCCCGCTTGCTGCTCCCACAGTACAAGCACACGGGTGGCAGGAAACAGTGCTCGCGACTCGGCCATTTTAGCACGTGCAGTCCCGAACAACCAACGCCGACCCTGATGTGCCTTGTTTCCAGGCCAGGAGTCGGACCTGCGAAACCGAGTGGACGAAACGAAAGCGGCTTCGTTAACGCATTCGCAATCTGCCCCGCCACCTAAGCGAGGATCATCGTGCGTGTAACAGACAATGTGGGCAGATTCACACTGCCACGTGTAATCTGCCCATGTTGGGTACAAGCGCATTTGCAGCCAGGCGTTGTTCTCATACACCACGTCATACATTTGATCGTATAGTTACCAACCCATACGATGAAATGTGCAAGTAAGGTGCATGGAACGAACTCCAGCCACACAAATGTGACTAGCCCCAAAGAACAGACCCCAACCTTGCCCCATCACGGCCAAAATCTGCCGATAAAATGAGAGCAACTAATTCACTAAGTCAGCAGTAACTCACAGCCCAGCCTCACACAATGCCCCGTTTTAATCGACGGGAGCAGCTCCCCCTCCATATCAAGCGCGCCCTTTGCGCGCACCACGTCGAACACCCCCTCATTCGTCATGTCGACCTAGCTAGATGGTGTTACTCGCAGTACGGGTTGCGCCCGGATCGCTCCACGATCGGCCGCATCTTGAAGAGCGCCGAGCGGTGGGCTGTCACGGCAAACGGCGACAACCAGGTGCGCCGTCGAGGTGGCGCATGGCCGGAGCTGGAGCAGGCCATGGCGCGGTGGATCGCAAACGCAGGCCCAGCCGGTGTGCCCCTCACACTTCAGACTATCCGCGACCATGTCGCGACGATGGCGAGGAACATGGGCATTCCGCCCACCTTCCGCTGCTCCATCGGCTAGGTGCGCCGTGCTTTGCGGCGCCAAGGGGTGCGGTGCCGTGCTGCACAAGGCGAGGCGGCAAGCGCGGACATGGCGGCCGTGCGCGACGCCCGTTAGAAGATGCCGCAACTCCTCACGCATCTCGACGTCGCCCCGAGGGACACCTTCAACCTTGACGAGACGGCGCTATGGCTGTCGGTGCTTCCGCGGCGAACGTACAGCAGCGGCCGCATACCAGGGCGCAAGAGCTCCAAGGAGCGACTCACCGTCGCATTCCTCGTGAATGCGGACGGTAGCCATGCATTCCGCCCGCTTGTGATAAGCAAGGCGAAGAGGCCGCATGACTTCCGCCCGGATTATGACCCAGAGGCTCTTTGCTACTGGCGGCACAACGTGAAAGGCTGGATGACCTCGCCGGTAAGACCGTATTTTTATTGTGCTTGGGTTTACTCTTGTTGCTCGGCACTCATACCGCTACATGTGGGCGTACTCGTAATGTTTCCTTGTGCACCCCTTCCTTCCCTCTCTTCCCATCCTACAGTTATTTACGCATTTCATTTCGCAACTTAACGCTGCGATGACGGCCGAAGGTCGCAAAATCGTGGTGCTGCTCGACAACGCGAGCAGCCACATGCTCCGATCTGAGCATGCATGGAGCGAGATCGTGTGCGGCGTGCGGACCACGTGCATGAGCAACGTGCGGCTTGTCTTCTTGCCGCCAAACTCCACCGCATTTACTCAGCCGCTCGATCAGGGCATAATCGCCACCACGAAGGCCCGCTACCGCCAGCATTGGCTGCGGGCCTTCTCGGGGTTGTGGAACGCCGACGGCGCGACTTCCTCTGTGGCGCGTTTCCGGCCGAATTTGCGCGATATCCTCGGGTGGCTGTCGGACGCCTGGACCTCCGTCGGCGCGCGCACCATCCAACGGTGCTGGTGGCGCACGGGGTGTCTTCCCCTCTCGTGGTCCTTGGACCTGACGCACGTGCATGACGACGAGCCCATTCCCGCCGCTTACCCCGACATTGAGCTCGACAACGACATCGACGATGTCGGGACGCTTATTAGCGGGCTCGCCCTGGGGAATGCGGCGATGACGGCGGCAGAGTACGTGGCCATCGACGACGGCGAGCCTACGTGTGCGGAAGGCGCGGCGGGACCTACGGTGACTGAGGCGGAGACGGGACTGGGGGTGGAGCTCTGGCAGGCGCCGACGACCATGCAGGCCGTCTACGAGAAAGCCGACCCCGTGGGCCGTGAGGCGCGGCGCACTGCTCGTGCGGCATGCGAGATGCTCATCGGGTACGCAAGGGCCACCCGCATCACGCCGCGCGATCTGTTCGCTCTTTTCGACACCCGCAATCCTGTCATAATCGAGCGGATGGAGCGGGCGAGCCCGGGATTCAATCTCAACGTGGCGCCTCAGCCCGTGCCCTCCCCCGGCGCAACTCCCACTCCCGAGACCCCTCGTCCGCGCGGCCGTGTGCTGCCCGGCTGGATGACCCGTCCGTCCCGCCGTCAGCAGCTGCTTGACGCCGGGGTGGGCGCCGTGATGGACGGCTATGTCAACGCGGCTGAATGGATGCGTCTGTGAGAGGGGGTGGAGCAGTCTGTGCAATGTGTCGAATGCATTTTGCAGGGCACAACTGATCAATCCTTGTGCCCATTTGGGGGTGTTTCGTTTTGTGCGTTGTGTGGTTATGGGGGGCCAGGTGGGAGATGTTGATTGGATGTTGAAGTTGTGATTGTTGTTTTGTACTCAGGAGAACAATTGCAGTGCCTTCCTGTTTCAGTACTGTGGCGTTCGTTTAGTAACCTCGAACACACAAAGCAGACAAGTGCTGCAAACCCTCACTGTTACGAACCGGACAAACAGGGTGGTTACCACGTGCATGTTAGAAGCACGGCAGACGCGTGACGAAACGAACGAACCTCAAGCGAAATAAGGTTTAGCTTACAGTCCCAAAGCACAAGGCAACCGGGAGGGGCTCTAACGAGCATCAGGTGTACTGAAAATAATGCAGGCAACATAGCAGAGGGCGGGCTTGAAAAATCCAATGAACCACAGTGAGGGGGTCAAATTTCTGTTTCGCACTCGGTCAAGCTTTCACACGGGGAGAAATTGTACACACCCGCAGCACTGCCCAGCGAAACTTGCGAAGTTTTCCCGGAACAAATTCGTGCGGGTGTGTTTTAGTGTTGACGAATTCAAAATAACCCTAGAACCCACAACTCCGGACCGAACCTAGCGCGTCCCTCCCTAGGTTCAAGAAAGGAAAAAGATACCGCCGGTGAATTTACCGCGGGCTAGGTGTACCTGACGCCTCCCTCAACCGAACAAAAGCAGGTTGAAAGCAGATCTCTTGCAAGGCGTGCTTTCTTCACCTAGAATCAACTCTGTCTGCCACCCACGCAGCACGACAAATGGAGTTTTCGCGCGTAACCATTTTGCACCCGACGGTTCAAACTGCGGACCGTCAGTGCTGGCGAAAAGTAACCCACTTCGCATAATCTCGTTACTAAACTCGCTTACGTGTTGGCGACGTCGCCAACAAAACGGACTGTCGTGACACTTTTTCACATTTTCAACTGTCCGCGATGTGAACCTTGGACAGTCCGAAACCCAAACGGACGGTCCACCAGTCATGGCTAGATATTGGCAGGCGAAAATCAATATACAGTAACTTCTTACGATTGGCCGACGATTTTTTTTTTTTGGAAATTCGAAAATTAAATTACGAAGATACAGAGGCCCTAACGAGGCTACAAGGATCGCAAAAAACTACAACCCCAAAAAAGTGTCACACTTGCCTTCGCCGAAAATAGCTCAGCGGACAAGCGAGTCCGCCCGGCGGAGCGCGCTGCCCGCGGGCAAAAAAAATAAACCCCAGACGGGCATGCATCCGGTCAGGGAGCCTCAACCCTAAACGCGGGGAGGCATGGTGTTTAGGGTTGAGGCTCCCTCGGATGGCATGCCATCCGATGGGGGTTTAGTTTTTTTTGCTGCCCGGGGCAGCAGGTCGACACAGGTCGACAGGCTTGTCGACCTGATTCCGCTGAGCTCTTCCGGACTGTACGAAGTTCTAAAATTTCACATCGGACGGTCCCGTTCGCGATAAGAGGACCGTCCGCTTCGATATGAGCGGACTGTCCGTCAAAAACGAAAAATGCAAAATGGTTACGCGCCTTTACGGAGCCTTACCTGTGTGACAGCTCCCTCAGGGCGCAGCCATGGCAGATTCTTCGCTGCTTCCCAGCTGGCGCATTCACACGCATGCGGCGAGCCTCTCTGTCCTCTCATCGCATCCCTTGTCTGGGAATCCTGGACAACGCGCGGATGGAGGAACCTAGAGGACCGACTCGCAGACCAATTCTTTGTCGTGTGTCGCGAGAGCAGAACAATGCTGCATAGCAACAATAGAATACATGTAGGTGCGTCTAGGCCATCACTTCATTCGCTAGGTCTAATGCTGCTGCCAAAGCGGGCTTCCCGCGGCTGGCATAACAGAGCCTGTGACAGATGTCGTATCGCGAATGCGGCAGCAGAGGATACGAATGCAAACAGGCAGTCAGCGGGAAGTCATACTGTGGTCCGGGTCTAGAAGTCGTTCTACCTATCATCACCACACACTGTGGCTCACTTACAATCGTCGTACCTTCATTCACCATCGCGCATGATATAAAAGCAGCCATTTTTTCGCAGCTTTCATTCCATTTCTCAAAAGCATTCGCGGAGAGCCTTCAAGTATTTCAGTCATCTCTTGTAATGTCACTCCACTCCTCAACGAGAAAAAAACTCGTCTCGTTTTAGCTTCCTCCGAGGATTGAAGCGAACTGACGGTGCTACTCGCGAATTTCGCTCTACCTTCCAAGTTCTCCCACTCGGCTCTTGCGATTCATGGCGCAATCGGCGTTCGCACGACAGCCTTCAACCCCGCCGCATGTCATGGAGCCAATCAGCTTCGCAATGAGTCCTCCTGCCGCTTCCGACGACTTCGCAACGGCTCCAATCCCCCTCTGCGAAATCGCTCCAGAATCGCCCCCTGCGGTTACCAACGACTTCCATGCGTCGCAACAAAGTATCGCTGGCACCAGCTCCGTGACAGATCTGATCCAGTCCGTCCCGCGGAGGCGTCCGTACCACTGTCGATCTCAGAGCGTGTCCGATGTGACGTCACTCTGGAGTATCAGCGGCCCTTGGTCCACGAAGCCCGGAATCGCCCGCGGTTCCGATCTCACTCTTGATGTTACTGACATTGCTTGTGACGGTGACATTACAACCACCCCCAGAATCGGTGGTTGCAATTCCCTGGAGCATTTTCCGTCGCCGTCTCCGTCGCCGCGCGAATGGAGGAGAGGCTCGCTTGGCGGGATAGCCGATCAACATCACAGCAAGCACTGGTACAGCCCGGCTAAATCGCCGGTTGCGCTACCGAAGCCGGTGCGGGGTCACAGGAGGTGTCACTCGATCACCGAGATCGACGGTTCTCTGTTTGAAGATGCTGCTGCAAATGATGATTCGGGTGCCGCATCTCGCGGAGCCGAAGAATCTGGCTCTGCTCTCAAGCGGAGCTGAACCCAAAAACGGGAAGAATCGATGCCACACGCCGCGGATACAGATACGTGTACTTGATTGTTGATTATTCAGCGATAGGAAGTGTGAATGGATGGTGGTTTAGGATTGCGTCGCATGCATCTTGTTTAGTGCGGTGTAGGTTGTGACTAGTATTGAGACGCGGATTTGTGCATGAAATGTATGCTCCCAATAAAAGGACCTCCTTTAACTGGTTCTGTAAAGGAATTTCAAGTAATTATCACCAATTGTATTTTATTTAGCACTTGAATCTCTCAGCTTTAGGAGCTGTGAAAGGGGGTGCAATAAGGCTCTGAAGGTTGTAGGGAAACATGGTAGGTGTAGTTAATGTTCAGTGTTATAACAAATAATTCCATTAGACACTGTATGCCACTTGGTATCATGACAAATGTTCAACCACAAAAGCCTGCACAGTCTGTATTATTGTTCATCCCGAAGCACATGCACCAGTCATGACTCATGCTTGGTTGAAACTCGCAGGAACAGCAGCCAGTAGGATTGGCCACTGCAGTTCTCCCTATCACACAAGGCAAAGCAGCAGACACTTGACCGAATACCAACTAGGTAGCCCCAAACTCCTCCCTCCCACCTCACAACACCCCTCCACTCAAGTCGTCTCCCTCACCACTGGATCTGCTTCCTTCTCAAACTCCCCCGTAAACCTTCTCTGTCGCATGTCCTCAGCACTAACTGGCTTCCTCCAGATGCTCTTCCCAACCCCATCCACATCATCCAACAGTTTGGAAAATTGTTTTGGAAGCCTCAATACACCCACCCCTCTTCTCAATTTGATTCCTTCTCAAACTCTGTCGAAAACCTTCTCTGCCGCATGCCCTCAGCAGTGAGTGGTTTCCTCCAAATGCTCTTCCCCACCCCATCCACATCATCCAGCAGCTTGGAGAATTGTTTCGGAAGCCGGGCAGCCAAAAATCCATCTATGTCAAATTCTTCCATCTCATCCCCATATTCGTCCAAAAGAGCCGCAGAACCCCCCTCTGCCTCCCCCCTGCACCACCATCACCGCTTGCACCCTCCCTGTTACTGTCACCGCTGCTACCACTGATACTGCTGCTGCCCCCGCTGCTGCTGCTACTAGGAACATCAGTCAGTGAGGAGGAGAATGGCATGGGGCGTGTTGGGCTGAAGAGGGCTTTCATGCGGTCGATGGCTGGCCCGATGATTCCTCCTAGGTCCCACGTGGTTGGCTCCACCACCTCAGTGCGCTGTTGGGTAGAGAGTGAGGGTGAGGGGAGGGACAGGGAATTGGACGAATGCGAGAACGAGATGGCTGGCCCGATGATTCCTCCTAGGTCCCACGTGGCGTGGTAGGCTCCACCACCTCAGTGCGCTGGGTTGGAAGAGGTGAGGGGTTGGGAAAGGGACAGGGAATATGATGAATGAGAGAAGGAGTTGGCGGGCCGGATAATGCTTCCTAGAATTCACATGGTTGGCTCTATTACTTTCAATGCGCTGTTGGGTGGAGGCGAGTGGTGGGAAGGACCAAAAAATCAAATAAGGGAGAGGGCGGTTCAGGCCGATTTCTTAGTTTGACTCAAAATCGACTTAGAATCGGATGAGGGGAGAGGGGGGTTCAGGTCAGGGGCGAAGGTTAGGATGATGAGGCAGGGAGATGGCCACCCCGATGATGCCTCCACCACCTAAGATCAAACCTTAAAGCCTCCACCCTCCACCTCCACCATCCACCCACCCTCCACCCTCCACCCTCCACCACCCTCCACCCCCACCCTCCACCCACCCTCCACCCTCCACCCTCCACCCTCCACCCTCCACCCTCCACCCTCCACCCTCCACCCTCCACCCTCCACCCTCCACCCTCCACCCTCCACCCACCCTCCACCCTCCACCCTCCACCCTCCACCCTCCACCCTCCACCCTCCACCCTCCACCCTCCACCCTCCACCCACCCTCCACCCTCCACCCTCCACCCTCCACCCTCCACCCACCCTCACACCCATCCCCTCACCCTCACCACCAGTGACCCACCTGCTGCAGCCGCATGAGCCTTAACTCCTCTGCCCTTACGGCGTTCCCCTGTCTCTCCTCCATGGCAGCCCACGAGCGCCACACCACCGAGTTGCCGGAGTCTGCAGCCAGCGCTCTCTTGAACAGCGCCCTCGCCAGCCCTATGTTGCCCTCCCGCTCCTCCAATACTGCCCATGCCTGGGAGGAGCGAGGTGTGGGAGGAGGGAAATGAGTGGGAGCAGCAAAAATGATGCACGAGCGTGAGGTCCCATGGGCCCTCGGTCATGGGGATGAGCAGCAAGGTGGAAAACCTTCATCAGTAGAAAAAAAAAAAAACAAAACAAAAAGAAACATTGTAAATCAGCTTTTTGAGTCGACACAAAACAAGGGAAATGAGTAGGAGTACGAAAAAGTGCAGCATCACTGATCCGGATAGTAACCACAAGTCTGCATGTAGTGAACAATCCGGACAGTAAGGATTCAATGCTGAAGCGTTGGGCGAGGAGCCGTTGCCCTTCATGGCCCTCTGGTATTGATAAATTCTATACATTTGACTTTGCTTGACTCGGTTGACTCACCTGGAACACTCTAGCAGCGTTGGGCGAAGAATCGTTGACCTCCACTGCCTTCTGGTAGACCTCCCTTGCTCGCTTGACTCGATTTACCTAGACTTCGATGACCTACCTGGAACACTCTGGCAGCATTGGGCGAGGAGTCATTGACCTCCACTGCCCTCTGGTAGAGCTCCCTTGCTCGCAGCACCCGCCCCTCCTTCCACTCCATCCATCCCCACGCCTGGTAGGTGGGGAGGAGGGAATGGTGGGAAAGAAGGGGAGGAGAGGGGGGCGGAGAGTTGAAGGCAACGCAGAACAACACTCGCCCCTCCTTCCACTCCATCCATCCCCAGGCCTGGTAGGTGGGGAGGAGGGAATGGTGGGAAAGAAGGGGAGGAGAGGGGGGTGGAGAGTTGAAGGCAACGCAGAACAACACTCGCCCCTCCTTCCACTCCATCCATCCCCACGCCTGGTAGGTGGGGAGGAGGGAATGGTGGGAAAGAAGGGGAGGAGAGGGGGGCGGAGAGTTGAAGGCAACGCAGAACGACACTCGCCCCTCCTTCCACTCCATCCATCCCCACGCCTGGTAGGTGGGGAGGAGGGAATGGTGGGAAAGAAGGGGAGGAGAGGGGGGCGGAGAGTTGAAGGCAACGCGGAACAACACTCGCCCCTCCTTCCACTCCATCCATCCCCACGCCTGGTAGGTGGGGAGGAGGGAATGGTGGGAAAGAAGGGGAGGAGAGGGGGGCGGAGAGTTGAAGGCAACGCAGAACAACACTCGCCCCTCCTTCCACTCCATCCATCCCCACGCCTGGTAGGTGGGGAGGAGGGAATGGTGGGAAAGAAGGGGAGGAGAGGGGGGCGGAGAGTTGAAGGCAACGCAGAACAACACTCGCCCCTCCTTCCACTCCATCCATCCCCACGCCTGGTAGGTGGGGAGGAGGGAATGGTGGGAAAGAAGGGGAGGAGAGGGGGGCGGAGAGTTGAAGGCAACGCAGAACGACACTCGCCCCTCCTTCCACTCCATCCATCCCCATGCCTGGTAGGTGGGGAGGAGGGAATGGTGGGAAAGAAGGGGAGGAGAGGGGGTTGGAGAGTTGAAGGCAACGCAGAACAACACTCGCCCCTCCTTCCACTCCATCCATCCCCACGCCTGGTAAAAGAGAGGTGACGGGAGGAGGAGAGGAGGTGGGGAAGGGAGGGAGGCAGGGAGGAGAGGCAGGTGGAGAAGGGAGGAGAGGCAGGTGGAGAAGGGAGGAGAGGCAGGTGGAGAAGGGAGGAGAGGCAGGTGGAGAAGGGAGGAGAGGCAGGTGGAGAAGGGAGGAGAGGCAGGTGGAGAAGGGAGGTGAGGCAGGTGGAGAAGGGAGGTGAGGCAGGAGGAGAAGGGAGGAGACAGAGGGAAAAGAATGAAGGCAACACAGCACAGCACTCTCCCCTCCTTCCACGGCTGAACAGCTCTCTGGCCGTGCAAGTAAGTCCACACTCATACTCCAGCAGAGCCAGCGCCTGCAGCAGCGCTGCGGCCCGTACACCACTCGACACACCTCAGCACCTGCTTGTACCGCACTCCACTCACCGTCCACACAGGCTGGTGGTTGGGGCTGACCAGAGAAGCCTGACTGAAGAGTTCCCTTGCTGTCCCGGTGAATCCACACTCATACTCCAGCAGAGCCAGCGCCTGCAGCAGTGCCGCGTCTTTGGGGTTGAGCTGTGCCCCCCGCTGCAGCAGTAGCCTCCCCCGGTCGTACCTACCCTGGGCTGCTTCAAACAGCCCCCACGCCTGCCATGTGTAGGGGTTCTTGGGACTCGCATTTAGGGCACGCTGCGGGGGTGAAGGGGAGGGAAAGGCATAGGGGGAGAAGTGTGTGAGAGAGATTAGGGTAAGTGAGAGAAGTGAGTGGAAGTGCAACAGGCTTTAAAAGCCCCCACGCCTGCCATGTGTAGGGGTTCTTGGGACTCGCATTCAGGGCTCGCTGGGGGGTGGGAGAAAAAGGAAAGAGAAAATGAAGAGTAAGGTATAAGAAGGGTGAGAGAGGGGTGAGAGAGGGGTGAGAGAGGGGTGAGAGAGGGGTGAGAGAGGGGTGAGAGAGGGGTGAGAGAGGGGTGAGAGAGGGGTGAGAGAGGGGTGAGAGAGGGGTGAGAGAGGGGTGAGAGAGGGGTGTAAGTGAAGGGAAACAGACTCAAACGGCCCCCACGCCTACCACGTGTAGGGGTTCTTGGGACCTGCATTCAAGGAACGCTGGGGGGTGGGGGAGGGAGAAACAGGAAAGAAAACTTGGGTTGAGGCATGGAGTAACATGGTGGAGTAGGCTTTATGTCGCCTTAAGCAGCCCCCACGCCTGCCACGTGCAGGGATTCTCGGAACTGGCGCCCAGGGCACACTGGGGAGGCGGGTGAGGGGGATGAGGGAGAGAAGTGAGAGGCGAGCAGAGGCGCCGTCTCCCTGCCGTGTGCAGGGGTTAGGAGAAGCAGGCTCAACCCCCCCCCCCCCCCACTGCCACATGTAGGGATTCTTGGGACTGGCACCCAGGGCACACTGGGGAGGCGGGTGAGGGAGATGAGGGAGACAAGTGAGAGGCAAGCAGAGGCGCCGTCTCCCTGCTATGCCTCCCAGCTGCGGCAACGCCAGCCCGCTGGAAGAGAAACAGGTGGAGGTGGCACGCAGAGCAGCACCAGCAGGGGAAGGTGGTACCTGGTAGAGCAGGAGAGGTCTCACCTGGAAGAGCAGGCGGGCAGAGGCTCCGTCGCCCTGCTGAGCCTCCAGCAGCGCCCACGCCAGCCAGCTGGCGGCGCTCTTGGCATTCATCCTCGTGGCCTGCAGGAAGAGTGCCCTTGCCTCCGCCACACGCCCGCTCTGCACCTCCATCACTGCTAGGGTCTGATGGGTGTTGGGTGGGGTTCGGTTCGGTGAAGAGGGGTAAGAGGGGGTCAGGATCTGACGGAATGGGTGCGCTGAGCTGTCTCCTGTGACTGGCGGCGCTCTTGGCGTTTATCCGCGTGGCCTGCAGGAACAGCGCCCTTGCCTCTGCCACACGCCCACTCTGCACCTCCATCACTGCTAAGGACTGGTAGGGTGGGATTCGGTGAAGAGGGGTAAGGTGGTAACTGGTTTACTGGGGTGCGTGTTGAGGTGCCTATCACAGCTGAAGGCGCTCTTGGCGTTCATCCTCGTGGCCTGCACTGCAGGAACAGCGCCCTTGCCTCCGCCACACGCCCGCTCTGCACCTCCATCACTGCCAGGGTCTGGTGAGGAAGGGGTGGGGTTCGGTGAAGAGGGTTAAGATGATGGAAAGTGGTTAACTGGGGTGTATGTCTGTTTTGGTGTGTACAACACCGCTTGCGGCGCCCTTGGCGTTCATACTGGTACATGTACTCATTATAAGACGCACCTGGTATATGTACTCGTTCCCGCCGCACAGCTTCAGCCCCTTCTGCAGCAGCTCCCTCGCCCGGCGCACATTCCCCTGCTTCAGCTCCAGCACCGCCCACCCATGCCATGCTGCCACGTGTCTCTCATCTGCCACCGTGGCAGCATCAAACAGCTTCCGCGCCTTCTCCACGTTGCCTGCTTGTGCCTCCAGCACAGCCCATGTCTGGGCGAGACGAAATCAACACGGGGAGAGCGGTGAAATGTGAGTGCAGAGGAATGTATCAACACGGGGAGAGCGGTGAAATGTGAGTGCAGAGGAATGTATCAACACGGGGAGAGCGGTGAAATGTGAGTGCAGAGGAATGTATCAACACGGGGAGAGCGGTGAAATGTGAGTGCAGAGGAATGTATCAACACGGGGAGAGCGGTGAAATGTGAGTGCAGAGGAATGTATCAACACGGGGAGAGCGGTGAAATGTGAGTGCAGAGGAATGTATCAACACGGGGAGAGCGGTGAAATGTGAGTGCAGAGGAATGTATCAACACGGGGAGAGCGGTGAAATGTGAGTGCAGAGGAATGTATCAACACGGGGAGAGCGGTGAAATGTGAGTGCAGAGGAATGTATCAACACGGGGAGAGCGGTGAAATGTGAGTGCAGAGGAATGTATCAACACGGGGAGAGCGGTGAAATGTGAGTGCAGAGGAATGTATCAACACGGGGAGAGCGGTGAAATGTGAGTGCAGAGGAATGTATCAACACGGGGAGAGCGGTGAAATGTGAGTGCAGAGGAATGTATCAACACGGGGAGAGCGGTGAAATGTGAGTGCAGAGGAATGTATCAACACGGGGAGAGCGGTGAAATGTGAGTGCAGAGGAATGTATCAACACGGGGAGAGCGGTGAAATGTGAGTGCAGAGGAATGTATCAACACGGGGAGAGCGGTGAAATGTGAGTGCAGAGGAATGTATCAACACGGGGAGAGCGGTGAAATGTGAGTGCAGAGGAATGTATCAACACGGGGAGAGCGGTGAAATGTGAGTGCAGAGGAATGTATCAACACGGGGAGAGCGGTGAAATGTGAGTGCAGAGGAATGTATCAACACGGGGAGAGCGGTGAAATGTGAGTGCAGAGGAATGTATCAACACGGGGAGAGCGGTGAAATGTGAGTGCAGAGGAATGTATCAACACGGGGAGAGCGGTGAAATGTGAGTGCAGAGGAATGTATCAACACGGGGAGAGCGGTGAAATGTGAGTGCAGAGGAATGTATCAACACGGGGAGAGCGGTGAAATGTGAGTGCAGAGGAATGTATCAACACGGGGAAAGACGGAGAGTTTAGAGGAGTGTATGAACGAGAAACGAAATGGGACCGTGAAGGGAATGGGGCGAGGGAGCAGGGAGGTGGACGAGGAAAAGGGATGGGTAGAGAAAAAGGAAAAATTGGCAAGTTTGGCATAGGGCAGATATGCAACAAAGGGAGTGAATGGGGGAAGAGACGAATAATGTGCATGCCCTAACTCTTCCTCCTTCCATGCCCTACCCTCCATCCCCTCCTCTATCCCAAACCCCTCCTCTATCCCCCTCCCCTTCCCCCACAAAACCTTCCCCTTTCCCCACACGCCCGTCCTTCCCCTTTCCCTTGTCCCTTTCCCCCCATCCCTCCCCCTCCCCCAGCGCACCTGCCAGATGAACGCGTTATCTCCGCCCAGCGCCTGGCAGCCGTCCTCAAAGACTCGGCGCGCTTCCCCCAGCCGGCCCTTCCGCTGCAGCATGCGCCCCAGCACCACGTACGGCCGCCCGTCATCCGGCCAATCGCGCACAGCCTGAGAAACGGGGAAGTGTTGCGGGGAGGGGAGGGGAGGGGAGGGGAGGGGAGGGGAGGGGAGGGGAGGGGAGGGGAGGGGAGGGGAGGGGTGGGGAGGGAAGGGAAGGGAGGGAAACGGGGAGCTTGAGTCGCCTAAACGATCCTTTTGCTGCCTTCCGTTCCAGCATGCGCCCCAGCACCACATACGGCCGCCCGTCGTCCGGCCATTCGCGCAGAGCCTGGGAAATGGAACGAGGTGAAAGCGTAAGAGGGAAGGTGAGGTGGAGGTGGAGGTGGAGTTCAGATGGGGAATAGATTTTTCACCAGCTGCCGAGGCGAGGAGTCTCACTCTTGGCAAAAGGCTTCTGAAAGTCACAAGCGCTGCTTTGCTGACTAAGATATTCCTTTTCCTCCTCTCCCCTCCCCCCCAATCATTCCATCGCCTCCCTTTCCCACTTCTTCCGCCATTCCCCTTTCTTCCTCCCCTCCCGCCTCCTTTCCCCCTCCTGCCCTCCCACCTTCCCCTCCTTCCCCCTTCCCCCTCTCCCCCCGCCCTTCCGCCGCCTACCTTGCGCATGAGCCCTTCCGCGTCTTGCGCCTTGCCGATGCGGAACAGGTTGCGTGCGCGGTAGATATCAAGGCCCAGGTTAATCTTCAGCCGCTTGGCTCCCCTTCCTCCTCCCTCCGTCCCTTCCCCTTTCTACCTCCTCTCCCGCTCCCTCCCGCCCCCTCGCCCCTTCCCCCCGCCCCTCCGCCTACCTTGCGCATGAGCCCCTCCGCGTCTTGCGCCTTGCCAATGCGGAACAGGTTGCGCGCGCGGTAAATGTCCAGCTCCAGGTTGATCTTCAGCCGCTTGGGGGCGTCGTTCTTCGGGGCGGGCGGAGCCCACCGCAGCGCTCCGCGCAGTGCCGCGGCCGCCCCGGGGGGAAGCTGGCTCAGACCGCCTGGACGGAGCGGAAGGGGGATGGAGGGGGGTGTGCGGGATATGATGAGGGAACGGAACAGGGACGGACGGGAAAAGTCGTTCTTTCGGAGGAATTTGGCTTATACGGCCAAAGGGGAAGAGGAAAGGCGAGAGGTGCAGAGAGGAGTGACGTATGGGAGAGGAGGGCATTCGGAGAAAAAAAAAACTGTAGCGATTCTCAAAAGGGACGTGCAACGCGAGAATGGCTTTGAGATAGTGGGAGCGCAGGAATCACGCAACAAATAAATAAAACAGACTCAATCAGTCAAGAGTTACTCAGTTTCGGCCAATGCAGCAGACGGCGAACGCAAAAGCGACAGTCATACGGGAGAACGACGTTTGGGAGTGCGGTAGGAGAAATAGAAATCACCATCCTAGGTTGACCGAAGTTGCTAAATTGGACGGATTAGAAGACACTGCTCGCTTGCAGCCTAAACACTAGCAGAAACAACGGCTTGCGACCTACCGTCGTTGCCGATTCCGCGGCTCATCCGCGACTCGAGGAGGAAATCGCTGACGATGTCATTCTCCTGCGCGGCCATTCCGCTCCGCTCCTCGATTCCTCCGCCACTCCCTATCGGGAGCTCCATGTCCTCCGCACTGCTCTCCGCCGTCTCCTCCGCTTCAAGCTTCTCAACCGACTCGAACCGGGTCGAACCGAACCCAGTCGGCTCAGCACCAAACTGCACCGCTCTTGTGCTGCCGTTTTCCTCCAGAGTCACCCCATCTATAATACCCCCCCGCGACGCAGCGGCGGCAGCAGCAGCAGCAACGGCAGTATCAGCTCCTGAACTAGCCTGCGATAGTTTAGCAGTAGGCCGAGGTAGGGTTGTCTTCAGCACCCAGCCCTTTTCAGTCAGCGACCACATCTTGCTCCTCCGCCGACGGCGGCCTGATTGGCCGGCAGCCTTGGCGGCTTCTGCTTGCGAGGAGAAGATTCCAGGAGATTGCTCCAGGCCTTCAGCCAGGGTTCTCCATCCCGACTTATCCTTCTCGTCACCCGTCGTCGTTCCGTTTACTGTCTCGCCGTCTCGTCTTGATGACAGCACGAAAGTGGAAATCTCGGAAGAATCTGCGTCCTGGTTTCCCGCGGGACGCCATTCGAGCGAGGTTGGTGAAATGTGTGTTCCTGAATTACCAGGAGATTCACCAGGTGCATCTGTTTCAGGGAATCTGCTAGATGAAGAGGGAGTATTTACTGACACGCGGTCATTAATCGCGACAGCCAGGGGGTCGACAATGGCTCTACGACCTTCGCGAAAGGACTGGCACTTCGCCGACCTTTCGTTACCTTTCGCCAGCCGAACCAGCTGGCGTTGAGAGGCTCGGCCAGACTGGAGGAACTCGCTCTGGCTAAGTTCCAGAGGAGCGTGCGCTGGAGCTGAGAGGAGCGATAGCCTTAGCGAACCCATGACATTCGACGCCATGGATTCGGAAATGCTAAGGCTGTCTCTAACTTATCCTGAAAATAGATTATCTCGAGGTTGTGTGGGTTCACTCTCCCGATGAGGAAACTTGGAGCCTTGAAACTGACGACTCAGCCGAACTCTGGTTACCCTGACGAAATGCTCGAGGCCCTCGCTATGTGTAGCGTGGTTTTTTTTCAAATTATTTCGTCAATGCTCGTGCGACGGATGCTTCGCAATCCCTGGAGGTTGACGGGAGTTTTACATCGAACCAGTGGCCGCCACGAGGGCGACTGGAGGCTCCAAGCTACGTGGAGAAAGGGCCACGCAGCCAATCAAGGCCCCGCTTTCGCGATGCATTCAGATTGCCCCAGTTTCGCTTCTTGAAGATAGCTCATGCAGCCTCCCTATAATGCAACCTGGTTAGACGCGGAAAAACCTCAACTAATCATATATACAAGAGGGCGATCACTTTCTTTGTAAGCTCCTTGCAGCATCCCATGCCTTGAACTCAGCTAGCTTTTGCTTTCTCTCCTCAGAACTCATTTGCAGTATCTTCTTTGAAAATTCCTCTCCACTCGATTCCCCAGCCCAAGCAGCCATGCGTGCAAACACTTCCGCCTTCACATTCGTCGATGCCGCTTGGAGCTGCTTCTGTTGACATACCTCCACTCGTTGCTCAAGGAGCTGTCGCGGTGATTGCCGCCCTGCTAACGCCTCCCCTCGGCCCTCCGTACCCCTTTTCCGAGGATTCGGCCCTTTTTGCTGCTCTTTGTGTGCATCTCCCTTCCTCTTCCCTCCACCACCCTTATCCACCACTCCACACTTCCCCCCACCTCCCGTTCTCGCCCCACTCCTCTTCCTCTTCAGTGATCCTGCCGCCTGATCCTGTTCCTTAATCGAACGTGACAAACTGCAGGGCGTGACTAAGGAAGGAGGAGAGCGAGACGGAAGGTGGGGGTGGGGCTTGGTTGGGCGGTCATCCAAGGGTGCAGCAGCCAATGGCGTGACGGTCCTGGAGCCATGGTTGCCCCTGATGACGTCATCATTCACATGGGTGTATGCCACGCCAGCATCAAGAAGCTCATCTGGTATCGACCCCATGGCATAGTCATCATGACCCATGCCATGCGCATCATGACCCATGCCATATGCATCATGGCCCATGCCATGCGCATCTGCATGACAACCCATGCCCTCCTGTCCTCCTTGCTTCCCCCTCACACCCTCACTCTCTCCCCCACTATCCTCAATCTCATCCTCTTCCTCCTCCCCCACATCCATCCCTCCTCTCCCATCCAAACCTTCTTCCCCCTCCCTACCCTCCCTTCTCTCCTTCCTCCTCTCACACCTCCCCCTTCCTCTCCCTCGGCCCTTCTGCTTCCATACACCAGGCACCTCTCTCTCCTCTACGAACCTAGCCAGCCCACTCACACCATTGTCCTCCTCATCCTCCTTCCTTCCCTTGCCTCTACCGCCTATCACATGCATCTCCTCTCTCTTACTTGCCAAACCAAGCCCATCGCCACCTGCTGCACTCGCAATTTCAGGTGCTTCAGATGATACGCCAGGTGTGTCAGGAGTCTCCCCAGGTGTTTCAGGTGCAATGCCACCACCAGGCACCTGAACAACAAGCAGATCATCTTCGTCCTTTCCCGATTCGCAGTGTTGTTTTTTCCTCAGAGCCAATGCAACTTTTCTCTTTCCCACCTTCTCCTCTTTCTCCTCATGTTCCTGCTCCTCCTGCTGCTTCTCCTGTTGTGGCTGCTCTGCTGCCTTGCCAATGATCTCTGCTGACAGAATGCTCATGCTGCGGTCTTGAAACAGATTCGCCACTCCAAACAGCTCCCCTTGGTGTGCCTTGGAACCCTGCAGAAGAGACAGAGAGCGACAGCGAGAGTGGTAGGGAGGAGTTTTGGAACATTCCAAAAGCTGACACAATATTAGTGCTGCGGTTTTGAAACAGGTTTGCCACTCCAAATAGCTCCCCTTCGTGGGCCTTGGAACCCTGAGCGAGAGACAGAGAGTGGAGTAGAAAGGAGCGGATTTCCAAATCAGGGAGTTCGAAAAAACAGAAGAAAAGAAAAGAAAAGAAAAGAAAAGAAAAGAGAAAAAAAAAAAAAAAAAAAACCGCCTTCTCTAACTCTCTCCCATTTCCCTCCACTCACTCCCTGCCCACCGGCACGCCTGTGAAGTATCGCTGCTCTGAGGCCCCTTCAATCGCGATGTTGGTCTGCTGCTGCTTGTACACCTTCCGCAGATATACCACCTCCTCCACCATCCTCTCTCGCTCGCTCGCTCGCCCCCTCCCTTCTTGTCTTCCCTTGTATACCTCTTCGCTCACCTGCACGCCTGTGAAGTATCGCTGCTCCGTGGCCCCTTCGATCGCGATGTTGGTCTGCTGCTGCTTGTACACCTGTCGAAGGTAAACCACCTCTTCCACTGTCCCCCCTGCCACTAGCCGGTAGACTGAAACGTGCCGCGTCTGGCCGAACCTGAAGGAGCGATCCTGAGCCTGAAGTTGGCAAAGGGAGGGTGGAAAGGAAGAGGTTGAGAGGAGTGCAGGTGGTGCTGAGAGTCATGGGCCGGGGTTTCAAGGGGAACCTAGGTCCACTAGTAAGGGGAGTTGTGACTGCTGCTTTGAGTTGTCTCCTAGTGAACCTAGTTACTCAGCTGAAGTTCACTAGTTTGACTTGAGACGACTCGATCTAGCAGTCACAACTCCCCTTCCCTTATTTCGTGAGCTCATATAAAACACATGGCGTATGTGGTAGATAAGAATACTAATAATAATAATAATAATAATAATAATAATAATAATAATAATAACAATAACAATAACAATAATAATAATAATAATAGTAATAGTAATAGTAATAATAATAATAATAATAATAATAATAATAATAATAATAATAATAATAATAATAATAATAATAATAATAATAATAATAATAATAATAATAATAATAATAAAAACCGTGGCCCCCTTACTTGTAGATCATGGGCGGGGTTCCACGTCGGGTCAAAGATAATGACTCGGTTGGCGCTGACTAGATTGAGACCGATACCACCTGCCTTAGTTGAAATGAGAAAGACCTGACAGGAAAGGAGGGGGGGAGGAAAAGGACAGGGCAATAAGGACAGGGCAACTCAGGGGAACGCAACGAGTTTCCTTGCACGAGAGACTGCACTGTTGCACTGGATGTGGAGCCGTCACGACGAGAGAACGATGCTTCCGTCAAGGCAGGAGAAACGTGTGTCTAAAAGGAGAACGAGTGAGCGAGACGTGGGCCTGATGTGTGTCTAAAAGGAGAACGAGTGAGCGAGACGTGGGCCTGACGTGTGTCTAAAAGGAGAACGAGTGAGCGAGACGTGGGCCTGACGTGTGTCTAAAAGGAGAACGAGTGAGCAAGACGTGGGCCTGACGTGTGTCTAAAAGGAAGGAGAACGAGTGAGCGAGACGTGGGCCTGACGTGTGTCTAAAAGGAGAACGAGTGAGCGAGACGTGGGCCTGACGTGTGTCTAAAAGGAGAAGGAGTGAGCGAGACGTGGGCCTGACGTGTGTCTAAAAGGAGAACGAGTGAGCGAGACGTGGGCCTGACGTGTGTCTAAAAGGAGAACGAGTGAGCGAGACGTGGGCCTGACGTGTGTCTAAAAGGAGAACGAGTGAGCGAGACGTGGGCCTGACGTGTGTCTAAAAGGAAGGAGAACGAGTGAGCGAGACGTGGGCCTGACGTGTGTCTAAAAGGAGAATGAGTGAGCGAGAAGTGGGCCTGACGTGTGTCTAAAAGGAGAACGAGTGAGCGAGACGTGGGCCTGATGTGTGTCTAAAAGGAGAACGAGTGAGCGAGACGTGGGCCTGACGTGTGTCTAAAAGGAGAACGAGTGAGCGAGACGTGGGCCTGACGTGTGTCTAAAAGGAGAACGAGTGAGCGAGACGTGGGCCTGACGTGTGTCTAAAAGGAGAACGAGTGAGCGAGACGTGGGCCTGACGTGTGTCTAAAAGGAGAACGGTGGGCCTGACCTGCTGGAGTTGAAGCCATGCACGAGAGCCTGCTGTGCCTTTGCTGGAGCCTGCTGTGTCTGTGTGGGTGGAGACGAGAGAGAAGTGTGTGTCTGCCACAAAGAGGGTAGAGGCTAGAGGTGAGCTTGAGTCGACGCAAAGCCTCACCTGTATAGAAGGGCTGGAGTTGAAGCCGTGCACGAGAGCCTGGCGCGTTGCTGTGGAGGTGGAGCCGTCGAGGCGAGAGAAGGAGATCCCTCTTGCCTCTAGGAACCTCTGAAGCACGTCCAGCATTCTGAAAGGGGGGGGAGGGCGGGCAGAGAAGGCGGCGAGGCAAACTGCCAATGCTTGACGCACTGGGAGTGCAAACCCAGAGGCAAACCCAGAGGCAAACCCAGAGGCAAACCCAGAGGCAAACCCAGAGGCAAACCCAGAGGCAAACCCAGAGGCAAACCCAGAGGCAAACCCAGAGGCAAACCCAGAGGCAAACCCAGAGGCAAACCCAGAGGCAAACCCAGAGGCAAACCCAGAGGCAAACCCAGAGGCAAACCCAGAGGCAAACCCAGAGGCAAACCCAGAGGCAAACCCAGAGGCAAACCCAGAGGCAAACCCAGAGGCAAACCCAGAGGCAAACCCAGAGGCAAACCCAGAGGCAAACCCAGAGGCAAACCCAGAGGCAAACCCAGAGGCAAACCCAGAGGCAAACCCAGAGGCAAACCCAGAGGCAAACCCAGAGGCAAACCCAGAGGCAAACCCAGAGGCAAACCCAGAGGCAAACCCAGAGGCAAACCCAGAGGCAAACCCAGAGGCAAACCCAGAGGCAAACCCAGAGGCAAACCCAGAGGCAAACCCAGAGGCAAACCCAGAGGCAAACCCAGAGGCAAACCCAGAGGCAAACCCAGAGGCAAACCCAGAGGCAAACCCAGAGGCAAACCCAGAGGCAAACCCAGAGGCAAACCCAGAGGCAAACCCAGAGGCAAACCCAGAGGCAAACCCAGAGGCAAACCCAGAGGCAAACCCAGAGGCAAACCCAGAGGCAAACCCAGAGGCAAACCCAGAGGCAAACCCAGAGGCAAACCCAGAGGCAAACCCAGAGGCAAACCCAGAGGCAAACCCAGAGGCAAACCCAGAGGCAAACCCAGAGGCAAACCCAGAGGCAAACCCAGAGGCAAACCCAGAGGCAAACCCAGAGGCAAACCCAGAGGCAAACCCAGAGGCAAACCCAGAGGCAAACCCAGAGGCAAACCCAGAGGCAAACCCAGAGGCAAACCCAGAGGCAAACCCAGAGGCAAACCCAGAGGCAAACCCAGAGGCAAACCCAGAGGCAAACCCAGAGGCAAACCCAGAGGCAAACCCAGAGGCAAACCCAGAGGCAAACCCAGAGGCAAACCCAGAGGCAAACCCAGAGGCAAACCCAGAGGCAAACCCAGAGGCAAACCCAGAGGCAAACCCAGAGGCAAACCCAGAGGCAAACCCAGAGGCAAACCCAGAGGCAAACCCAGAGGCAAACCCAGAGGCAAACCCAGAGGCAAACCCAGAGGCAAACCCAGAGGCAAACCCAGAGGCAAACCCAGAGGCAAACCCAGAGGCAAACCCAGAGGCAAACCCAGAGGCAAACCCAGAGGCAAACCCAGAGGCAAACCCAGAGGCAAACCCAGAGGCAAACCCAGAGGCAAACCCAGAGGCAAACCCAGAGGCAAACCCAGAGGCAAACCCAGAGGCAAACCCAGAGGCAAACCCAGAGGCAAACCCAGAGGCAAACCCAGAGGCAAACCCAGAGGCAAACCCAGAGGCAAACCCAGAGGCAAACCCAGAGGCAAACCCAGAGGCAAACCCAGAGGCAAACCCAGAGGCAAACCCAGAGGCAAACCCAGAGGCAAACCCAGAGGCAAACCCAGAGGCAAACCCAGAGGCAAACCCAGAGGCAAACCCAGAGGCAAACCCAGAGGCAAACCCAGAGGCAAACCCAGAGGCAAACCCAGAGGCAAACCCAGAGGCAAACCCAGAGGCAAACCCAGAGGCAAACCCAGAGGCAAACCCAGAGGCAAACCCAGAGGCAAACCCAGAGGCAAACCCAGAGGCAAACCCAGAGGCAAACCCAGAGGCAAACCCAGAGGCAAACCCAGAGGCAAACCCAGAGGCAAACCCAGAGGCAAACCCAGAGGCAAACCCAGAGGCAAACCCAGAGGCAAACCCAGAGGCAAACCCAGAGGCAAACCCAGAGGCAAACCCAGAGGCAAACCCAGAGGCAAACCCAGAGGCAAACCCAGAGGCAAACCCAGAGGCAAACCCAGAGGCAAACCCAGAGGCAAACCCAGAGGCAAACCCAGAGGCAAACCCAGAGGCAAACCCAGAGGCAAACCCAGAGGCAAACCCAGAGGCAAACCCAGAGGCAAACCCAGAGGCAAACCCAGAGGCAAACCCAGAGGCAAACCCAGAGGCAAACCCAGAGGCAAACCCAGAGGCAAACCCAGAGGCAAACCCAGAGGCAAACCCAGAGGCAAACCCAGAGGCAAACCCAGAGGCAAACCCAGAGGCAAACCCAGAGGCAAACCCAGAGGCAAACCCAGAGGCAAACCCAGAGGCAAACCCAGAGGCAAACCCAGAGGCAAACCCAGAGGCAAACCCAGAGGCAAACCCAGAGGCAAACCCAGAGGCAAACCCAGAGGCAAACCCAGAGGCAAACCCAGAGGCAAACCCAGAGGCAAACCCAGAGGCAAACCCAGAGGCAAACCCAGAGGCAAACCCAGAGGCAAACCCAGAGGCAAACCCAGAGGCAAACCCAGAGGCAAACCCAGAGGCAAACCCAGAGGCAAACCCAGAGGCAAACCCAGAGGCAAACCCAGAGGCAAACCCAGAGGCAAACCCAGAGGCAAACCCAGAGGCAAACCCAGAGGCAAACCCAGAGGCAAACCCAGAGGCAAACCCAGAGGCAAACCCAGAGGCAAACCCAGAGGCAAACCCAGAGGCAAACCCAGAGGCAAACCCAGAGGCAAACCCAGAGGCAAACCCAGAGGCAAACCCAGAGGCAAACCCAGAGGCAAACCCAGAGGCAAACCCAGAGGCAAACCCAGAGGCAAACCCAGAGGCAAACCCAGAGGCAAACCCAGAGGCAAACCCAGAGGCAAACCCAGAGGCAAACCCAGAGGCAAACCCAGAGGCAAACCCAGAGGCAAACCCAGAGGCAAACCCAGAGGCAAACCCAGAGGCAAACCCAGAGGCAAACCCAGAGGCAAACCCAGAGGCAAACCCAGAGGCAAACCCAGAGGCAAACCCAGAGGCAAACCCAGAGGCAAACCCAGAGGCAAACCCAGAGGCAAACCCAGAGGCAAACCCAGAGGCAAACCCAGAGGCAAACCCAGAGGCAAACCCAGAGGCAAACCCAGAGGCAAACCCAGAGGCAAACCCAGAGGCAAACCCAGAGGCAAACCCAGAGGCAAACCCAGAGGCAAACCCAGAGGCAAACCCAGAGGCAAACCCAGAGGCAAACCCAGAGGCAAACCCAGAGGCAAACCCAGAGGCAAACCCAGAGGCAAACCCAGAGGCAAACCCAGAGGCAAACCCAGAGGCAAACCCAGAGGCAAACCCAGAGGCAAACCCAGAGGCAAACCCAGAGGCAAACCCAGAGGCAAACCCAGAGGCAAACCCAGAGGCAAACCCAGAGGCAAACCCAGAGGCAAACCCAGAGGCAAACCCAGAGGCAAACCCAGAGGCAAACCCAGAGGCAAACCCAGAGGCAAACCCAGAGGCAAACCCAGAGGCAAACCCAGAGGCAAACCCAGAGGCAAACCCAGAGGCAAACCCAGAGGCAAACCCAGAGGCAAACCCAGAGGCAAACCCAGAGGCAAACCCAGAGGCAAACCCAGAGGCAAACCCAGAGGCAAACCCAGAGGCAAACCCAGAGGCAAACCCAGAGGCAAACCCAGAGGCAAACCCAGAGGCAAACCCAGAGGCAAACCCAGAGGCAAACCCAGAGGCAAACCCAGAGGCAAACCCAGAGGCAAACCCAGAGGCAAACCCAGAGGCAAACCCAGAGGCAAACCCAGAGGCAAACCCAGAGGCAAACCCAGAGGCAAACCCAGAGGCAAACCCAGAGGCAAACCCAGAGGCAAACCCAGAGGCAAACCCAGAGGCAAACCCAGAGGCAAACCCAGAGGCAAACCCAGAGGCAAACCCAGAGGCAAACCCAGAGGCAAACCCAGAGGCAAACCCAGAGGCAAACCCAGAGGCAAACCCAGAGGCAAACCCAGAGGCAAACCCAGAGGCAAACCCAGAGGCAAACCCAGAGGCAAACCCAGAGGCAAACCCAGAGGCAAACCCAGAGGCAAACCCAGAGGCAAACCCAGAGGCAAACCCAGAGGCAAACCCAGAGGCAAACCCAGAGGCAAACCCAGAGGCAAACCCAGAGGCAAACCCAGAGGCAAACCCAGAGGCAAACCCAGAGGCAAACCCAGAGGCAAACCCAGAGGCAAACCCAGAGGCAAACCCAGAGGCAAACCCAGAGGCAAACCCAGAGGCAAACCCAGAGGCAAACCCAGAGGCAAACCCAGAGGCAAACCCAGAGGCAAACCCAGAGGCAAACCCAGAGGCAAACCCAGAGGCAAACCCAGAGGCAAACCCAGAGGCAAACCCAGAGGCAAACCCAGAGGCAAACCCAGAGGCAAACCCAGAGGCAAACCCAGAGGCAAACCCAGAGGCAAACCCAGAGGCAAACCCAGAGGCAAACCCAGAGGCAAACCCAGAGGCAAACCCAGAGGCAAACCCAGAGGCAAACCCAGAGGCAAACCCAGAGGCAAACCCAGAGGCAAACCCAGAGGCAAACCCAGAGGCAAACCCAGAGGCAAACCCAGAGGCAAACCCAGAGGCAAACCCAGAGGCAAACCCAGAGGCAAACCCAGAGGCAAACCCAGAGGCAAACCCAGAGGCAAACCCAGAGGCAAACCCAGAGGCAAACCCAGAGGCAAACCCAGAGGCAAACCCAGAGGCAAACCCAGAGGCAAACCCAGAGGCAAACCCAGAGGCAAACCCAGAGGCAAACCCAGAGGCAAACCCAGAGGCAAACCCAGAGGCAAACCCAGAGGCAAACCCAGAGGCAAACCCAGAGGCAAACCCAGAGGCAAACCCAGAGGCAAACCCAGAGGCAAACCCAGAGGCAAACCCAGAGGCAAACCCAGAGGCTGCAGAGCACAGCAGCACTTTATTCCCCCTTGCCCACACCACTGCCTGACCCGACTCAGTTTGAATATCTAGACCGGCTCTCTCTTGACTTGCTTTGACTTACTTGACCAAATGGCTGAACAGCAGCACTTTATCGCCCCTCCCACACCACTGCTTCAGCACCCGATCCAACGCCCTCAGCTTCCCACAGTGCTTGACTCAGTTTGACAAACAGCAGATCCAACATCAGCTTGACCATCTTTGACTTGCTTTGACTCACTTGACTGAGTGGCTGAACAGCAGCACTTTATCCCCGCTCCCACACCACTGCTTCAGCAGCCGATCCAACGCCCTCAGCTTCCCACAGTGCTCGCTACTCCCAAGTGTCAGCAAATCGCTCGCCGCCCGCACGCCGCCCGCCAGGTCAGCATCGCCGGCCAGCGCCAGCCTGGCGAACGCGAGATCCCTGGCCTGCTTGTCCTGGGGGTCCCTGGGATTTGGCTTCAGCAGCTCCAAATGATTGCTGATCTGGAGAAAGGGAAGGAGGAAGAAGAACGGGAGGAAGTGTATGAAGTGTATGAAGTGTATGAAGTGTATGAAGTGTATGAAGCAGAGTATTTAGAAAGCTGAGGGGAGAAAGCAGGAAAGGAAAATGCGAGATCCCTGGATCCCTGGCCTGCTTGTCGGGAGGGTGCTGGGGTTGCGCGGGTTCATTTGCGACGTCTCAAAAGCTCTGCTAGCACCCAAGCACTGGGCTCTAGCAGCTCCAGATGGTTGGTGAGCTGAAAAGCGAAAGGAGGAGGGAGAATGGCAGCAAGATTCAGATGGAAAAGGAGGAGTTTATCTGCCTCTAGCCTGAAATTCGTTTGATTCAGATGGAATGGGAGATGGATCAAACGAACCCAACCCATACCTCAGAGCACCCTGAGACCAGATAAACCCATAGCTCAGCATTTATTCGTCTCCACATACCTGTTGCAGCTGTTGCTCCAATCGCTCAACTGCTGCAGCTACAAGCTCACCTGCTGAAGCTTTGAGAGGCAGGGGAAGAGCACGCAGAAGGGGCAGCGCGGGCAGCAGAGGCCATCGGGATGGAGGGACGACCACAGCACCCCTCCCCCTCCCATCTCCTCTCCCCCGTCCCCTTTATGGTGGCACTCACTGCGCTTCCTCGGGCCGCCACAACTGTTGGAGATACAAAGACAGAGGGGTGGGGATGCATGCACAGGGAGTGGAGAAGGAGGACAGTTACAAAATGAAGGGCCGTATCAATCAGCATTATGCCCTCCCCTCCCTCAGCCTAACAGCGTAACAGCCTAACAGCGTAACAGCCTAACAGCCTAACAGCCTAACAGCGTAACAGCGTAACAGCCTAACAGCCTAACAGCCTAACAGCCTAACAGCCTAACAGCCTAACAGCCTAACAGCCTAACAGCCTAACAGCCTAACAGCCTAACAGCCTAACAGCGTAACAGCCTAACAGCCTAACAGTGTAACAGCCTAACAGCGTAACAGCGTAACAGCCTAACAGCCTAACAGCCTAACAGCCTAACAGCCTAACAGCGTAACAGCCTAACAGCATAACAGCGTAACAGCCTAACAGCCACAGCTTAACAGCCTAACAGCGTAACAGCCTAACAGCCTAACAGCGTAACAGCCTAACAGCCTAACAGCCTAACAGCCTAACAGCCTAACAGCCTAATAGCGTAACAGCCTAACAGCGTAACAGCGTAACAGCCTAACAGCCTAACAGCCTAACAGCCTAACAGCGTAACAGCGTAACAGCCTAACAGTCCAACAGCCTAACAGCGTAACAGCCTAACAGCCTAACAGCCTTACAGCCTAACAGCCAAACAGCCTAACAGCCTAAGAGCCTAAGGGCCTAACAGCCTAACAGCCTAACAGCGTAACAGCGTAACAGCCTAACAGCCTAACAGCCTAACAGCCTAACAGCTTAACAGCCTAGGCGGGTATAAAGGGTCGATTCAGAATAGAGGGGGCTGAGGGTTGAAATGATTTCCATGCACGGCTAGAATAGACCCCTAGGCCCCATCTGACCTGCATTTCTCGTCCTTTCGTGAGAGAAGCTGGAAGTCAGGTAGTTTCGAACACAGCTGGTACACCCTCCCCTGGAGTGAGTTTCCAGTCCCTTACAGGCTAAAGCTTACCCCTAAACCTTCTCTCACCTGCATTGCTCGTCCTTTCGTGAAAGCAGCAGGAAGTCGAATAGTTTCAGACAGTGCTGATACACCCCCCCTGGAGTGAGTTTCCATTCCCTTACCGGCTAAAAGTTACCCCTAATCCCCTTCTCACCTGCATGGCTCGTCCTTTCGTGAGAGGAGCTGGAAGTCAGGCAGTTTCAAACACCGCTGGTACACCCTCCTCTGGAGTGACGTCATCGGGCACACCACAATCATGTCGCGCTTTCCTGGAAGCTTCAGCAAGCCCTGCAGGTCATCCTTGTGCCGCCGAAGCAGCACCCGAGCCAGCGCCCGAACCAGCTCTGCCTGCCGAGCCTGCGCCCGAGCCACCAGAGGCTGGGGAGCCCCCTTGCGCTGACCCTGAGGTGGGAGGTTGGGAAGGGGAAAGAAAATAGAAGAAAAGATATCCTAGGCACACCCAATGAAAGCAGGCTCTGCAACTCTGCTCCGCTTCCCTCCAACCCCGGTTCCACCTTTCCACCACCACCCCCTATGCTTACCAGCCTGAGAGGGTCGCTGTATCGCTCGTTGAACTCTTTCAGAGAGCCCAGATAGCCCCGCCGCACCCATTGAAGAACGCTCCACAGCTCCCGGAACTCGTTCTGCATGACTGTGCCTGAGAGGCCATAGCGACGAGCAGTGTTGATGCGATCCGCACACTGAGGGAGGGAGGGGAGAAAGAAGGGGAGGAAGAAGGGGAGAAAGAAGGGGAGAAAGAAGGGGAGAAAGAAGGGGAGAAAAGAAGGGGAGTAGGGATTTAAACCCGAGGGATGGGGGCAGGTGGGACTGCAGCACGCTCCAGAGCTCCCGGAACTCGTTCTGCATGACTGTGCCTGAGAGGCCGTAGCGACGAGCGGTGTTGATGCGATCCGCACACTGGAAGTGCGGAGGAGGGAGGCATATTAGGGGAGTGGGGGAGGGGAGCATGTTAGGGGAGCATATAAGGCATATTAGGGGAGTGGGGAATGTCAAGCAAAAAATGCAAGCATGTCTGTTGCAAATATGACCTTCAGCACCATACCTGAAATAAAGCCGAGCTGTAGCTTCGTAGTCAATGCACCTTGTCCACTAGTGCCATACCATGAGCCATGGGTGTGGGCACATTGAGTCAACTGCATACATGAACAGCAAATGGTTCACCTTATCATACCTGGGGCAGAGCTGAGCCGCAGCTTCTTAGTTTGTGCACCTCGTCCCCTATCACCATGAGCCATGGTGTGGGCATAGTGTGTCGGTGGCATTTAAGAGTGTGTGTGGTGAGTGTGTGTGTGTGCACGTGCGTGTGTATATATATATAGCCTACAAATAAGTGTGTGTGTATACATATATATATATATATATATATATGTATATATATATATTTAGCCTACAAGCCTACAAAGACAGCCTCACCACCATACCTGGAACAGAGCGGAGCTGTAGCTTCTCAGTCGATGCACCTCGTCTACAATCGCCATGAGCCACGGGTGTGGGCACAGCGTGTCAGCTGCAGACCGGAACGTGTCGAAAGTAGTCAGAACAACCTGCGGTGAGGAGGAGGAGGATGGATGGACGAACCCAGAAAAACGATGCACACGACGTGAATAACGATTCACACGGGGGGTTGAAAATACTGAAGAAAGTCATTCCTCACTAGCCGGGCACGGCTGAAGACATGCCTCACTAGCCAAATTCGAACCCCACCTACTACTGACCCTCACCTCCGCCCATCCCGAAAGCAGCTCCACCAGAGCAGCCTCTCTGTGTGACCCGTGAAACACAGAGATTCGAAAGTGCCCCCACCGGTTCAGCTCCTCCTGCCAGTTGCCCAGCACTGAGCTCGGCACCACCACCAGTATTGCCCTCCGTGCTGCACTGCTCCCCTCTGCTGCTGTCCTTCCTGCTGCTCCCCCCGCTCTTGCAATGCTCGCCCCTTGGTCTTTGGTCTTGCAATGCCGCTGTCCGCCAAGAACCGTTTCTTTGGTCTCCCCTGCTGCTTTCACTGTTGCTGCTGCAGATGTGGTTGAGGCAGCAGTAGCTGCTTCTGCCGCAGCTGACACTGCAACTGTCTGCGCTGCTGCTGCAGTCACAGTAACTGCGGGTGCAGCCATGTCTTCAGCCGTGCCTGTCTTTCCCAGCACTGCTGCCATCAGTGCAATCGCCTGAATCGTCTTGCCCAAGCCCCTGTGAACACAACTCAAGTTGTCCACACGAAACAGATTATTCAACTGACACAACTTGCAATTTCCAAAAGCTTAAACTACCACAAAACCTCATCAATATTGCAATTCATTCTGTCTGGTGTCGAAAAGTCACCTTTTTTAAATTACCTTCGCCAGTCACCGTCTGGATAGTCACACACCCATCCTCGATATAGTCACATCACGTACATGTCATCTGCCAGAATGCCGCCCGTATTCTGTCGGAAGAGCTGGTACAGAAACCGCACCCCTTCCTTCTGATGCTCCATCAGGTGTCTGCTGATAGACGCTGGTACCCTCACCACCTCCTTGTCTCTCCCACTCTCTGGTGACGTCATCCTGTTACCCTTTTCGTCAATTTCGTCCTCTACTGGCCACACCACGAGACCCTCGTCTCCCTCCTCACTTCCCCACACGCCACCATAACTATCCCACACTGCCTCCTTCCTCCTCTCTTCTTCCTCTACGTACTCCTCCCACGCCAGTGCCCTAGCATGCTTCACAGCCACACTACCACTCACTCCTCCTGCATCATCATGCTCTTTTGAACTCCCGCCTTCCCTTCTTCCTCCTGCAAACCCTCCTGTTTTCCTTCCTGCCACTTCCACTCCTCCCACATCCCCCTTCCTTTCTCCCAATCCTCCTTTTTTTCCTCCATTTTTTCCTCCCACGCCTCCCTCTCTTCTCCTCTCTCCCTCTTCCTTTCCTTCCGTTCCTACTCCAGCTTCGTCTCTACCCGAAGCCTCTACAGCCGTTTCTCTAAGCCCTGAATTATTGGAATCACTTTTGGAAAAACTAAAGAATGACTCAAAAATAGTACCCCGTGCCTCCGCAGCCGTTTCTTCGACTCCCGAAGCGTTCGCTGATAACGCGTTCGCCGAAAGGTCGCCAGCGTTTCTCCCCCAGTTTTCGACTCTCGGGCAATCTGACGGCGTCGTCGCTTCGACTGAACCTGACGTTTTCCGTCCGTCACAGGCTCTAAGCCATGCCGAGAAAACTCGGTCACGTGACGGAAACGTCTCTTTAATCGCCTGATTTTCCTGCCTAACCTGCCGTTCCTGTGCCTTCTGACTCTCATGACTCTCATGGCTCCCCTGAACATCCTGACTATCCGAGTATAGACTCGGCCTGCCCTCCACTAGTCCTCGCCGCTCGTCCTCTCGCTTCCGCTCGTCTTTGTTGGATCGATCCTCGTCATCTCCCCAGCATTTGTCGCCTCCTGCCTTTTCTAGGTGCATGTAATCGTCCGGTCTACTTCTATCTTCTCCTGCCTTGTCTTGATCTGGACATCGATCAGGCTCACGCGACTCGGGATAATTCGAGACGCTACCTTTCGAAGGCTTGAAGAAGAAATCGAAAAAATCATCGGTCGATATCATGCTCGGGGAATCAACTCGGGGGAATCAATTAGTCGAGGAAGTTCACGCATCTGCTTGAAACCATATGCTATTTCGAAAGACGCACATAGACTACACGTATTAGTCGAGAGTAAGTTTATTACGTGACGTAGACGTACACTAGTCGCTCAAAACGTGTGAAACGGGTCTGCGTAGGCGATCGCTTTTGTGCGGAGCAGACCCTGAAGGCAGCTTTTCTGCGGTTGTTCTCGGACAGCGATGCTGAAACCATCCAAAATCGAGCCTGTCACAACGCGACTCGCGACCGAAGCCTTTCTGTCAGGTTTGTCCATTCAAAACCAGTCTTCGAACCTCCGCGATGTCTTCGATATGAAACGGATGGATATTATGCAAGGAGCGTTTTGGCGATGCAGACTCCAAGTAACCTGTACACCAAGAAGCTCCAGGAAAAGTTTGCAACCAAATTACACCAAATCTACATTATTCCCAAGATGATAACAAGACGACTCTGAATCTTTCTCGCTTTGAAATAGCTTACCCAGATCTGATGCACTTCCACTTTGAGGCCCGCACCACAGTGAATACCGTGTTTGACAGGTAGCTCGGATAGTAAATTCATCACATAACGTTTTCAGAGTTGTAATTGTAAACGGGAAGCTGGTTGTACCTCAAAACAACGTTATTTGCCTTTTATCTGTGAAATGTTGTTTGAAGGTCATGTTTCCTCCATCCACATTTTTTACAATCTCTCAATTTCAAATTCCCGTTCTACTTACCCAACCCACCCACATCGCAGCCAGAGACTTGTGGTGCTTCTCAGACTAGCTAGCAACACGTAAGGGTGCATACATGTATAATGTGCCATAGTACTTGGAACAGAATTCAGGTAAGAAAAATGCGCACAATTACCACACAATCAAGACAGCACAGAACAATCATCCAGGGCTATTCTCGTGCCGTATCAAATCATCGGGTGGGGGAATGCACGACTCAATACAAGACTCCCGACCGCCGTTTCCTAAAAACTCAGCGGTTGGGCTGACACTAAGTGGTGCTGAGGAGTGATTGCATACACGTGTCATCTCCATTTGGAAGGAGCACTGGTCCCTTATTTCTCCTTGAGAGCAGCAATCTGTTTCTTGAGAGCCTCTTTCCGCTTCATGTTCTCATACAGCTTAGCCTGGTACCCCGTCAGGTCTGACTTCTCCTTCTCCTCCTGCGGAGGAGGCTTCTTCCGTGCTGCTTGTGCACTCTGGGGCAGCGCCAGCGCGCCGAGAAGTGCCGCCCCCGACACAGCCACAAGCGCCCTGCAGTGGTATGAGGAAGTGATTCGTATTAATAACCTTGTTAAATTTCATGGGAGGTGTGTTATTCTTTAAACCAGGCGTTCGGAACTGAGGTGAGAGACTATCGACACAGATTCATGAGGTCGGGGGGGGTGAAGAATAGGGCTATTCAACGAGCGTTACCTTCGAGTTGTGGCATCCTCGTTTGAAGCCTGACATTTCCATCCAACAATCCGTTGACTAGCGGGTGCCGGATGCACGGACTTGGCTTCCAGCCGCAATCCAGCGAGCTCTGGCGCCAAGAGCGTCGTGCAAGCCGGCGAGGAAACAAGGATAGAAGCGGCCATGATTGGGAAATTTGGCGTTACGCCGACAGATGAACCAGGAACCAGCGCGCCTGGGAGGGTAAGCGCGGTCTAATCAAGAGTGCTTCCCGAATAGGAGTGGTAAGCGAACATCAATGGCTGCAGAAACAAATTTGCTCTGAATAGGCACGAGCTGAAGCAAAATGCTTCAGTCGAATGTGAATTCCGAGCCACGTCAACCGAAGCCTAGTCAGCCGAATCTATGGGTTTTGGCGGGAGAATAAATGCTGCTGTCGTGGCGCAAACTTTGTACTGATTGACGTGGTCCAAGCAGCTGATGACATGGTGTTGACGCGGACTGTGGTGTCAACAGAGTGTCCAGCTGATTACCCCATTTCCAGTGTGCATTCATCTCAAAAATCCGCGATAAGGGAGGCCATCCATTCATTCCAAAATGGAGAGTAGTCACAATGTCTCAGTAAAATTCTGTTGTTGCCTCTTCTTGTTGCTTTTTGTAGTAATGCACTATTACCAGCATGCGCCACTTAATATCAATATTTTAATTTTTAAAAGTAAACTAGATAATCGAATATGGACAAAAAATATAAGTGGGGGGTATGACCCTGCTACGGGTGAAAGAATGCATTACAATGTACTCTTAGCAAAATTTTCAGTTCACGCGTACATCCATTCCGTCTCTGCTCAGGACTTGTGATCCTCGATTACATACTCCAAGGTCTCTGGGTTCAAAAGAGCATCTGAATCTGACAAGACGCAGCAAGGCCCACGCTTCTGGCCATTTGAATCTGCTGCCATTACGGCATCTTGCTTGCCTGCTCGCGTCAGGTTCTTCGCTTCACTCGCTCTCCACGGATCGGGATCTCGGTAGACGTTGCGACCCTTGCAAGTGCAATTATTGACCGCAGCTTTTGCTAAGGTTTCGCCATGGCGGGAATGGGAATGATGGTAAGTGAATCTGCAACAGCGAAGCGCCTACCAGCTAGCAGGCTGACGGTGATCTCCAAGATCGGTAGACGTACTCTGATTTCCTTACTCGCAGTTGGGCTGCTCAAGTGATTATGCTACCGGATGAACCGCAATACACGATTTGGAGTATCAGGGCTCAGGGCTCATGCTTAAGCACGATGTACGCTGTTAGGATCAGTGAGCTTGCAGATTCGTTGGAGTTCATATCAATGGACTCGCCTCTTTCCGCTTCTCGCCCTTGCCGTTGTCCAATCTTCCATCTGACGCCCAACAGCAACCGCAGATTATCCTCCTTAAAGACGGAACCGATACATCGCAAGGCAAGCCGCAGCTGATCAGCAACATCAACGCGTGCCTAGCTGTGGTGGACACGATCCGCACGACGCTGGGTCCACGTGGCATGGATAAGCTGATCCACGACGAGCGCGGCAACACCACCATCTCTAACGACGGCGCCACCATCCTGAAGCTGCTCGAAATCGTGCATCCCGCCGCGAAAACCCTCGTCGACATCGCCAGATCGCAAGACGACGAGGTACGCTCAAGGTGGCTCGAGGAGTGATCTGGCAGCGAATTTCTCGCCGAAAGCGCCAGATACGCAAGATGATTGAAGGTCTAGGCGAGGGAGGGGGATTCAAGGGGAGGGAGGGTGATTTAGGCGAGGGAAGGGGAATTTAGGCGAAGGAGGTGGATTTAGACGAGGGAGGGGGATTTAGGCAGGGATTTAGGTGAGGGAGGGGAATTCGAATTCAGGCTAGGGAGGGGAATTTAATCGAGGGAGGGGGATTTAGGCGAAGGAGGTCTGTCACAGAATTCGCCTTCTCCTTTTTCCCAACCACAACCTCTATTCTTCACCCTCCATCAGGTGGGTGATGGCACGACGACGGTGACGCTCTTAGCAGGCGAGTTCCTGCGGCAGGCCAAGCCGTTTGTGGAGGAGGGGGTGCATCCGCAGCTCATCTGCCGCGCCTTCCGCGCCGCTGCTCGCCTCGTGAGTGATTTAGTCTTCCGTGCTGGCCCCCCCCGTGAGTGTTCTAGCCCTGCCGTGTAGCTGCTTCTCTTCTCATGTTTATGAGGGCAGTTCGAGGGCTTATGAGGGGGCTCAAAACTGAGGGGGCTTATGAGGGGGCTCAAAACTGAGGGGGCTTATGAGGGGGCTCAAAACTGAGGAGGCTCAAAACTGAGGGGGGCTATGAGAAGACTCTGCATAAGTGAGCAGCGTCTGATGGGCCTCGTAACTGTTGTACACCGCTTGCACTGCGTTCCCCTGCTGCTTTAATCTTCTGCTGTCCTATCAGGCGGTGGAGAAGGTCAGAGAAGTGGCGATTTCCATCGAGGGCAAGGGCGACGAGGAGAAGCGCGAGCTGCTACACAAGTGTGCAGCGACGACGCTGAGCTCGAAGCTGGTGGGCGGCGAGAAGGACTTCTTCGCGCGCATGGTGGTGGATGCCGTCTGTTCTTTGGATGAGGACGTGCCGCTGAACATGATCGGCATAAAAAAGGTAGGGGGGGAGGAGCGGGTAGATGATATTCATGACGTGAGTGCGCATGGTGGTGGACGCCATCCGCTCTTTGGACGAGGACGTGCTACTGCACATGATCGGCATAAAAAACGTGGGGTATTGGGGAATGGGGGGAAGGAGGGCACCCGACCATGTGTTAGAACCCTTGGGAGGAGCATCTTCTACGCGGTTTTTGAATCATCCAAGATCCTGCTGCTCAACATCGAGCTGGAGCTGAAGAGTGAGAAGGAGAACGCTCTAGCAGCACTCCAGGGTTCCCCTTTCCAGCTGGATTCTCCCATACTCCCACTGCCACGCCTGCATCCTCCCCTTCCTCCCAGGTGCAAGGAGGGACAATGCGAGATTCCTTCCTCGTCGAGGGAGTGGCCTTCAAGAAGACCTTTTCCTACGCGGGCTTCGAGCAGCAGCCGAAGCGGTTCGAGTCCCCGAAGATCCTGCTCCTGAATATCGAGCTGGAGCTGAAGAGCGAGAAGGAGAACGCGGAGATCCGCCTGTCGGACCCGTCGCAGTACCAGTCGATCGTGGACGCGGAGTGGAATATCATCTACTCCAAGCTCGACAAGTGCGTGCAGAGCGGCGCCAAGATTGTCCTTTCGAGGCTTGCGATTGGCGATCTTGCCACTCAGGTGAGAGCTGGAGGAGGGGAGTGGGGGAAGGGCAGAGGGTCGTCACAGTACCAGTCGATTGTGGACGCGGAGTGGAACATCATCTACCCGAAGCTGGATAAGTGTGTGCAGAGCGGCGCCAAGATTGAAAGGGGAAAGGGGAAATGGAAGCGGGACTGAGGGGGCTGGACCGAGGGAACGGGGCTGAGGGAACGGGACTGAGGAAACGGGACTGAGGGAACGGGACTGAAGTACTTCGCGGACCGGGACATATTCTGTGCGGGGCAGGTGCCAGAGGACGACATGCAGCGAGTGGCCAAGGCCGTTTTTTTATCACCCTACTTATATTTCAACCTGTAACCAACCCTCCTTCCCCCTCGTTGCCACCCTCTCCCCCTCCCCCTTCAGTATTTCGCGGATAGGGACATCTTCTGTGCGGGGCGCGTGGCAGAGGACGACATGCAGCGAGTGGCCAAGGCGACGGGGGGAGCCGTGCAGACCACTGTGAACGACCTCATCCCTGATGTGAGTGCTGTCAACGATTTCATCAGTTCATGCGAGCACTCACATTGGGAAATCGTTGACAGCAAAACCCTTATTCGCAAACCGGTTTCGGCCTTCGGGACAGAACCCCTTAGGCCTTCATCAGTGCTGCTTGTTGAACCTGTAAGCAGTTCATGCGAGCACTCACATTGGGAAATCGTTGACAGCACCGTCCACTGCATGCGGTGTCCACCGGCAGGAGAGGCGGCCCCACGCTCCGTCTCTTATGCATTGAGTGGGATTAAGAGAGGTGGTGTGCGGTAAGATGCCTGTCGCACCAGTAGCAGGAGAGGCTGTTTCTCCACCCCTGCTGCTTGAACCTTCTTCCTGTTCCTTTCTCGTGCAACCGCTGCTAACATTATCCACAGGTACTGTTTCTTTCTCATACAATCACTGCTAATTGATGGCAGCAGGGGGGGAGAAAACAGCCTCTCCTGCTAACAGGTACTGTTTCTTTCTCATACAATCACTGCTAATTGACGCGCATTACCGCTCCCCTTCCCCCCCTTCCCTTTCCACCTCCCCCTCCCCTTCCCTGTTTCGTGCGGGGCAGGTTCTGGGAAGCTGTGCGCTGTTTGAGGAGAGGCAGGTGGGCAACGAGCGGTACAACCTCTTCACTGGCTGCTCCAACGCCAAAACTGCCACCATCGTGCTGCGAGGAGGGGCGGACCAGGTGGGTGTCTAGGGAGGTGGATAGGTGGGTGTATGGGGGAGTGTAAGGCAGTGATGTGGGTGGGCGCAGGCAGCAGGGCAACGAGCTGTACAACCTCTTCACTGGCTGCTCCAACGCCAAAACTGCCACCATCGTGCTGCGAGGAGGGGCGGACCAGGTGGGTGTCTAGGGAGGTGGATAGGTGGGTGTATGGGGGAGTGTAAGGCAGTGATGTGGGTGGGCGCAGGCAGCTGGGCAACGAGCGGTACAACCTCTTAACTGGCTGCTCCAACGCCAAAACCGCAACCATAGTATTGACGAGAAGGGCACACCAGGTGCGTGTCTAGGGAGATGGATAGGTGGGTGTATGGGGGAGTGTAAGGCAGTGATGTGGGTGGGCGCAGGCAGCTGGGCAACGAGCGGTACAACCTCTTCACTGGCTGCTCCAACGCCAAAACCGCAACCATAGTGTTGACGAGAAGGGCACACCAGGTGGGTGCGGGGGAGACTTGACCAGGTGGGCGTGTGGTGATGACCAAGGGGGACGCTAGGGAGGTGGACCTTGGTGATGACCAAGGGGGACGCTAGGGAGGTGGACCTTGGTGATGACCAAGGTGGACAAGGTGGGTGAGTACTGAGCATGACGCGCCTCCTCCTCACAACCTCCCCAGAGCAGCGACGCCTCTCCCTCACGGCCCCCCAGAGCAACGGCGCCTCTCCATCACGGCCCCCCAGAGCAGCGGCGCCTCTCCCTCTCAGCCCCCCAGAGCAGGGGCGCCTCTCCCTCACAACCCCCCAGAGCAGCGGCGCCTCTCCCTTACGGCCCCCCAGAGCAGCGGCGCCTCTCCCTCTCAGCCCCCCAGAGCAGCGGCGCCTCTCCCTCACAGCCCCCCAGAGCAGCGGCGCCTCTCCCTCACAGCCCCCAAGAGCAGCGGCGCCTCTCCCTCACAACCCCCTCTCTTACACTATGCCATCAGGATTGTGAGGCGGGCTTAGTGCACAGTTTCAAGCTGACATACCGCCCTTTCCTCCCCTCCCCTCCTCTGCAGTTCATTGAGGAAGCAGAGCGCAGCCTGCACGATGCCATCATGATTGTGCGGCGAGCTATCAAGAACGCTGCAGTTGTGCCGGGTGGAGGTGCCATTGATGTATGTGCCCTCTTTGTCCTTTTTGGGGAAGGTGTTACTGATGTACTTCTGGTCAAGTCTCCGAGCTATTTCCATGTCCTCCCTTGTTGTCCCAAGCCTCCTTGGCCACTCACCTCCTTCGCACTGTCTTCACTATTCACATGCTTACCCCTTCGATCCTCCCTCTCTCCCTCTCTTGCAACCCAAGAATTGTTTCTGTTCCCCAACTTCTTTAATCATCTAGACACCTTCTATTCCTGCGTCACATCTCTTCTTCCATCCCCCCTGCTCTCCCCCCGTCAGATGGAGGTCAGTCGTCACCTGCGTCTGCATGCGCGCACCATAGCGGGCAAGCAGCAGCTGTTCATCAATGCTTATGCGCGTGCGCTGGAGGTGAGAAGAGGAGGGTATATGTGGAGGTAGAGGTGGGTTGAGGAGGGTATATGTGGAGGTAGAGGTGGGTTGAGGAGGGTATATGTGGAGGTAGAGGTGGGTTGAGGAGGGTATATGTGGAGGTAGAGGTGGGTTGAGGAGGGTATATGTGGAGGTAGAGGTGGGTTGAGGAGGGTATATGTGGAGGTAGAGGTGGGTTGAGGAGGGTATATGTGGAGGTAGAGGTGGGTTGAGGAGGGTATATGTGGAGGTAGAGGTGGGTTGAGGAGGGTATATGTGGAGGTAGAGGTGGGTTGAGGAGGGTGCGGTCTTGTGCATTGGAGGTGGGTGGCAGGTGCATAGCGGGCAAGCGGCAGCTCTAGTTTTGAGTCGAATCAAAACCAGCAGCAGCTGTTCATCAATGCTTATGCACGCACGCTCGAGGTGTGTGGAAGGTGGAATGAGTCGAGGTATGGGTGTCAGGTGAACAGAGTCGAGCTGGGGTAAGATCGTGTGCGGTGGTTTTGGGTGGCAGGAGAATCGAGTCGAGATGAATGGCAGGTGAACTGAGTCCAGGCAGGTTGCTTCTGTGTGTGCTGCAGGTGGGTGCGGTCGTGTGCGGTGATGGTGGGTTGGCAGGTGTGTGGCGGTGACAAGGAGCTCAAGGTACATGACAGCATATATTTTTCTTGCCCCTTTTCCCGGCAATCTTCCCCTTCTGTCCCTGTTCTGTCGCCAAGTCTTCCCCTTCTTGTGCCGTCCTCAGCATTCCCATAGTCTCTTATTGTCTGCACTCCCCTCTTCTTCTGCGATCCTCTGCCGTTTTCTCCTGTTCATGTGAGTGTGCGCAGGTGATCCCACGCCAGCTGTGTGACAATGCAGGATTCGACTCCACTGATGTTCTCAACAAGCTAAGGCAGAAACACGGCCTGCCTTCCAGTCTGTTGCTCTTGCTCTCTGTGAATGACCTTGGGGCGTCCTCTTCTCTTTCTTCCTCCGCCATCCCCTGCGATCCTCATGTTTGCAGGTGATTCCACGCCAGCTGTGTGACAATGCGGGGTTTGACTCCACTGACGTGCTCAACAAGCTCAGGCAGAAACACGCCCTGCCTTCCGGTGAGTGGCTCTTTATCAGGCCATTTTATCCGTTAGATGTCCTGGACACCCTTTTTTTCTTTTATTTTATTTTCTTTCTTTCCTTCCGGCATGCGTCTTGAATTCGTCCTTGGAATATTCAAGAGTTCTGACCACTTATATGCGGTTGTATGGCTCCTGTCCGAGGGTGCAGGCGAGGGACAGCGCTTTGGAGTGGATGTGAATTCGGGCGGCATTGTGGACACGTATGCCTCATTCGTCTGGGAGCCAATTGTGGTCAAGGTGAGTCAACGCTGGTCAAGGTGGGAAATGTTCCCGAAATCAGCATTTTTTTAATGCAGTAATTGCAGGCAACAAGAATATTATTGGCAATTTAACTGCAGCAGGATTCAGTTCCGTGCTCCCAGTAACCAGTATGTTTTTTTAGAATACTTGAGAATTTTTTGAGAATTCTCAAAAAACAGTTCTGTGCTCCCAGTAACCAGTTCAGTACCCTTTGCCTTCCCTCTGCCTTCCCTCTCCTCCCCCTCTGTGTCCCGCCTCCCCTCAGGTGAATGCCATCACAGCGGCAACCGAGGCGGCCTGTCTTGTGCTCAGTGTTGACGAGACGGTTCGCAACCCACGAGTGAGTGGGGTGGAGGACGGTGGAGGGGGGTGGAGATGTAGTGGGAGATGGCCATTGATTTTATTGATAAGTATGTTTTGTGCGGAGTCAGGATGAGACGGCTCGCAGCCCACGCGTAATTCTTTTTCGAGCCCTACTATACGGTAGGGAGGAGTGAAGGGCGGGAGGGGGAGAGGATGGTCATAAGATGGCTTGCAACGGGTTGAAGATGTTGTGAGAGAGTGGGTGTGTTTTGGTTGGAGGTTAGTTAAGGCACACAGGTGGAATGTTTGGTTGTGGAAGGCATATCAGAAGCACGTGCAGCCGGTGCTTCTATCAAGTGTTGTTGTTGTGTGTATTGGCAATAATGTTGCTGTTCCTTTGTATTATCCCCCCCCTCCCTCTCCTTTTTTTATCTCCTACGCAGTCCGAGAGTGCGCAAGACGGTGGAATGGGTGGCATGGGCAGAGGTGGAGGTGGGATGCGCGGGAGGGGCCGAGGCATGAGGCGGCGATAGACTAACCTATAGCTAGTTAGCTGATTTGCAATATGGAAAGAGGTTTTTTACATTGTAGTGCATGTTGTCCTGGGTGATGTTTATGCATACGGTATTACCGCATGATTGCAGCAGGAAATATGTTTAGTTAGCATACTGGTTGTAGGGGTTCCGTGAGCGGGAAGTCATGCATTTGCGAGTACTTTTCGGCAATGTTCGCACACGGCACCTGCTGGTTTCCGGGCGTCTCGTCGCAGGTGCTTTTCGCCGCGCAGCTAGCCCTCCATTCCGAATCGCTAGCTGCTGGCTCCGTTCTTCACGACTTGCGCCAGATTTTTCCTCATCTCGCTTCGCTTCGACTCAATTCCAAACAAGAGCCATGTCCTGTTACCTGGGCAATGGACAGGGGGGGGAGGCGGAAAGCATCCGCAGCAGTCCCCCGTGGGCCGTGGTGGTCACTCTCGCGCGCAGAGCGAACTCCCCCGAGTATCTGGCGCGAAAAGCACATCAAGTCTGGCGGAGAAAAGCTTGTGTCGCCTCGCCAGACGCTATTCTTTCGGGGGTGGAACTGCTCTGCGAGCAGCAGAGCAGCTCTCGAGGAGTGTGCTTATTGGTTCGGAGGCGCTATTCCTGGATGTTACGGCTTAGCTAAACAACACTGGAGTTTAGGTTCGTGACTTAGTGAACCCGTGGTAGGAAACCAGGAACTGGCAATACTTCCTGCTCGCAACTGAAGCAATTGGTTTGCGTGAATCTACTTTTCTTTCACGTGATTAGGAATAAGTCCTGAGCTTTGCTCATCCCTTATCCACTGTCCAATACTATTCCCCTCAGTGGTGTCCCAGTCCAGCCCTAATTTTCGCGGCGATTCCTTCGCGTTCGAGAGATGTTACGACGCGGCTTGGGCATTACAATGGCGCGACCTATATCGTTATAGCCCGCGGAGGTTTCGACGAACTTTCATAAACGTCCGAATAGCGGCATTCTATCATGCCGTTCAGCTTTATTCACTGTAGCATATAGAAACATTTCCGTCTAATTCTCGGTATCGCGACCCTTGCGGAGGGTCGCTGGTCAACTCGGGAAAGCAGCCATGCTCAAGCGGTTGATAGCCAAGGCCTTACCCGAGGTGTGTAGCCTACAAGTGACAAGGAAAGTCAGAATGCTGGTTAACGATCAGGAAGAGTGCAGCTAACTAGTCAGCGTGTAGCGTCGTAAGGCAATGGCTGGCCAGAGAAAGCGGTTTTGCCCTCCCCTCAATACCCCATAGCAAGTGCGAAACCCTAACATCTTTTCTTTCAAGACATAGCACCTGCGCTCGTTTTCCCGCATTCGTTCGTGTGACATTGTACGTCTACAATTCGCGTCGTTACTGACTGATTTTTCCTCCTCGGAGCGACAGATCAACAGGCGCAGCAGGTTGTGGTTCTGAGCCATTTAGGGTTTCCTTAATCGTAGTTTTTACAGCAATGTCGGTAATGTCGAAGCCGTCCGTAGTGCTATCCAGTCCAGCTCTGGCCCAGGAAGAGAATGCTGCTCGTAACAATGTGAGACTCCCTAACCTCGCCTCGTTATAAGCAGCATTCTCTGGTCTCGTACAAGCAGCATTCTCTGGTCTCGTACAAGCAGCATTGTCTGACCTCGCCGCGTTATAAGCAGCTTTCTCTCACCTCGGCCTAAGATCGCGCTCAGAAGGGTTAAACCGTTTGCCATATCGACAGATGCCTGGCATTATTCCGCTAGGGTTTCAACTGATGCTGTTCGATCAGGCCCGTGCATCACGGCGCGCCTGGCGCTGGGCTTCCGCACACGCACATTCCGCTTTCCGAGTCACTGCCCCACCCCCTTCCGCCGCCTCCCCCATCTCCCCCCGTCCGCGCCACATTCCCGCCTCTCTATCTCTCCACCACTCATCCTACTCCGCAACTCTCCGCCACCTTATCCTCGGTCCCTCTACCCGCTCACCACCCCCTCAGCACACATCGTCCCCTTTTCCTCCCCTTCCACCCCCTCCTCCCCTCCCCCCTTCCCCCTCCCCCCCAACTCATTTTTCCGCCAGTCCGTGCCGGCGGGGAGTCTAAGAGCGGCGCATTTGGAGCCGCGGCTGGCCGTGCATCACGGCGTGCCTGGCGCTGCTTCCGTGCTCGCTTACGATCCCGTGCAACGGCTGCTGGCAGTGGGAACGCGGTAAGGGAGGGTTCATTAGAAGGAGGGTTTGCAGAGAATGCAGGGGTGGCCGTGCATCACGGCGTGCCTGGCGCTGCTTCCGTGCTCGCCTGCGACCCCGTGCAACGGCTGCTTTTGAGTCGACTCAAAAGTCAACTCGCCTGCGACCCCGTGCAACGGCTGCTGGGAGTGGGAACGCGGTAAGAGAGCTCCGATATAAGGATCGGGAGGTGCACGTATAGGGAATGCAACGGCTGCTGGCAGTGGGAACGCGGTAAGGGAGTGGTCATAAGGAGGGCGCACAAAGCAATGCAGGGCTGGCCCACCACTCCCTTGCCGCGCCCCCACTTCCCATTGCTGCCAGCTGTTGCCGTGCGACAGGATGTAGTGCTCGCTGGTGATCCCTTGTGGTGGGGACGCAGTAAGGAATGGGCGGTCGCATGGTGGCATGGTGGCATGGTGGCATGGTGGCATGGTGGCATGGTGGCATGGTGGCATGGTGGCATGGTGGCATGGTGGCATGGTGGCATGGTGGCATGGTGGCATGGTGGCATGGTGGCATGGTGGCATGGTGGCATGGTGGCATGGTGGCATAGTAGAGTCACGATAGGTTACCTCTTCCTCTTCCCCTTCCCCTCTCCCCCTTCTCCCCCCCCCCCCCCCCCCCCGCCCACTCCACCTCACCAGGGATGGGCGCATCAAGGTGTTCGGGCATGATGGCATTGAAGCTCTGCTCTGCTCGCCTGCCAAGGCAGCCTGCAAGTTCCTCGAGGTCAGCACCGTTCTGTACCTCCCCACACTGTACCACACCTTCACGCACCTTCTCTTCTCTCCCTTTGCCACCTCATTGAACCACTGGGTTGCCTAAATTCACTTGAGTAAGCACCTGTAGGCACATTCCCTTCCCCGTGTTCACTGCCTGCTCCACCTCCTCCTCCCGAGCCCGCCTTTCCACCTCTGCTCCGCCCCACCCTCAGAGGGAAGTCATGATGCTTATTCTCCTTACTGCCTTCCCTTGTTCTGTCCTCCCCTCTCCCCACCCCCCAACAGTTTGTGTGCAACTCCGAGTACATGGTGCAGGTCACTTTTTTCAACTCCATTGAGGTATGTTGATGTGCATACGGGTGTGCGGGATTGCATGTATGTGCTGCAGTGCCTCTGTGTGTGTGTGTGTGTGTGTGTGTCTGTGTGCAATTCCGAGTACATGGTGCAGGTCACCTTTTTCAATGCCATTGAGTGTGTATGCATGCAGTGCTGTGTGGTGTGCGAGTGTGTGTGTGCAGGTGCCTGCATGTGTGGTTGTCTGTGTGCTTGAGTCTGTGTGTGTCTGTGTGCAATTCCGAGTACATGGTGCAGGTTACCTTTTTCAATGCCATTGAGGTGCGTGGGCTCGATGGTGTGTGCATGTGGGTGTGCATGCTTGTGTTTGGCTTGAGTCTGTATGTGCTGGTGTGTGCAACTCCGAGTACATGGTGCTGGTCACCTTTTTCAACGCCATTGAGGTGCGTGGGCTCGATGGTATGTGCATGCCTATGTATATCCATGCATGTGCATGCCTGCAGATGTGCATGCATGTGTGTGCATGCGTATGGGCATGACTCTGCAAGCGCATGTATGTGACATGTCTATGTGCAAGTCCGAGTACATGGTTCAGGGCAAGTCACAGTGGTCAGTGCCATGGAGATGCGTGGAAGTGCAAGGCAGTGAGATGTCGCCATCCGCTCTTTTTCTCGCGCTCCCTCCTCCTTTCAGATCTGGAGTCTGGCGGAGCGCCAGATGACAGAATCGCTGCAGTGGGATGTCGTTGTCACCTCTTTCTCCCTCCTTCCCTCCTTCACTCCCTCCTCCCTCCTCCCTCCCCCCCTCCCTCCTCCTCTTCCCCGCTCAAAATGCATTCAGATCTGGAGTCTGGCTGAGCGCCAGATGACAGACTCACTGCAGTGGGACGTCGTCATCACTGCCTTCTCCACTGTCCCCGACACACGCTTCCTGTAACCATCCTGCCGCCCACTTGTAATCACCATCACTCCACCTTGCATCCTTCCTGTAACCATCCTGCCGCCCACTTGTAATCACCATCACTCCACCTTGCATCCTTCCTGTAACCATCCTGCCGCCCACTTGTAACCACCATCACTTCACCTTGCATCCTTCCTGTAACCACCATCACACCATCCGTCTGCATCCAGTCTGTGCCTGTGCCACGCGCTCCCCATCTTTCATCCTTCCCCTGACCACTTAATCACGGTTGTTATTATCCACTCCACCGCACACCACCCCTTCCCACCGTAGCTACGTGGGCGATGAGAATGGTGTGTTCCACGTGTTGGAGGTGGACGGTGGTGGTCGACTCAACAAACGCCCCTACTCCGTGCCTCCCCACGTCACCATGGGTGAGTGACAAGCAACGTCACAAGCGCAGTAGGCAAGCCCACTAGACAACAATCTCAACAGGGAACATGGAGCCTGTGGGGCCTGCCTCAATAAACGCCCCTACTCCGTGCCTCCCTACGTCATCAGGGGTAAGAAAACCTGAACTGCCTTCCGTGCCTTCCCTCCGTGTCCCATTCACGTCCCTCTTTCACGACCCCGTTCCCCTCTCCCCTACCCTCCCTCTCCCCCCTCCCCTCCCCCTCCCCCCCCCCTCCCCCTCCCCCCTGCCTTCCCACCTTGCAGCGGGTCTTGTGAAGCAGGAGTCCTCCCACATGCCAGCGCTCATCGCCATCCTCCCCCAACCCGAGGCCTACCACACGCGGGTCCTCCTCGCCTACTCCAACTCCCTCGCACTCCTCTGGGACCTCCACGCTCTCCGCGTGCTCGCCACGCGCGGTGGCTCCGAGATGCAATGCACGCGCCTCTCCGAAGCCGGCGACCGCCTGGCAGACCTCCAAACAGGCAGGCGAAACGTGCCGAAGCCCACGGATGAGGATGAGGAGGATGACGAGGCGTGTGACGGGCCTGAGCTCTCTTGCTTATCCTGGGCGTGTCCGGCGGGATCGGTGTTTGCAGCCGGGTATACCAACGGGGAGATTGCTCTCTGGGGGTTGCCGCACCCGCCGTTGCCCGTGGGGGCTGGAGGAGCAGCGGGAGCGGGAGTGCCGGGAGCCCCGTCACCGTCGGGGTCTTTTTCCTCGTCTGTTCCGACTATTTCGCTGTCGTCGTTATCATCTGGGGGGTTGGTCGCGCCGATCTTGCCATGCACTGTGAAAGCGCTCGCGGAGGAGATTACATCGCAGCCGTTGGTTCGGCTGCAGGTGCAGGGTGGGAAGGGCGAGCGGTCGGCGATCACGTCGTTGAGATGGTGCGCTGATGCGAGACGGGCAGGGGAGAGAGGAGGAGAACGAGGAGATAGAGGAGAGACGGGAGAAAGTGGAGAGAGAGGAGGAGAGAGAGGAGGGGGGAGATGCATGGAGAGGGGAGGAGGGAGGCTGTACGTGTGTGGGGGGGAGATGCCAGGGCTACCAGGGTCAGTGAGTGTGGTGCAGCTGGGGGGGCTAGAGGAGGGCATGAAGGAGAAGGGCATGGTTAAGCTGCCATGGTTTGGACCCGTGGCAGATGTCGTGGTGGCACCCTCTGCTCTCGGCAGCACGTGTGCCTCTGCCATCCTCGTGCTCACCTTCCCTGGGCAGGTGAGTGTGAGTGCGGGACTGAAAAGGCACGTCACCTGGGTGGGTTAGGTTAGAGGAGGGCATGAGGGAGAAGGGCATGGTGAAGCTGCCGTGGTTTGGGCCCGTGGCGGATGTCGTGGTGGCGCCTAGTACGCTCAGCATCACGGTTGCCTCTGCCATTCTCGTGCTCACCTTCCCGGGACAGGTATGTCCACCCCCGGACAGTCACAGACAGACAGTTGAAACACATCACATGGACGGGCAGATTGAGACACGCACACCGTGAACCCCGGGCAGGTTGACTCACGCACACCGTGACCCCCGGGCTGGTTGAGTCATGCACACCGTGACCCCCGGGCTGGTTGAGTCATGCGCACCGTGACTAAGGCAGGCAGACAGGAGCTCCCACCCCCCTCTGCATCCCCTTCCATCATGTTGCTCTCTTGTCCCATCCCACCCCACTGCCAGGTCCATCTGTGAGACAAATCTGGCGTGGAGCAGCACCTCTCTCTCTGTCATCGCTTCCCACCCCTTACTACACCTTCTCACCTCTCCAAGCCTTCCCAACCCCTTCCCATCCCTCTCCACCCTGTCTCACCCCCTCTTTAGGTCCACTTGTATGACGAGCCAGGCATGGAGCAGCACATGTGTGCGCGCCTGCTCTCCCCGTCGCCCTCCTCCCACACGCCCACCCCTCCCGACCCCGCGGCCTTTGAGAATCCGGGCTCTGCGGTTACCACCGGCAGGCTCATGCTCGCCCCCTGGGGTACACACGCCTCCCACGTGCTCTCCCAGGTGAGACCTTTGGCATTCTTTTCTAGGGTGAGTCCAATCCAAAGTGATCCCATGTGATGCCATGCCATGGATGTTGGAGAACCCGGGCTCTGCGGTTACCACTGGCAGACTCATGCTCGCCCCCTGGGGCACGCACGCCTCCCACGTGCTCTCACACCTCCTGTTGGGGGGACAGCACAGGCCACTTGGTGTCTCCCAGACCTGCCTGCTGTCCCTCTGCTCTCTCCCACGGCACCAAGTGGCCCGTGGCGGGGGGTTCATTCGGCCAGCACCCATTACATGCCCCTTCTCCACTCCCTCCCCTATTCACCCTCTCCCCCCCTCCCTTCTCACCCTTCCCCGCTCCCCCTTTTCTCAGCTGCCCCGTGTGTCGCAGACCCGCTGTCCCTCGGCTCTCTCGCAGACTCGCACGGCACCAAGTGGCCCGTGGCAGGGGGCTCATTCGGCCAGCAGCCAGCCAATGTCTGTCCCTGCCTTCCCTTCTCCTCCCACTCCCCACTGCCCCCCTCCCCAGCTGCCCCGTGTGTCGCCGACCCGCTGTCCCTCTGCTCTCTCGCACGGCACAAAGTGGCCCGTGGCGGGGGGCTCATTCGGCCAGCAGCCAGAGATTTCTCCCGAGGACGGGCTGTGCCTGTACATCTCAGGTCACCGCAACGGGGTGACCCACATCTCAGATGTCTCGACTCCCCTCATTGTTCCATTAGCCTCAGCTCCTGCTCAACTAACCCAGGTAAGAAGCATCGACCATGTTTGACAAGTCTAAAGCAAAGTATGAGTAGCAGCCAGAGATTCCTCCAGAACATGATCTGTGCCTCTACATCTCAGGCTGGAGATTTCTCAACGGCGTCACTCACGTTTCTGATGTCTCGACTCCCCTCATCATGCCATTGGCTTCCGCACCAGAGCACCTGACCCAGGTGGGTACTCACCTGACCCAGGTGGGTACTCACCTGACCCAGGTGGGTACTCACCTGACCCAGGTGGGTACTCACCTGACCCAAGTGGGTACTCACCTGAATCAGGTAATATTCAGTTGAAACTGTTAGGCCCTTATTCAGTTTTTGTCCAGGGTTTCTGGATTGGGATCTAGGGTCCGTCATCTTGCCTCTTACTCCCCCCCATTTCTCTCACACCAACAACAGGCTGACGACCAGCCAAGCTACATGGCAGTAACTGCCGTAGCTTTTTGTGCGGTATCAGCGCTGCTGCTGGTGGGGCATGAGGACGGGCTGGTGGTGGAAGGCCTTGTCCTTAACCCCCTCCTTTTTTTATCCTTTGTCCCTCCCCATCCCGTCACACGCTCCATCACGTACCAACAACAGGCTGACGATCAGCCGAGCTACACGGCAGTGACGGCTGTGGATTTCTGTGCGGTATCAGCGCTGCTGCTGGTGGGGCATGAGGACGGGCTGGTGGAGTTATTTGAGCTGAGCACGCGGAGGAGAACGCTGTGCTGCCAAATCATCACTGAGCGGGGCGGCTACGAGCAGGGTGAGTGGGTGGGGTGGGGAGATCAGTGGGGCAGGAGCGTAGGCCAGTAGGCCGCGAGTGTGGGCTGCTGGTGGGGTATGAGGCGGGTTGGTGGAGTTGATTGAGCTGAGCACGCGGAGGAGGACGCTGTGCTGCCAAATCATCACAGAGAGAGGCGGAGCAGGGTGAGTGGTGAATTTGAGCAAGATTGGTGGGGAGATCAGTGGGGCAGGAGGGTAGTAGGCCAAGATGAGCGCCGCTGGTGGGGCATGAGGACGGGTTAGTGGAGCTGTTTGAGCTCAGCACGCGGAGGAGAACCTTGTGCTGCCAGATCATCACTGAGAGAGGCGGCTACGAGCAGGGTGAGTGGACGGAGGGTATTATGGTGGAGCATGACAGTGGGCTGCTGCTGGGCCATGGAAATGGGCTGCTGGGCTGTGGGGGGCTGTATTTGCTGCTGGTGGTTTTGAGGCGCCTCAAAACTGGGCTGTGGGGGGGTGTATTTGCTGCTGGTGGGGCATGAGAACGGGTTGGTGGAGCTTTTTGAGCTGAGCACGCGGAGGAGAACGCTGTGCTGCCAGATTATCACCGAGCGAGGCGGCTACGAGCAGGGTGAGTGATGATACGTGCGGTATGTGCACTTGGGACGGGGGTTTGGATGGGTGGGTGGTTGAGTGCGTGGGGGATTGTGCACTGGTGGGAAAAGTGGGGAAGAGAGGCCCAAATCCTGTCACCACAGCTCAAACCACTTTCATGGAGCGACTGTCACACCTTTTCACCCCTTCCCACTCCTTCACACCCCTTCCTACCTTCTTCCCACCCCTGGTTTTCTCCAGCCACGCCCAGCGAGTGTGAAGAAGGCTTTCAGATGGTGGCTCAGTTCCACCAGCACCGTGCCAAGGTGCGCAGCGTGGCTCTAGCAACGGGAGTGGGGCGGCTAGCCATAGGGGACGACAACGGCATGATCTCCCTCATAAACCTCGACACCTTCACCCTCATCTGCTACCGCGAGCTCCACCCCGGCTCCTCCTCTTCCCCCATCTCCGCCACCGTCTTCGCCGCCCTCCCCGTCCCGTCCTCCGATTCCTCTTCCTCCTCCTCTTCCTCCTCCTCCTCTACTTCTTCCGCCCTCACCTCTGCCTCTTTCCCCACTTCCGCCTCCGCCTCCACGGCTGCTTCTGTGGTCTCCTCGTCTGATGTGCCCGCCGCCCGGAGCGCGGCGAATCAGAGGAAGGGGAGCGTGGGGGCGGGTGGCGCGTCGGGGGCGTATGAGACGGTGGTGTATGTGGCGGCGGCAAACACGACGATGACCATTCTGGATGGCACCACGGGGGATGTCATGGGTGTGGGACCCATGCAGCCCAAACACGCCTCCGGTGCTGTTGGCCTCTTCCTCCTTGGTAGGTTTTTCAATCAATAGGTTTTTCAATCAATAGTTTTTTCAATCAATCCCATACCCATGCATACTTGGAGTGCCACTCGTCTATCTCTGTTGGTTTTTTTCTACTGGGTGTAAGTGTGACAGGACTAGATCCTTGGGACTTGTTTTGGTTTCCTATCCCTGTTTCCGTTTTCGCTCCTTTCCACCGCTCCCCACTGCACACAACCACCTCCCCTCCCCCTTTCCTTGTTACAGACCTGATGGAATCCGCAATCCCATCGTTTGGAGGCAAGCTGCCTCGCCTCTGGGCGATGCAACACCCCTCTCTCAATCCCCTCTCCACTCCTTTCCACCACTCTCCACCGGGCACAACCAACCCTGCTTCCCTTGATTTCCCTTACAGACCTGATGGGATCCGCAATCCCATCATTTGGAGGCAAGCTGCCTCTGCTCTGGGCGATGCAACAGCCCTCCATGGCCCGTGGTGTCAACTCCCGAGCCTCCGCTGCAGGCTCGGTGGCCACCCGAACCTCTGACGCGCACTCTGCCGAACCTGGGGACCCGAGCCTGCGGTCTCCGCACGGGCGGGAGAAGCGTGCGAGCGATGGTGTTGGGCTTAGAGGGGGGACAGGGGGAGGGGGGGATGGTGAGGGGTATAGGGACGGGTATGGGGGGGCGAATGATGGTTTGGATGGGGGGGAGGAGGGAGGGAGAAGAGGAGGGAAGGGTGGGAAAGAAGGACGGGCGGGGAAACGGAGCGGTGGAAAGGGGCGGAAATCGAAAGCAGCAGCAGGAGAAGGTGTTTTAGAAGATAGTGGCACACAATCACAAGCCTCTGACCTGCACCCACGCTCCTCCTCCTCCTCACACCAACAACCAGCTGACCCGTCTAAAGCCCCTCACTTGAGGGACGACACAGCAAAGCCCCCCTCCGGGCGGCGAAACCCTAAAAAGCCGCCGTCTGTCGCTGTAGACACCACATCCGCCACCACTGACCCGTCCGCCGCCCCTACCGCCACCCACGGGCCTGAGAACAGTCCGAACTCCGCCGCCCGTGCTGATCCCAGTCCGAGATCCCGGGGCGGCCCGAGAATCAGCATCCAACTAACTCCGGGCGGCAGTCTCAGCTTCAATATTGTCTCTTCTGGGGATGCAGAGAGGGAGGCTTTTCAAGGCAGCAGGGCACATCAGGATGGAAACGGGGCGGTAGGAGGAGGAGGAGGAGGAGGGATGCAGAGAGGTGCAGGGGGGTCGGGAGGGAATGATGGTGAACCGATATCAATGTCCCTCTCTCCTGTCTCGCCCACCAACGCTGGAGCACTAGCAGCTGGAGGAGCAGCAGCAGCAGCAGGAGGAGGAGGAGGAGGGGGTGGAGGAGGGGGAAGAGAGAAAGGAGGAGAAAGAGGAGGAACGATGGTGTCCCACACGCCCAGCATGAGTATGGGTTCAATAGGAGGTGGGGGAAAGGGGGGAAGAGGAGGAACGGGGTCGGACCTAACCTCAGCTGCTGGTTCGGGTGGTTACTCTGGCTTTGCCTCGGCGCACGACCGAACCTCTGCTATGTTCAAGCGCTCCCTGACCTCCGTTGCAGGCTCGGGGAACGCGGTTTGGCCCGAGCCTCAGTTTGTGCTGCTGGTGTCGGAGGATTGCCTGCGGCTTTATTCCACCATGGTTGTGCTTCAGGTAGGCTCTCTGTTGGCTTCAGGTAGGCTCTCTGTTGGCTTCAGGTGGGCTCTCTGTTGGCTTCAGGTGGGCTCTCTGTTGGCTTCGATGGGCTCTCTGTTGGATTCAGGTAGGCTCTCTGTTTGCTTCAGGTAGGCTCTCTGTTTGCTTCAGGTAGGCTCTCTGTTTGCTTCAGGTAGGCTCTCTGTTGGCAGGTAGGCTCTTTGTTGGCTTCATTTAGGTTCTCTGTTGGCTTCAGATAGCCCCATGTTGTGTTCAGTTAGGCTCTCCGTTGGCAGGTAGGCTCTCCGTTGGCAGGTAGGCTCTCCGTTGGCAGGTAGGCTCTCTGTTGGCTTCAGGTGAGCTCTCTGTTGTCTTCAGGTGGACTTTCTGTTGCCTTCAGGTGTGCTTTTGCTGGATTGTTGTGTGCGTGGGCCATCCACACGGAGTGGTCGGCCGGTGTGTGTGGGCGGGCACATTTCAAGTCCACCCCTCTCCCTTTCCTTCCCCTCGCCGTCCCTCCCCCTTCGCCCCGTCTGCCACTATCAAGGCGGAGCGTTCAGCACTAAAGCGGGTGAGAATCTTTGAGAATGATCGGTGCGTGTGGGCGGGCACGTTTCAAGTCAATCTCCTCCTTTCCTTCCCCGCCTTCTCCCCACCTACTTCCCTTCCCCTCCCCGCTCTTTCCCCCTCCCTTCCCCTCCCTCCCCCCTTCCCCGCCTCCCACAACAAAGGCTGAACGGTCAGCGCTAAAGCGGGTGAAGATCTTTGAGAACGATCGGTGTGTGTGGGCTGGCACGTTTGGAGCGCATCCGCAGTACCCCCCTGCTGTCATCGTCATCTCGTCCCAAGGGCTCGTTGAAATCAGGTAAATGTTTGTCCTTGGGATGATGTTGCTTGGAGCAGCCTGTTCATGCCCATGCCCTTGCACATGTTTCACGCACACCCGCAGTACCCCCCTGCTGTCATCATCATCTCGTCCCAAGGGCTCGTTGAAATCAGGTATGCGCTTCCATGTTGCTCCCTTTTGTTGCTCGTGCTTCCACGCCCTTCCCACTCATTCCCATTCTTGCGCACGTTTGGAACGCACCCGCAGTACCCCCCTGCTGTCATCGTGATCTCCTCCCAAGGGCTTGTTGAAATCAGGTACGGTCTTCATTCGCATTTGGAAATGCCTCAAACATACTGCCTGTCTCGCTCCATCACCCAACCATCCACGTTCCCTGCCACCCCGTTCTCGCCCCCACGTCCCTCCCCGACCTGCTGCTGGTCACATCCACATCAGTATCGGAGATGCTGGGATGGCATGGCATGGCAATATGACAGCCTACTCATGCTGCCGTTCATGCTGCCGTTCATGCTGCCGTTCATGCTGCCGTTCATGCTGCCGATCATGCTGCCCCCCTGCACCACCAATCAACAACCAACCCATCAATATTCATGCCCCCCCTCCCCTCCCCTTTCACCCCAGGTCCCTCCCTGATCTGCTACTTGTAACATCCACATCGGTATCGGAGAAACTGGGCTGGCATGGCAATACGACAGTCTACTTATGCTGCCTCCCTGTACCGCCTACCAATAACCATCCCATCCAAAATTATGCCCCTACTCCCCCCCTCTTTCATGCCAGGTCCCTCCCTGACCTGCTGCTGGTCACATCCACATCGGTATCGGAGATGCTGGGCTGGCAGTACGACAGCCTACTCATGCTGCCCCTCACGTGCATCGCCTCTGATGGCCGCATTGCCTTTGTGAGTTACTTGCATTGTGCGCGTGCGCTGGGAGTTGTGAGTTACTTGCATTGTGCGCGTGGGCTGGGAGTTGTGAGTTGCTTGCGCATGTGAACGGTGGGTTTTTCATATGCTTTTCATGCTGCCCTCACGTGCATCGCCTCTGACGGCCACATTGCCTTTGTGACATGGTTCCGTATCATCTTTTAAACACCTCACGATATGTGAGCTGTACATGCACACAAGTGGGTTGATGCCAAGTGGGTTGATGCCAAGTGGGTTGCTTCACCAATTCTCTCTGCTATATTTTTTTCCCCCAGTTCACCATTTTCCTCTCCTTCCCCTCGCTGCATTTCCGTTCCCCACCCCTCTCTTCAGCTGGACGGGGAGACGGAGAGACCGAGATGGTGCGCCTCTCTCTCTTGGCACGAGATGCCCCTTCACCAATCTGTTAGACTCTCCTCCCATCTGCTCTCCCCTCCCGTCTCCTCTCCCCTCCCGTCTCCTCTCCCCTCCTGTCTCCTCTCCCCTCCCGTCTCCTCTCCCCTCCTATCTCCTCTCCCCTCCCTCCTCTCTTCTCTTGCCCCTCACACCAGTTGGACGGAGAGACTGAGATGGTGCGCCTCTCTCTCTTTGCGCGAGAAAATGCCATCGGGTGAGTCGAGTCGGGAACCTTCTATCCTCCTCTTCAGTCCTCTTCCCAATATTTGAGACTTTTGAGAACCCTCAAACGTGGCCCAAAGAGAGACAAAAATAGCGTCTTGAATCCATCGTGCTAACCCTGGCATTGTCTGCTGTGCTCCCTCCAGATATGCTCGCTTTCTGCCCTCCTCACATTCTTCTCTCCCTCTTTCCCCCCTCTTTTCCCTTGTCCCAATCAGCCTGCCTCACTCGCTCTCTCGCCTCGTCGATCCATCCATCCAAGCATCCATCCCCCCTCCCCCTCTCGCAACCTCCTTCAACACAAATTCCACCGCCACCGCCACCACCACCACCGCCGCCGCCACCACCACTACCGCTACCGCCGCTGCTGCTGCCGCGGTTGCTGCTGTAGAGGGGTCTCCAAGGCTCGAGGAATCACCGGGTCATGGGGGAGGGGATGCGCTGCGGGCTGTGAAAAGCGAGGGCTTCTTGCCACCCGGGGATGGCGGTGCTGCGTCCGGCTCTCCCTCCTCGTTCCTCCGAGGCACCAAGGTATGCAAGTCACCTTGTCATGGGAAAGGGTATTGGATGGGGGGGGGAGGGAGTGGTGCACAGCGTGTTGTGAAGAGCGAGGGCTTCTTGCCACCCGGGGATGGTGCTGCTGCTTCCGGCTCACCCTCCTCGTTCCTCCGAGGCACCAAGGTATGCACGAAGTGGCTTTTCAGTCGCCCAGTCATGGGGGGGAAGGGAGCAGACGCGCTGTGTCCTGTGAGGAATGAGGGGAAGAGGTTTATTCAGCCAGCGGATGGTGCTGCTGCGTCCGGCTCACCCTCCTCGTTCCTCCAAGGCACCAAGGTACGCACGAAGTGGCTTTTCAGTGGACTCAAAAGACCACTTGTCCTGGGAAAATGGGATGGGATGCACTGGATTCTGTTCTGTGAGAAGTGAAGTGAGGGCTTTATCTCCCTCACTCCCCTTCTTTGTTTCTTGTTTGCCGCTTCAACTCCTCTTTCCCTGCACTTCCCCTCCTCTTCAACTCCTCTTTCCCTGCACTTCCCCTCCTCTTCAACTCCTCTTTCCCTGCACTTCCCCTCCTCTTCAACTCCTCTTTCCCTGCACTTCCCCTCCTCTTCAACTCCTCTTTCCCTGCACTTCCCCTCCTCTTCCACGCCTCTTCCTCTCCACTTCCCCTCCACTTCCCCTCCTCTTCCACTCCTCTTTCCTCCCCCCACACGAGGTTCTCCGCAGCAGTAGCACCTTGAAGCTCCTCCAAAGCTTCCCCAGAGTGCAGCCCACCGCTCTGCACCCAGCTGCAGACCTCTTCATTCCGCTCTTTGCCTCTTCAGCTCTTATTTTCTCCCTCGCTCTCTCTCCTCCACACACCACAGGCTCTTCGCAGCAGCAGCACCTTGAAGCTCCTTCAAAGCTCCCCCAGAGTGCAGCCCACCGCTCTGCACCCAGCTGCAGACCTCCTTCCCCTCTTTGCTTCTGCGCCCTTCGCCCCCCCTGCCCCTGCGGCGGACGGGGAGGAGGGGGAGGAGGGGGAAGGGGAGGCGGACGAGGAGAAGAAGCAGTCAGGAAGCTTCTCGGAAAGAGGTAGTGCGTGAGATGTGATGTGATGTGGGAGGTGAGATGGGTGCTGATGAGATGGGGGGAGGTGAGATGGGGAGAGGTGAGATGGGGGGAGGTGAGATGGGGGGGGGGAGATGGGAAAGGCTCCAAAGAACCACGGAATGATTTCCTGGTCTAGCCCACTATCATACCACATGCCCCCCTGTTCTCCCGCTCTCTTGCCCTCCGTTCCCCCCCCCCCCCCCTCCCTGCTCTTCTTCCTTCCCTCTCCCTCTCCCTCTCCCTCTCCCTCTCCCTCTCCCTCTCCCTCTTTCTCCATCTCTATTCCTCTCTCTCCTCCTCTCTTGCCTTCCACCCGTTGCAGAGAAACCAGACCTTATGCTTCACGCCTCTGTCGCCTGTGACAGCCCGACCACACCTGATGGCACTGTTACCGGGCTCCGGGCTTGAAGCTCACCTCCCTCTTGCCCTTCACTTCATCTTGCCTTCCACCCGTTGCAGAGAAACCAGATCTCATGCTTGACACTTCCGTCGCCTGTGACAGCCCGACCACACCTGATGGCACAGTCACCACACCGCACCCTGCTGCTGCTGGCAAGAAGAGTCTCTTTGGCTTCCACCGCACCAACTCCAAAGGTACACTTGGCTTTGGCTTTTGAGTCGACTCAGAAGGCACCTCATCCCGCTCCTGTGGGCAAGAAGAGTCTCTTTGCTTTGGCTTCCACCGCACCAAATTTAAAAGGTACACATGGCTTTGGCTTTTGAGTCGACTCAAAAGGCACCTCACCCCACTGTTGCTGGCGCGGGTGGCAAGAAGAGTCTCTTTGTCTTCCACCGCATCAATTTCCGTGGTACACTTGTTCACATGTGTACAGTGAAGTTTCTATACTTTTTACACTAAAATCATCATTTGCATAAAATAGCATGTATCATCCATCCATGAAGCTGTGTTATCATGAATACACTAGACTAGAGGAAACCTTGGTTTGAGGTGTCTCCGAATCCCCTCCCCTGTTTCCCCACCCTCCATCCCCTCTCTTCCCCTTCTCCCCCACTCCCCCCCCCTCTCCTCTCGCCCACACCCCCCACCATGAAACCAGGTCGCAGCAAGGAGAGCGAGGGCGTGTTCGGACCAGGTGCAGTTCACGCTGCCACGCCTCGACCCAAGTCAACCGAGGAGATTCGAGGGGGGTTTGGAACGCGCCGTCAGCAGCAGGTGAGAGACAGATAAGAGAGGACTTTTTTTTGCGCTTTACTTGGTTTGGCAGAGGCGTTTGATTCAGCAGAACGCACCGCGATTGATGTTGTTCTATCTCTCTATTGTCTGTTGGTTGTGTGGTGTCTCTATTCTGCAGGCTGAGGAGAGCCAATAACGGTATAATTATTGAGATGCGAGAATCACAGTGTATCTGTATTGTCTTGGTGAGCAGTAAATAGAAAGGGGCCGTTACATTGGCATTCTATGGCCCAACTAACAATCTCCTATCCTAATATGGTGCTGAGGCTACACTCCCTAGTTGGTTATGTGAAGCCAAACAGCATGCGCTACAACACATGCTCTTTGCACCGTCTTAGCTACCAGCAAATATATGGGAGTTAGGCCCATACACACCCTAGGAGTTGTGTTTGAATATTGACCAGGTTTATTATGCATCCCAGTAATTTGTTTTTGATGTGCTTGCTACGGAACTTGGTTATCACCATACCCCGCGGACCGCACTCGGTACAACGAGTGCTTGTCCGGTCACAATTGCGGCTGGGCTACAGCGCGCGAGCGGTTCTGGTTAGGACAAGCGAGGCGAAATGGCACCGAACCCGTCCAGGTACATTTTTTTTTTCCATCCACACGCTTCGAGACAATATCGATGGGGCACTTCATTTCAGGATTTGGCTTGACGAGCGGGGCGAAAGGATGAGACTGGGGAGGGAGATACTAACGAGGGGCACACTTGGCCAGCTGGCGGACGGCAGCTGCGGGGAAAGTACTGTGGGGGGGAGCTGGGGGGCGAGAGGATGTGGGTGGGTGAGGTTCAGCAAAACAGCTGGCTGGCGGTGGCGGTGATGAGGAAATGGGGAAGAAGCGGAGGTGCGCTGCAGTGCAGTCGAGCGCTCCCGCGTCGTCGCTTGATTTTCTTGGTTTTCGTGCGCGCTTGGCGCGCCGAGAGACCTCCATCCATTTCCTACACTCAGCCCAACACCCCCCTAGGTTACTGTTGTTTTCCCAGCCCGCGCTCAGTTTTTCCTCGAGAATCCCAACGACCCGCGTTACGTAGTTTTCTTCGCCAAGCCACACCGCACAATAGTTCTCTCGGTTTCTTCGCCTCACCGCGACTCATGAAGCGGATCTCGCACATCGCGACGTCAGTGGCGATCATCTTATTTTGCTAGGTAGGCTGTATTGGCGCAGTCACAGCCGCACGTGCTTCAAGGGCGTTTGCCTCGTGTAGTTTTGAGCATAGCAGAAGCCTGGCCGTGCTGTCGCATCACACGGACCAAACCAATCAATCCACCGAAGTCTTGGCTCGTTTACTTGTCTCTCGCTCGGTGTTTCTTCGTTCCTGGTTATTGCGCCTTTCCCCATCACGCTGGTGTGTTTAGCAGTTTAGTCAATGTCTCGTTCAAAAAATAACCGCCCCTGAATGCAGTAGCTATTGGCCTGTCGCAAGCAAAACGCTACGCGCAGCAAGCGGTCATTCTCCCACTCCCCTGCTTTCTTAACACGATTAAGACGCCCTTGATATTCAACGTTCTCAAGCTACATCGTTCAAACTACCCTCCGTATCGTCTCGCGGATCCGCAGGCAGACCGTTCCGGCCGACGCTTTTATAGGTATCTCGCAGTAACCTAGTTTGAGTCGAAGTAGGTCCGACATCCCTCCTCTGCTCACCGGTACCTTTAACGAGTCGCCACTCGTTTTTCCAAGTCCTCAAGCATTTGGCCATTGTCAGCCTTCCCACTCCCCATCCACTCCGTAGTTTGCCGCTCATTCCGACCCATCAAGCTTTTTCAGCAGCAAATATCTAGACCTCTTAAACAGCAGCAGCAATGACGTGCCACGCCAGAAGGCCGCAGAGACCGGTGCTCACTGTTGCGCCGCTCGTGACTGCATCAGTTCTCCTGCTTTTGATTGGGGTGTCTGTCGCTTTCGCGTCCGTGCATCGCGCGAGTGAAAGATCGAGCGACCAATGTACGCTTTGCACACTAGATTCCACCCCACATGTCATTTAATAAAAAAAAAAATCGAAAAAGAAGGCTTATTTTCTTCTGCTTTTCCGTCCTGTCGAATAATTCCACGTCCCTTCCGCCCTTCCCCCTTCTCCCTTCCTCTACCCCCGAAACACCCCCTCATCTCATTTAACACCCCTCCCCACCCGCACTTCTCCGCCCCCGATTCTTCCCCCCTCCTCCCGGTGTCCCTCCTCCCTGAATCACGGAACCCATCCTTCCCGTTCTCCAAGGTTCTCCAGCTCTTCATCGTAGATCTCTGGCCGCTGCTACTCTGGGCGCACCGTGCCGCTATGGCGGCAACATCATGCCTATTGAATGCAGCCCGGGCCTGAAATGCCAGCCCGGAAGCTCCACTGCTGTCGCCTCCGAACCTGTTTCCGAGCCTAATCCGAACCAGCTCGGCAGGCCCAGAAACTCGCAAGGTCTGACCCACAACCCTGACTTCGCCACTACGGGCACGTGTGTTCCTGACGGCTCGTCCACGTCATCCCCGTCCCCATCCACGTCATCTTCATCCAACGACACGTCACCACTCTCTCATAATCCACCAACCTCCATCCCTCCATCCTCTGGCTCTACCTCTACGCCTCGTCTCGGCCCGGGGCCCCTAGAAAAACCCGCCACGTGTCAGTACATGTGTGCACGCGGGCAGTACCACGGGGAAATGCCGTGCCCGAGAGGGTATACCTGCGTGCTTGCTCTAGAGGGAGGTCTGCACTTGTCTCCAGAGGCTCTACAAGCTCTCGTTGATGCCTCCGGTGATGCTCCTGCTGATGCTAACTGCAGTAACAGCAGCGGCAGCAGCACCAGCACTGTTATATCGCCCATGAGCGATGTTAGCAACGCCAGTAATGCCGAATTCATCAAGTCAGTAGGCGCTGTCATTCCCTACGAAGGGATCTGCGCCCCGAGCCAGTGGTTCGGCCCGAACGTCTCGCCGGACCTCCTCTCAGCACCATCGTCCACAATGTCCACCAAGGCTGCCACAGGAGGCTCGGGATCTTTGCCTGCTGCCGAGCCTGTGGCTGGGGAGGCTGGCAGCAACTGCTCATTCGGCGGGGACAGTGCTGCTGTGCTGTGCAATCAGGGATTTTCTTGTCTTGTGGAGGCAGAGAAACGCACAGTGCATCACCCACAGGTGTTCGGTGTGTGTGTGAGTGCAGAGCTCTGTGATCCATACCTAGAGGAGAAGATTGAGGATGCAGCTGGGACTGGCAGCTCAGGCAAGTCTGCAGATGCCCAGACGAGGCTGCCAGGCCTGGGGGGGTCCAGGCTCGGAATTGCTGTACTCCTTTTCGCATCCCTCTTTATCCTGTAAATGCGTTTCGTCCTGCGTCCCAGCTGAGGTGAATTGTCAATAGAGCAACCCAGGGTTGCGGTTAGTTGAACTTGGTTTGTCCTTGCTTGCAAGCTGGACTGTTGCCACATGCTGCTGTTGCTCTGTTGCTATTGCCTAGCTGCTCTCAATGTGTAGCCCTGTTACCATATGATTGTACCCTAGGATGTTAGGCTTCTGTTCAGCAAACCTTCGCCATCTCTGTTATACCATGCTTTGAAAAATAGAACGCGATTCGGTAGTAGCAGAAACAAGGCCTAGCCCACTCGAGTTCCTAGTGTATATTGTTCAGCACAGCACTCCTAAGGTACACATTTAGTGAACATTAACCTACCTTTCAAATCTGCACTAAGCTACAGTGAACTAGAGTGCCAATGTATCAAGCTCCCATCCTTGGTTCTGTGCTTACCCAGTGACGATTCAGGTGTAGGTACTCCAGTCTCGATCATGCACCTCCTCTCGCCCAACACTCGGTACATCCAGCCAAACCCCATAGCTTCATCTCTTCACTTGTACTCAACTGTAATACCTCCCTCCCTTCCCTTAACCCTCCCCCCTTCTTGCTTCCCCATCCCCTCCCCCTTCCCCTTCTTTCTTCCCCTTCGCCTTCCCCGTCTTGCTTCCCCTTTCCCTTCTCGCTTCCCCATCCACTTCCCCATCCCCTTCCCCTTCCTCTTCCTCCTCATATTCCCCAACCACACTCCTCCTTTCCATAGTTCACGATCTCTTTACATACCCTAATCCTCCTCCTTCCCTGCACCTTCCTCCCCTCCTGTCGGCCTCACCCCCTCCCCTGCTGCAACCACCTCGCTCTCACTCTCCCCCACCCCTCTCATAGCCGTTCCACCTACTTCCCCTTCTTCCCTCTCACCCAATTCTTCCCCTCTGTCCTCCTTCCTTCCTTCTTCCCTTTCTTCCCCCTCTCCACCTACCTTCCCCCCAGCAGCTTCGCCCCTCTTCTTTCGTAGCCTCTCCACTTCCCTTTCAGCCTCTTCCCTCAGTCTCCAGGCTTCTTCTGCCCGTTTCTCTGCCCGGGCAGCCCTTTCTTCTGCTTCTCCTGCCCGCTCTTCAGCTGCCCGCATCCTCCCAGTCAGCTCATCCGCCTCACCAACCAGCGCTTCCGCCCGGGCAACTTCCTCCGATAGCCTAAACTCCGCCAGGGATACCCTGTCTCTAGCCCCCTCAATCTCCACCTCTAAATCCGCACATCTCAGCCTCATCTCCTCCAGCTCAGCTTGCAGACGTGTCACAAGGTGATTGGCCCTATTTTCCACGTCTGCCACCTCAGCTTTAGCTAATTCCACCTGTCCATCTGCTTGCAACGCCTGCGCCCTCAGTCCCGCCGCGTTTTCCTCTGCTTCTTGAAGCTTCCACGAAAGCAGCTCCCTCTCTTGTTTCTCCACCTCCAATTCTCTTCTCAGCTGCCCGGAAATTTCTTCAGCTGCCCGCAACTTCTCTTCCAGGGAATTTACCCTCTCCCGGGCAGCTTTCGCCTCTCGCCTCTCCTCCGTTGCGCGTTTTTCCGCTTCCGCCGCTGCCAGCTCAGCTTCCTCCTTCAGCTTCCGCGATTCCCGCGCGTCCCGAAGCGCTCTGTCAATCTTGGATTCTAGCGAGTGGTTGCGCGTAACGGCCGCCTGTAGCTGCGTCTGTAACTCATTCACCATATCTACTTGCGGGGGAGACGCCGGCGCTGGAGCCCGAGCCTCCGACTCTGGTTCGGCATGCGATCGCAGCTCGGGAACGTCCGAGCCTGCTGGAAGAGGTTCGGCAGCGTTGCGGGAAGTGATGTGCGGCTGTGCAGACGCGATGCTGTCCGAACCGCCTTTTTTCCGCCACCGAGACAGCATCCTAACGGACTCTAGGCTAACTCCTTGAACTATGTGCGAGGTCGCTTTGTAGTCGACTCAAACGTTCTGGCTGAATTCCCGCGACATGTGAAGGCCTTGAATATCACGAGAGGTCCAAACGACTAGCCAATTTCCAGTCCAGATAGCCACGACAACTGAACAGCAAGCGGGTTGCAGAAAACGATGCCTCATAAAGATAATGCAAACCAAGAATGCTCGACGCCAGGCAAGGAAGACGACGAGGAGGAGGAGGAAGAAGAGGGGGACGCGCGCCTTGACTCTGACAGGAAAAAGCTGTGACGTGAGCTTTTAGCCGTTATGACGAGGTGAGGTGTTAGCTCGGCGTCTGCATGAAGTGGTGCGAGGTAAGCATATAATAGAAGTTTCCATCTTATTGTACACCGTACAGAGCATATTCTTAGTAGATACACGACCAGTCATTCGTTCAAATGAAAAGACCCACTCATACTTGGCGCATTGCAACTGGATATGTATCAATACATTAGTAGACAAGCAATACAAATCAATGCAACCAGCCATATAACTCCAAGGACCAGGAAATGCCGAACACAGAATAAACCCGCATCAATAAAGTCTCCCAATTTCGCTCCGCACTGAATTTCCTTTCTATCGTCATTGAACCTTCAAAGATAGCTCCACATGGCCACAATGCCACACGCACGGCTCCACGCGGCTAGTCTTATGTGGCAAAACCCTTCCACGTGGCAACTATGGCACTGAGCATGATCTCATGTGCTTCCTCATCAGTCTGTGTTATGGGGTTTAGTATGGAATGGGGTGGCATGGCATGGCATTGCATGAATACGAATCGTACGTTTGTCTCGAAGGGATGACAACATGAACAAGAGGGAGCACGAGCTATGTGAGAACACGCCAAGAGAGGAATACAGTGGATGTTTATGCATTTTTCCCCCCGATTCCGACTCACCTCACACTGCATACGGATCGAAGCAAAGCTGGGCAAACTCCATCCCCACAGCTGCCGGCTGATCTTCACCGCCCTCTCCCTCAGCTCCTCCCCCATACCCCCAATCCCCTGCCGATGCACATACAGCAGCAGTCTCGCAATAAACCGCACGTTATCCGTGTGCCTGGGCCATCTGTAGAACACCCGGGCGGCCATTCTTGTCGCTACCGCCATTAAAAGCTCTGCCACTTCTTTTTCTTTCGGGCATACCACAGCTACAACCTGGTCGATCCACGCGCTACAGCCAATGAGCATGCGGGCGCGGGAGGCTGCGGCAGAGGCTTGGGGAAAGAGGCGGGGCGGGGGGATTGCAGGTTTGTGAGAGGGAGTGCGAGGGGAGGAGGAGGAGGACGGGGAGGAGGCGGAAGCAGGGGAGGAGGAAAGTGGAGGCTTTTTGGCAGCGGAGGGATTAGAGTGGGTGGTAGGATGGGACTGGGAAGGTGATTGCGCAGGGGAGAGAGCGGAGGAAGAGGAGGAGCGGGAGTGGGACCCGGAGTGAGACTGGCCTTGGGATTTGAAGGCGGAAGAGGAGGAAGAGGAGGAGGAGGAGGAAGAGGAGGAGCGGCGGTGGCGGTGGAGGTGTTGGCGGGGGTCAGCGGCCGAGGCGAAGGAGATGAGGAGGCCCTCTAGGCCCCAGTCGAAGAGCTCTAGCAGAAAGGGGTCTGGTGGGGTAACGTCCTGCAGAATGGCCTGCATGAAGAGGGGTGGGGAGGGAAAGGGAGATGGGAAGAGGCGAGGGAGATGAGAAGGCCCTCTAGGCCCCAGTCGAAGAGCTCTAGCAGGAAGGGGTCTGGCGGAGCAGTGTCCTGCAGAATGGCCTGCGATGGGGGGAAAGGAGGTGCCCAACACAAGAGAGAACACAAGAGGGGTAAGGAAGGTGTTGGCGGGTGTCAGCGGCGGAGGCAAAGGAGATGAGGAGGCCCTCTAGGCCCCAGTCGAAGAGCTCTAGCAGGAAGGGGTCTGGCGGAGCAGTGTCCTGCAGAATCGCCTGCGGTAGCGAAAGAGAGAAGAAGGGAAGGTGGGTTGGCGGGAGCGTGGGGCAGATTGAGGGAGTTTGGGGGCAACGGGGGAAACAGGGAGAGACAGCAGGTGGATTGGAGGAGAGGTGGCAAACAGGGGAGAGGTGACACCTCAAAGCTTTTAAGGAGAGGAGACACAACACACCCTGAAGCTTCCTCGGACGGCCTTGCCCCACATGGGCACCAGCGCACGGTGCTCACGCCTCTCCTCCTCCAGCAAACTCCCAATCGCCTTCCACTGCGCCCAACCCACCTCCACCTCGGGATACTCCACCTCCCTCGCCCACCTCGCCACCGCCTCCTCTTTCCTCGCAGCCCTCTCCCTCCTCCTCTCCGCCTTTCTCTCCCTCCGCTCCTCCTCCGCCCGCTCTGCCTCACTCGCCCAGCTGCGCGCCCCCATTCCCCCCACCTTGACGATTTCGTCGCTTTCCCCGGCCTTCACGGGTGCTTCTGGGACCACCAGTGACAGCTGGTGCCGTGCCTTGGACCCTAACGACCTGCTGCCCTCCCCTCTTCCCTCCCCCCCTCTGCCCTCTGCCCCTCTTCCTCCCCCTTCTCTACCTTCTGCTCCTCTCCCATTTACCCTTCCCTCGTCCTCTTCCTCCTCCTCCTCTGCCTCTTCCTGTATCCTCCCACACCTCTCTCCAACCCCACTCTCCCTCTCCCTCACACGCGCACTGCTCTTCCCGTCATCCGCACTCCCTCTCTCCTCCCCACTCTCCTCACTCTCCTCACTCTCCCCACTCTCTAACCCATGCATCAGCAGCGGCTCAATAGACACACGCATGATCACCTTCGCACACAGTAACTTCGTCTCTTGCAATTCCTCCTCCCCAACTCCCCACCTCCCCTCCCTCCCCCCTTCCTCCTCCTCATCCTCCTCCTCTCCCTCCTCTCTCTCCTCCTCTTGCTCATCTTCATCCCCGGGGAGCTTAAACAAAGTACTTAGCTCCAGAAACCCATTAGCCAGTTCATAAGCCCATGGATACTCTAAAATCCGTTTCCCCAGTTTCCTCCATCTCCTCCTCCTCTCCCTCTCTCGCTCCTTTCTTCTCGCGGCACTACTCCCAACACTACTCAACCCCCACACCCCCTCCCTCTGCCTCTGCCTCTCCCTCTCCCTCGCCCATTCCTTTCCCTGGATTGGCTCCAGCAGCGCCGAACCGAACACCGAAGCAAACTCCCTCCTTGCCGAGCCTGTCCGCGCCCGCAGCAGCGCGAACCTAGCAGCTGCTAGAAGCCTGGCAATCCGCTTTGGAACAGGCTCGGCACCATTAGGCACTAGAGCCAGCCGAACCGTCTCCCTCACCCCCTCAGGGTCATCATACGTCGAAGCACAGGCTCGGATGCGGATCCGAACCGAAGCCTCGCCGAGCCTAAGCTCCTCGGACCGGTCTGCCAGCAGCCAGAGGTCGTCCGTGGCTAGGTTCGGCAACCGAGCCGCCTCGGTAGCTATGAGGAGAACCAAGAGCCCCGGACCTCCAGCCGAGGAAGACACCAACACTCCATCTAATTGCCGAAGCTTAGGGGGACTGGCGGACTGCGGAAGTGGCACTAAGAGGGGGTGACTATATTGAAGGTCACTGTCGAAATCCATACTGGGTGTTCGGCTTGAGCTGGTGGCAGCAGCAGCAGCAGGCATGTGCGCACCAAATGCACCTGCAATGCTGGATGATGATTGGAGGATGGAGCGGAGAACTGCCAGCTCAGCAAGCTCGACCAATGGAGCAGGGCCAAACCCGTCCCCTCCACCAGCAGCAACAGCTGATGCAGCAGCAGCAGCGTCGAACCGGGCCTTGGATGGCGGAGGCACGACAGGAATCGGGCAGGCGCTCACGAAACTCCTCTGCCTGCGATGCTTTTTTTTCTGCCCGGACGGGCTGCTGGGAACCAAAGAATCTGCCCCCATACCATAATGAATATTCCCCTGAGTATTCCCCTGATTCGGATCCTCCCCAAGCAGTGCCACTCGCCAAGCAGCTTCCTCCAGCCCCCCTCCCACCTCACCCAACCACTCCCCACCCCCACTCACCGCATTCCCCGTCCGGCCCTCTCCAATCCCCCCTTGAACGTCCCCCCCCATTCCCCACTGCAACCGCCTGTTGCCGGTGGGGGAATGACCCATAACCCCAGCATTAGCAGAGCCAGAGAGACCCATGATTCCGCCCCCAGCAGAGCCAGCGAGAAGGGCAGCAAACTCCTCGTCGCCCCCAAACGACTTGATAAATGACACTTGTCCCGTGGGGGTAGGCGCAGCCACAGCATCCCCATACCCCCCACCATAACCCCCCCCATACCCCCCATACCCCGCATCCCCCCCATACCCACCGTAGCCAGCAGCATAGCTCGCACCCGGCCGTTTCCTTATCTGGCACTTGAGAGCAACAGCATCGACCATGTCTAGCAGGCACTGCAGCACAAACTCCCGGCACTCCTGCGCCTCACTGGAATTCTCCCATTCCGCCACTGCCCCTCCCGTAGCCGTCGACCCTGCCCCATCCCCACACCCACTCCTCCCCCCCGCCCTGCTCCCCCCGGCTCTGCTCCCCCCGCCTGCGCGGCTCCCCCCAGGGCCGAACCCCCCCTCCGTTCTGCTCCTGGGACCTGTTCCGTTGGTCCATCCACTGGCCATACTCCTGGGACTAAGCGACTCCTCATCATCATCCTCCGAATCCTCCTCCCCTTCGTCTGAATCCGAGCCTCCGTGATCGCCTCGGCCGCCGGGCCTGCCGTGCCGAGCCTCCAGCTTCTTGCCGTACCGAGCCTCCCAGTCCTGCTTCCCGAGCCTGTCCAGCAGCCGGAGCACGCAGACAGCTGCGGTGGCAGGCTGGTGGCCTGCCGCAGCTGCTGCCAAGCCTAACAACCGAACCACATCCACATGGAGCGGTGCCGGGTTCGGAACTTCCTCCTCTGCCATCACCGAGCCTCCTGGCCCTGCTACCATAATCCCCGCTACCAAGCCAGGAGCCAAGCTGGCAGGTCCGGCCAAGCCAGGCCCCGAGGCAGCATTACTTTCAGAGGATATACCCATCCTACCCATCATACTTGTAATCATATCGGGCTCTCCAACACCCACTCCCACACTAAAAGTGCTAACAGTAGTTATAGTACTGACTGTGCTAATGCTACTCCCAGGCCCTCCCCATAACCCACTAGCGTCACTGCTGCTGCTGCTCCCGCTGCTACTGCTGCCACTGTTGCTGCTGCTGTTGCTACTATTGCTGCTCGCCCCATCCGCTCCTGCTGCAGCAGCACCTGTGTAACCACTGCTACCCCCTGTCCGGATTCCATACCCACCACCACTGCTGCTCAGCACAGCAGCTTCGGCACAAAACCTACTGCTTCCGAGCCTCCCGACGTTGCTTCGGCTTTTCCGAAACTCCCGCCCATCCTTTGCCAAGCCTCTCAGCCTCTTTTCCTCCTGGCTAATCCCACCGGACCCCACCCCTTGAAGTGCCTCCGCACTCCCTGTCACCCCCCCCCCTGCTTCTCCTCCTCTGCCCCCCGCTGCAACGCCCCTTGCTCCTGCTGCACCAGTCATAGGCCCAGGGGTTGCTACAGTAATCTGCCGCCCACTGGAAGCTTCTAGAATCTCTTCCAGCAGTTTGTCTTGTAGCTGTCGCCCTGCTTCAGCCCGTAACGCGGCTTCTAACGCCGAGCCTACCACCGAAGCGCCACCCAAACCTGAGCCCTCGGTATGGTAATCCTCGTCATAGTGATAGCCGTTCATTATAGTCACATCCTTGTCTTCTGCACCCGCAGGGTCTTCAATTTCCAATGGCTCAACAATCGTCACCATGCGCTCTCGCATCGGCCGGCTTCCTTCGTCCGTTTCAGTCTCAAAAAGGTCACTGTTCACACTGCTGTCATTTACACGCGAGGAAAATCCCAAAACCTTCTCCTCCTCCTCTAAATCAAGATCCCCGAATTCATCCTCCTCTTGTATCGCCTCCACCCCACCCCACAGCCCCCTCCCCCTCCCCCTCTCCCCTTCCCCACTCCAATCACTCCCTCCATCCGTCCCGCCTCCCCCGTCCGTTCCTCCCCCGTTACTATCACCATCACTCAAGTCAACCGAGAAAAAGTTCCCGACATCTACAGTATTACTTTGCCCTATCGAATCAAGCGTAGGCAACAGGTGCTTCCCTCCCCGCCCAGTCCCCGCATCCCCTATCACCCCTCCCCCACCCGCTCCTTCCCTAAACGACCTCCCTCCGTCTTTCAACGACCCTTCCTTAAACGAGCGTTCTCTAAACGAGCGCCCGCGTTCCTTCAGAGACCGAGCCTCCCTTAAAGACCGGCTCTTGCTCATCGCCCTGCTTCCCGAGCGACTCAACGCTCTTCTTTCCGCGAAGCTTCCCGTGCTCTCCGCGTAACTTGTGCTCCTAAAGCCGTCGTCCCCACCTCTTCCGCCGCCTATCCCGCTGTCGCCCCCACCAAATGTTGTGCTACGTAAGCCCCCAGAACCCCCTCCGCTGAACCCCCCCACCGCATCATGGTTCCCGAATCCTGGAAAAAAACTTTCCTCCTTGACCGGACTCCAGATTCCCCCGTTTCCCCCGCCTGCTCCCCCTCCCCCCACGGGGGACTCCAGCCCCAGTCTGCCATGGCCCTCGAGTCCGCTTCCGCCGCCGCTGCCTCTTCCGCCACCGCCCACTCCTCCGCCAGTGACACCTAATCCGGTTCCGCCTGCCCCGTGCTGCACAGGCGGCTTCCCCCACTCCTTCCAAAACTCCACCCACATAGCCAGCCCCAATACAAAGACTTCTTCTACTTGTAACGGATCCAACCCTACTGGAGGCAACGGGCCCACGTATGCTAGGGTTTGTTCAGACGCGCCTGTTACCCCGAACGCCAGCGCACTCAACCCCGCGAAATCAAACCCTCCGAAAGCGCCCTCCCCTTCCCCTTCCCCCCGCGCCTTCCTCCGCGCGCGTCGTCGCGCATCCGCGGCTGCTACAGCTGCTGCGGCGGCTGTAGCGGCTACAGATGCGGAGACCGTCTGAATAGTCGCCACGAGCCAGTCGTATTCCGCGCGAGCTAGGCGCAAAAGCGCCGCTTCTAGAACCTCCTGCGCTTCCCGCGACGTCACCTCCCCCGCCCGCTCCACCGCCAGCGCTACCAGCCGCCGCGTGGATAGCCGTTTCAGCGGCCCTTGCGGCACCGTCTGGTCCTGCTGGAGCGCCGCGGGCGCCGGCGACGGCGCCGGCGGCGCCGGGGATCGCGGCGGGAGTCCCGCTCCGCCGCTAAGGTAGCTGCTTCCGGTGGTGGCGAGGACAGGTGCGGGGGAGTGAGAGTCTTGAAGGCGGAAAGGGGAAGGGGAAGCGGAGGCGGCGGAAGGGGAGGTGGGGTAATCCGCGAAAGGGGAGGGCGTGGCGTTATACGAGGAGGGCAGCGGGGAGTTCTGCTGGAGATCTGAAGAATAATCGTCGCCATCTTTGTTGTCGCTATGTGCGTCGCCGTCATCCTCGTGGTCTTGCTCGTCAGCAGCCGAGAGATCTGACGTGGCAACGACCGCGGCGCTGGAGATTTTCTCGACGTATTGCGTGAGGAGATTAGAGACCGCATCGTGAACCCAGTCCTCCTCGGTTAGGAGTTTTTCCAAGCTTGCGAGCGAGGCTCGGGCTGATTCCGATTCGTTCAGATGAGGCGAGGAAGGTTGGTTGAGGGTTGGAAAGGAGGGTGCAGCGAGATTCGCTGGTATTGCGAAGTCCGGGTAGGGCCATTCTCCCGCTGTCGAATTCGCCTGACCCATAGCGAATTCGAGGGACACGCAGGACGAAAATCAACCGCTACAGCAATGGAGAGCAAGTACGAAGAAAGGCGTAGTCTTGAAAAGTAAGGAGCCACCTCATGCTTCTCAAAAAAGACGGGTAGCACGAGAATGGTGCTACCAGACGAAGGCTGCAAAACCAGCTGCTGGAGATGCTTCAGAGAGTGCCTTCGTCTAGATACATAGGAACCACCTCACTATACCTGCAATCCGGCAGTTGCAGGAGAAGAAAGCTAGCAGTCGGAGACTACACAACCAGCAGCTAGAAATGCTTCACAGAATGCCATGTGCGTGGCTTGGGATCCGGCAATGACAAGCAAAAACGACATGACTGGGTTGTAGAATCGCTGCTTGCAAACGAGCAAAAGCTACGATGGGGTGGGTGGTTGTGCAAAAGTCCATGATTCAGGAACCAGGGACTGCCGCGTATCTCCCAAGCTCCCAACCATTTCTGACGGACACAGTTACATTTCCGTCAGAATGCTTTCGCAATGTTCTGAGTTGCAGGGAGCCACACAATATGGTTCGCTCCGTCAACTCTGCCAGGCGATGCGGGGGTTTCCTGGCGCGCTTGCAGAGCTGCTCTGACAGAGAATGACATCCCGCCATTTGGGCACAGAATGTCCAGTTTTGTCAAAAGTTTTCTTTGTGCGAAAGCAGGTAATATTCCCGTTCAGTTACAATTTCGTTAAGTTCGTCACCCCGGACAAGGTACTCGAGCGGGTCTGCGGCTTGCGCAACCCAGGAGCAAGCGCCGCACCAATGAACCGAAGTTGGCCGAAACACCTGGGCGGGAAAACGGGGACAGAATGGTACTTGCCCCAGGCCATGCATGCATGGCGATGAATGGTGTGTCTCAGGGTATGCGCGTAATCCTCAAGAGCGCAATGCACGGCAGGGCAAGCTCGAGGGCTGATGATGACCGAGCGGAAACCCCAGGTGCCCAGCCCAGCAGCACGCACCAGGGGAAGCTGGAGGGCAGCAGACTTTAGGCCTCATCCAGGTAGAGTAGAGAACTGTGATGGGCTCCAAAACTGGTAACTCGGGTGTAACCTTTTGAGAAGCCAAATCCAGACCGTTGAATTAGATGTTTTTTTAGCTAAACCTAAATCATCAAGCAATACAAGGAGTAAGGCAACTGGAACACAATCCCAAGGCCTTTTTACCATCAGTTCGTCTTGCTGTTTTGAACAACTTTGCCTATTTCCACTCGGTCCCCCAGGTGTTTAGGTCTTGTTGTGGCTCCACGGTGCCTGGCTGTACGGAATGACCGCGTAGCTGCGTAGGGAATCCATGTCCAGTTAGGCCGTAGACGCGATACGGATGCGTTTCCTGAAAGATAGAGCCTCGTTGCAGTCGAGGCATTTAAAACTTTCCGTCCTCATGCACTTATTCTGATAAGAAAACATAACCTTCTTATTTCCACAGTTCACTTCCGGTTCTTAAGATTAACCCTTTCCTTAAAAGCCTAGGGTTAAACTTTAAGAGCTAAGATGGAAATGGAGGACGGGGAACCGCCGCGTATCGCACCTGCTTACACGCCGTGCGCTTTCGAAGGGGAGTCGCCGGGCCCCCGGTGCGGTCACACCCTTACCGCCGTCGCGCCTGTAGGAGAGCCCGGCAGCGCGAACTACATCGGCCCGCGGCTGATTTTGTTCGGAGGAGCCACGGCTCTGGAAGGAGGCGCAGGTCCCGCGGCTGGAGCAGCAGCCGGAATACGTAAGTCAGGAAGCGTGGGGAGATCTGTCGTTAAGCGGCTGCTGGATCGGTTTTAAGCTGACACTTCGTCGTATAGTTTTAGTCGATTTCGCGACGGTGTCCGCTTCCATCAAGCTTAACAGTTACCAGCATAGAAATGCTGGTTACCGATCGTGCTTTAGAATGTGCGTACGCTCGCTTACGACAAGCACCTCTTCTCTCTCTCTCTTTTTTATCCTCCTTAATTACCAACTCTCACACCGATGCCGGCCTCTGCCGGCCAAGCTCTCTCCTTTCTTCCCGCTGCGCCTTAGTTTCCCTAGTTCTTCAGTTCTTTTCCGCGTAGCTATCTCCAGGAGCTGCTGCAGAGTGGGCTGTTTAGGCGTCACCGCTGGGCTTGGGAAGCAGCGTAACTTGCCTTAAGAGCTCTCATTGTCTGCAGCGATTCGACTTTCAAGTTTTCGAGCTCTCTTGCTGCTTCCTTCCGTCGGTCTTTCAGGTCTGGCCGGAGCCACGGCGGATGTGCATTGTTTCGACGTCAACTCGCGAACATGGAGCAAGTGAGTGAGCGCATCCGCTCGGTTTGGCGCGGTTTGTTAGCAAGTTACTGATTATTGATTGCTCTTCGACATTATCGGGAATATATAGGAGCAAAAGACATCTTAAACCATTTTTAGGACAGTAGACGGTGCAAGTGAACCCCGTTTGCGCAGTTCGTCTGTCCACTCGATTTTCACATCCGCACATTTCTCTCACGTTATCAGTATGCTAGGGTTACTCCCCGCATCCGGCAGTACCTAGCATCACGCTTCCGCGTTTCCCGTCTCCTCCCAGGCTCTCTCCAGTGGGCGAGCCTCCTTCCTTCCAAGAGTCCCCCTCCCCGCGACTGCACATGCCCTGATGAAACCCCCTGGAAAGCATCTCTCCTTTCTTTCCAGGCTACTCCGTGTGGTCGAGCCTCCCCCTCCGCGAGCAGCGCATGGACTCTTTATCCTCTTTTTCTCTCTTTTTCTCTCTTTTTTCTCTCTTTTTTATCTCTTTCCCGTTCTCTCAGGCTGTCCCCGGTGGGCGAGCCTCCCTCCCCGCGAGCGGCGCACGCGGCGACGGCGGTGGGAACTATGGTGGTGATTCAGGGCGGCATAGGGCCGGCAGGGCTCGCGACTGACGACCTGCACGTGCTGGACCTCACTCAGGCTCGACCCAAGTGGCACAGGTGCGGCTTGTACTGTTGTACCGGTTGCACTGTTAACACTTTTTTCGCTATTGTGGAATTGTACTGCGCACAAGCACAAGAGCAGCATTGCAGGGGCAGCTTTCAAAGGGTTTGCTTGCGGTTTTCGTCACAGAGGGTTGTGTTTATGTAAGAAAGTTACAATGTTGCTGCTGTTGATCGGCTTGCGTTTGTGACGAGGTGTTCTAATGCCGTTGCTGTGGATGGTGGCGTGTGCCTGTAACGAGCAGAGTGGTGGTGCAAGGAGCGGGCCCTGGGCCTCGATATGGCCACGTCATGGCTCTTGTGGGGCAACGCTTTCTGCTGTCCATCAGCGGCAACGACGGTGAGAGGGATGCGCGAGTTCTTTTATTGCTCACTTGCTTAAGACGAGGTGTAGATAGATTGACGCTTCTGCTGTGCTCAATGGACTTGTCAGTGATAACGTATAATGTGATCTGATGGTTCTTTTTAGCGCATTACCTCACCCAGCTTTCCCCACTTTCCCCTCCCTCCCTGGCAAGCAAGCGGCCGCTGTCGGACGTATGGTCGCTGGACACGGCAGCGAAGCCGTACGAGTGGAAGAAGCTGGACCCGGAGGGCGAGGGGCCGCCGCCCTGCATGTACCTCTGAGTTGATTCATCACCACAACCCCCCTCAACCCCTTCGTTCTTCCCACCCCAGGCAAGCGGCCGCTGTCGGACGTATGGTCGCTGGACACGGCAGCGAAGCCGTACGAGTGGAAGAAGCTGGACCCGGAGGGCGAGGGGCCGCCGCCCTGCATGTACCTCTGAGTTGATTCATCACCACAACCCCCCTCAACCCCTTCGTTCTTCCTACCCCAGGCAAGCGGCCGCTGTCGGACGTATGGTCGCTGGACACGGCAGCGAAACCGTACGAGTGGAAGAAGCTGGACCCCGAAGGGGAGGGCCCGCCGCCTTGCATGTACGCCACTGCCAGCGCCCGGCACGACGGGCTGCTGCTGCTGTGCGGTGGCAGAGACGGCAGCAGCGTGGTAAGCTGTGTTGCGCGTGGCATTAGGGCGGTGGTGATGAGCCCGTGAGTCGATTCACAAGTCACAGGAGTGTGGGTGAGGCACGACAGGCTGCTGTTGCTGTGCGGCGGCTGAGACGGCAGCGGTGTGTTACGTGTGGCGTGAAAGGTGGTGACCTCTTGAGTGGACTCCCCCCCCCCCCCCCCCCCCCCCCTCCCTCTCTCTCTCTCTCTCTCTCTCTCTCTCTCTCTCTCTCTCTCTCTCTCTCTCTCTCTCTCTCTCTCTCTCTCTCTCTCTCTATTTCCTCCACACCCTTTTGTGCCTACTCCGTTCCATCCAACGTCGCTCTTCCACACAATGACCCTGCCACTTCCCTTTCCCCACCACTTCTCGTCCCCCACTTTCCCCTGGTCGGTCCCACCACACCAGCCTCTACCCGGGGCGTTTGGCTTGGCTCGGCACAGAGACGGGCGGTGGGAGTGGGCGGTGGCGCCTGGTGTGTCACCCTCCGCGCGCTACCAACACGCTGCTGTGAGTTTCGTCATACCGTGCTATGTGCTGGCTCGTGTGACTGTCAGTGTGTGAGTGTGTACTGTGTGCCTGCCTGTGAACTTCTTGGCCCTAAACATACCCTGAGCCCTGCCCTAAAGCCTGCACCCAAACGTGCACTGATCCCATCACTGAACCCTTATCCCTGCATTGAAGCTTCCCTAATCCCTGTGCTGAACCCTTATCTGCGCACAGGTGTTTGTGGGGCTGCGCCTGCACGTGTCTGGAGGGGCGCTCGGGGGAGGCAGGATGGTGGAAGACGCCTCCAGTGTGGCCGGTGAGTCAGTGTGACTATAGCAAGGCCACGTGTGTTTGAAACTTGGTCATTGTGGTTCATCATGTGCATCAGGACAAAGTTTGCTACTGCTATCACGCCTCCCCTCCACCTGTATCCCTCCCAATATGTTATCACTCAAATTCTCACACCACCTCCCTCGCTCGTTCCCTTCCCTTCCACGCACACAGCAGGTGGTGCGGTGTGACCACATGGTTCTTGTTTACTTTATTTTCGCCGTTTCCCGTCCTTCCCCCCCCCCCCCCCCCCTCAAAATAACCGTACTCTCCGGTACACGCAGTCCTGGACACAGCAGCAGGCGTGTGGTGTGACCGCAAGGGCATGGTATCGGTCGCCCGCACCGGCCGCTACAGTGCCGATGCTCCGGGCGGCGACGCGTCCACCGAACTCACCCGCCGCTGCCGCCACGCCGCCGCCTCAGTGAACGATATTATCTTCGTGTACGGCGGGCTGCGGGGCGGCATTCTCTTGGACGATCTGCTGATTGCGGACGACACGCCGCCCGAGCAGCCGACCCTGCCGCCCTCCGCGGCTGCGCCGGCCAAGGAGGCTGTGTCTGGGTCGGCACGCAAGCCGCCCATGCCGCCCAGATCGGGCGAGGGGCGGCAGGGCGTGGCGGTGGCTTCAGCTGTTGCTGCTCCGGATGACAGAGAGGAGGACATCGGGGCTGAACACGCGAATGACCACCTGCACGAGTGAGTGAGGGGAGGGAGGGATAAGGGGGAAAGGAGAGAGAAGCATGGGTGCCTGGATGGGATGACGGAGAGGAGGATATCGGGGCTGAACATGCAAACGACCACCTGCACGAGTGAGTGAGGGAAGGGAAAGGTAGGAATGGAGGAGAAGGGCGGAGAAGGGGAAGCGATGGAGAGGTATGGGCTGGCTGGATGGGTTGACAGGGAGGAGGATTTCGGGGCTGAACATGCGAATGGCCACCTGCACGAGTGAGTGAAGGGGGGGGGAGATAAGGGGGAAAGGAGAGAGGAGCATGTACTTTCGCAACACAATACATGGTGTGTACGAGGAGGCATCAGAGCAGCTGGCGCGGATCAACAAGGAGGAAATGGAGGTGGCGAGGCAAGGCGGGCCATGGAGAGGGGCGACCTGCCTTTTCCTTACATGCACACAAGCGCTCTTTTGTGCTTCCCGCACCACCACACTCCATGTACTGTCGCAATGCAATACAGGGTGGACGAGGAGGCATCAGAGCAGCTGGCGCGGATCAACAAGGAGGAGATGGAGGTGGCCAGGCGAGCTATGGAGAGGGGCGGCAGTGGCGACCTGACGGGGGACGACATGGACGAGCGGCGCTACGGCGGCACTCCGCCTCCCCCCACCGCTGCCAGCCTCGCCAGGAGCGCCCTGGACGATGGGCGCAGTGAGACGCCTGCGTTTAAGAACGTCACTCTGTATCGCCGCGCTGTGAGTGCAGGTCGAAGGGGGGTGGGGTGTGGGGGGAGGGGATGGAGGGAGGGGAGATAAGGGAAGGGAGGGGAAGGGAGGGGAGGGGGGTGTGATCAAGGATTGGGCCTTTGAGGGGCCTCAAAGTGGCGACCTGACGTTCTCAAAACGTACTTCCTCTTCCTTTTCCCGTTTGGCCCGCTCGCCCATTACAGGTGGTGGTGGCGGCAGACCCTGCTGCGGCCGGCAGTCTGGGCGGGCTGGTTCGTCAGCTTTCCATCGACCATCTGGAGAACGAGGGGCGGCGCATCAGCTTCGGGCCGGAGGGCGGTGCTGGGCCGCCCAAGCTGCTCAACCGACAGATGTCCATGCAGGGCGTGCATAAGAAGGTATGGAGGTGGCTTGTATGGGAGTTGTTTGCTTATGTAGGAGCTGCTAGTATGGAGGATGGATAGGAAGTGGGTCCACACAGTGTGGCCCCAAGTCCATCCCCTCTCCGCCCTCCCCATGCCCTCCCAACCCAACAGGTTCTGCAGACGCTGCTGAAGCCGCGGGCATGGAAGCCTCCCACGAAGCGCCAGTTCTTCCTGGACGTGCATGGGGTGGTGGAGCTCTGTGATTTGGCGGAGAATATTTTCAAGAATGAGCCGTCCGTGCTGCAGGTAGGACTGGGGGAGGGAGGGCCAGGTGTCAACTGGGGAAATGGGGGGGTGTTCAGCTGCAGACGGGGGGAGGACCAAGCGTGTGCGTGCTGCTGGTAATGGGAGGAGAAGGTAGGTTCTTCTATAAGGTGAAGGTGGGTGGGCTGGACGTGCATGGGGGGTTGGAGATCTGTTACCTGACCCGTTGCCTCCCTCAATCCCTCTCAACCATCCCTCCTCTCCTCTCTCAATTACTTTATCCGCCAGGTGCGGGCGCCAGTGAAGATCTTTGGTGACCTGCACGGCCAGTTCGGAGATCTCATGCGTCTGTTCGACGAGTACGGCTCACCCTCCACTGCCGGGGACATCGCGTGAGTACCCTCTCGCTTCTGTACTATTAATTCGCTTCGACCTCGTTCAACCCACTTCAACCTTGTCAAACCACTTTCGACCATTCTCGACCATTTTCCCTGTTCGTCTATAACGTACATATCTCGATTTTCTCTCCCCCTTTTCCCCGTTACCACCCCGACCAGGTACATAGACTATCTGTTCCTGGGCGACTATGTGGACAGAGGCGCGCACAGCCTCGAGACAATCATCCTGCTGCTCGCACTCAAGGTGGGCTTGCCTGCCTCAATGACATACGTTGTGAATACAAGCGTACATAGACTCACATTTTGGGCGATTATGTGCACAGAGGTGCACACAGTCTCGAGACAATCATCCTGCTGCTCGCACTCAAGGTGGGCTTGCCTGCCTCAATGACATACGTTGTGAATACAAGCGTACATAGACTCACATTTTGGGCGATTATGTGGACAGAGGTGCACACAGTCTCGAGACAATCATCCTGCTGCTCGCACTCAAGGTGGGCTTGCCTGCCTCAATGACATACGTTGTGAATACAAGCGTACATAGACTCACATTTTGGGCGATTATGTGGACAGAGGTGCACACAGTCTCGAGACAATCATCCTGCTGCTCGCGCTCAAGGTGGGCTTGCCTGCCTCAATGACATACGTTGTGAATACAAGCGTACATAGACTCACATTTTGGGCGATTATGTGGACAGAGGTGCACACAGTCTCGAGACAATCATCCTGCTGCTCGCACTCAAGGTGGGCTTGCCTGCCTCAATGACATACGTTGTGAATACAAGCGTACATAGACTCACATTTTGGGCGATTATGTGGACAGAGGTGCACACAGCCTTGAGACAATCATCCTGCTGCTCGCACTCAAGGTGGGCTTGCCTGGATGCATGGGTTTCGGGGCACTCAAGGTACTTCGTGAATACAAGCGTACATAGACTCTCTTTTTGGGAGACTATGTCGAGAGAGGTGCGCGCATAGCCTTGAGACAATCATCCTGCTGCTCGCGCTCAAGGTGAGCAAGAAACCTTCTCAGGCTGTCACTACTTGAGACTCGCCATGATATTCCTAGGTCTCGCTATCAAAGGTGGGGAATTAGAATGCCTCGCAAGGTGGGCCACACGGAATTTCACTGTTTGGTCAGAATTAGATTGCTGCCTGGCCTTGATGCCTCCTCTCTTTTCCCATGCTGGACATCCCCCCCCACCTTGCGAGGCAGAATGAGCCACCCACGCAACGTGCATTTGATCCGCAGAAACCACGAAACTGATCCCTTGCCTTGTCCCTCCCAACCCCCACCCGCTACCCACCATACCCTGGCAGATAGAGCACCCGCGCAACGTGCATCTGATCCGCGGAAACCATGAGACAGCAGACATCAACGCGCTGTTTGGGTTCCGCATAGAGTGCATCGAGCGCATGGGAGAGCAAGCGGGCATCTGGGCGTGGCATCGCATCAACCAGCTCTTTAACTGCCCGCCCCCTTCCCTCCCCCCCCTGCCCGCCCCCTTCCCTCCCGCCCCCTGCCCGCCCCCTTCCCTTTCTCCTCGCCCTTGCCTTGTCCCCTCCAACCCCCACCCGCTACCCACCACACCCTGGCAGATAGAGCACCCGCGCAACGTGCATCTGATCCGTGGCAACCACGAAGCGGCGGACATCAACGCTCTCTTCGGGTTCCGCATAGAGTGCATCGAGCGCATGGGCGAGCAGGCGGGCATCTGGGCGTGGCAGCGCATCAACCAGCTCTTCAACTGGCTGCCGCTGGCGGCGCTGATAGAGCGGAAAATCATCTGCATGCACGGGGGCATCGGCCGGTCCATCCAGCACGTGTCGCAGATCGAGGAGCTGCAGCGACCCATCAGCATGGAGGCGGGGTCAATGGTGCTCATGGACCTGCTCTGGTGAGTCACAGAACCGCTGGAAGGTCAGGCACGGGGTGAGCTCTCTTCAACTGGCTGCCGCTGGCGGCGCTGATAGAGCGGAAGATCATCTGCATGCACGGGGGGATAGGGCGGTCCATCCAGCACGTGTCGCAGATCGAGGAGCTTCAGAGGCCCATCAGCATGGAGGCTGGCTCTATGGTTCTCATGGACCTGCTCTGGTGAGTCAGGCAATCACTTGGTGGGTCACACCTCTGGGGTATGCTGGGCTGAGCAAGCGGTGAGTTGCGGTTTCAGCTCTTCACTTCGGTCCATCCAGAACGTGTCGCAGATAGGGGAGGCTGGAGCTTCAGCGGCCCATCAGCACGGAGGCTGGCCCAGTGGTTCTCATGGACCTGTTCTGGTGAGTCCTCCTTTGTCACTAAGTCTGTTCTTTAACTGAGAGCTCTCGACACAAGGACCATCCGCTCACTTGGAAGCCCACTCCTCCCTTCCCCTGGCCCCTTCCTTGTGTGTGGGTAGGTCGGATCCCACGGAGAATGACAGCACTGAGGGCCTCGGACCCAACATACGAGGACGACCCAGGATTCGGTACATCTATCTGTATATTCTTTCTGAAGCCCTTCCCCACCTCCCCATCCGCACCCTTGTGTGTGAGCAGGTCCGACCCCACGGAGAACGACAGCATTGAGGGCCTCGGACCCAACGTACGAGGACGACCCAGGATTCGGTACATCTATCTGTATATTCTTTCTGAAGCCCTTCCCCACCTCCCCATCCGCACCCTTGTGTGTGAGCAGGTCCGACCCCACGGAGAACGACAGCATTGAGGGCCTCCGACCCAACATACGAGGACGACCCAGGATTCGGTACATCTATCTGTATATTCTTTCTGAAGCCCTTCCCCACCTCCCCATCCGCACCCTTGTGTGTGAGCAGGTCCGACCCCACGGAGAACGACAGCATTGAGGGCCTCGGACCCAACATACGAGGACGACCCAGGATTCGGTACATCTATCTGTATATTCTTTCTGAAGCCCTTCCCCACCTCCCCATCCGCACCCTTGTGTGTGAGCAGGTCCGACCCCACGGAGAACGACAGCATTGAGGGCCTCCGACCCAACGCCCGAGGACCGGGTCTTGTCACATTTGGGGTGAGTTGGCACCGCCATGCTATGGTGCTGCAGATGTGTAAGTTCTTTTTTTTCAAAGTCGCTCTTTTACGGCAACTGAATTTGCTTTGAGTATAGCTCAGAAGTATGCATTTGGTTCCACTTTCATCCTCTACCCTTCCTGCTCAGCCCAGCCGTATGATGGAGTTCTGTTAGAACAACGACCTGCCGCTCATCATCTGAGCGCACGAGTGTGTTGATCAAGCTCTCCTCTCACACTCCCATTTCTTCCATCCCACTCCCTTGCATTTCCCCCTTTTACCTACTGCGCAGCCCGACCGCGTGATGGAGTTCTGTCAGAACAACGACCTGCAGCTCATCATCCGAGCGCACGAGTGTGTGATGGACGGCTTTGAGCGCTTCGCTGCCGGCCACCTCATCACGCTCTTCTCCGCCACCAACTACTGTGGTGAGTGCTGCTAATTGTGAGAGTGCTGCTGCCTGTCATAGTCCTAGTAGCAGGTCTGTTAGTGCAATGCTGTACGCACACTTTGCTGCCGGCCACCTCATCACACTCTTCTCCGCCACCAACTACTGTGACTAGTGTGGTGAGTGCTGCTAGTTGGTAGATTGCTGCTGCCTGCGACTACTAAACGCGCCCTGTCCCAGCAACTTTCCATCTGCTACATCTCCCCCCAATTTCTAAACCCTGCACCCCTTTCTCCATCCCTCCTCCCGATGTGTCTCCAAACCCTGCTCCATCTCTTGTTGTCTCACGTCCTCTCCTTCCAACTTTCTTTTCCCCGTTTTTTATGCAGGCACGGCCAACAATGCGGGTGCCATTCTAGTGCTGGGGAGGGACCTTGTCGTCTTTCCCAAGATGATCCACCCGTTGCCGCCCACCGGCAACTCGGGAAGCTCGTCGCCGGATTACCAGGATGAATGGATGCAGGTGAGCCTCCTCACCTCCCTCCCTTCCCTTTCTTCTTCACACTATGTGCCCCTCATGTCAAACCCCACCTTATTCATTGCCGGAGTCTCTGTTTTCCTGTACCCCCTCTGATGTGGATTGTTTGGTTCTCTGTGTCTTTCGATCTGTCTTTTTTACGCAGGAACTCAACTCCCAACGACCACCAACACCTACTCGTGGCCGCCCACAGCCAGCCAATGACCGCAACTCACTAGCCTTCATTTAAAAGAAACTCAGTGCGTAGGGTGTTGAGCGATTGGGTGCATATTTGGGGATGCCCTCCTGCATCACTATCTTGCCAAGTGGCACATCATGGGTTCACTGGTCGTTCTGGAATTAGCTTGGTGGTTGAAGTTAGTTACTACAATGCAGGCTAGTTTCATGTACACTGTTCTGTTGATATTATCGCCTTTATCCGTGACTTTCAATCTCGATTAGTGCTGATATTTTCTCTATGAAAAGCACCGTCCTACTCAAACCAAAGGGATAAGAGCGTATCTGGTTGGCTCAAACTTGGCGGGCTTCTGATGTGTGGTTGGGGAGCAAAAAAACTGCGCCAACCAATGGTAGCGAGTGTGCACTTCCGCGTCATTCTGACCTCGAGCAAAGAACCTGGCCCAGGGTCCTCCCGAGCTTTTTGACTGAATTTCCGGGGTTTGAACAGGTGGCAATCAAAGGTCGCCCCACGGTGCTCTCCGTGCAGACGTGTCAAACTATTAGCCGTGAGCAACGCCGTGCTGTGCTGTACTCGTTACAGTTTCGCGACTCGATCATTTCCCTGATCGGCAAGGCAGGGTACACAATTGCAGCTGTGAGTTTGTGATTGTGCCCTCGGAAATTCCCAAGGGAGAGGGACCAATCCACCAGCCCGAGAGCAGGCAACCACCCATCCATCATCTGATCCATCTCAGGGCTGCCTGCCTTCTTGTTGCGATCGGACGGTCAAAATCATCGCATTGGGGATGAGTCATGTGGTCCCGAGATATAAACGTAGCATTTTCGGGCATTTCGGATTTCAGTTTTCGGGGAAGCACACAGAGAAACTTCACGGATTGGTTTGAATTGAGCTTGGCGTGGCTTTTGGGCCAGTTTGCTGAAGAACGATCACAGGGGGGTCAACAAAGCCACTTTCTGACAGTGGTTTTGCAACGACTATCTGCTGCGAGAACCACACCATGGCTGCCACTACAGCCTGCAGAACAGGCCTCAGCTACGCTGCGGGCCTCACCACGGGCAGCAAGACCCGTCAGATTGCGTCTGTCAGCCGGATCGGTGGCCTGAAGCTCCGCATTCCTGAAAAGGCTACATTGGTGAAGAATGCTCGTCCTCAGATCAGCATGGTGCTGGCTCCGCCGCCGCCTATGACTCGCGGCGACGACCCCAGGGAGCCGCAATCCAACCTAGACTTTGATGCCTCGGCTCCTCCGCCATTTACGCTTGCGGATATCCGCGCGGCGATCCCGAAGCACTGCTGGGAGAAGGACGCGCTGAAGTCCATAGCGTACCTCGTGTGGGACGTCGCTGTGGTGTTTGGCCTGGCTGCTGTCGCTCAAGCGGTCGACCAATGGTGGATCTGGCCTATGTACTGGATTGCGCAGGGTACCATGTTCTGGGCTCTCTTCGTCATCGGTCATGACTGGTACGTTCTGGAAGGAATTTGCCGTGTTCACACTATTTAGCATTTTGTGAAGGGAATCGAACACTACATCGAGCTTTACGCCAGATAACCTATCAATTGAACTTCGCATCTGCAACATGCGTTCCGTTTCCACAGTGGACATGGAAGCTTCTCCAACAACAAGGCTCTGAACGACTTCGTTGGCCATCTAACGCATTCTTCAATTCTCGTGCCGTACCATGGATGGTGAGTAGAAATGTTGCTATTAGGAGTTGTGCCGACATCTTTCGTTGAATTCCTGCTTGAACTACTAACTCATCATTCACGTTCGTCTTAACAGGAGAATTAGCCACCGTACACATCACGCCAACCACGGTCACGTGGACAATGACGAATCCTGGCATCCAGTAAGTAGTTGACCATATTTTTCGTGAGTACGTAATATGTTGCTGTTTCCACAGCTAATCTGTGAAATGCATTGGCGACGCGCAGATTTCCAAGGACAAATATGACGAAATGGAGTTTTGGTCCAAGGTTGGCCGTCTCAAGTTCCCGTGGCCTCTCTTCGCCTACCCATTTTACTTGGTACGTACCAACCTATGTCTTCTGCACGCCACTCGTGTATCCTTCGACTCGCTGGGTATTGACTTGGTTTTTTCTTGCCTTTTCAGTGGAAGCGAAGCCCTGGTAAGGTCGGTTCGCATTTCGACCCGAAGTCTGATCTCTTCACTCCCAATGAGAAGGACGACGTTACGACATCTGCGACTTGCTGGTGGGCCATGGTGGGGATCCTGGCCGCGCTCACTGTCTTCATGGGACCCGTGTCAATTTTCAAGCTTTACGTCGTTCCGTACTGGGTAAGTCACGCACTGATGTGATCCTCATAGCCTGATGATTTTTCTCGCATTCAGCCTTACTCATCATATGCCCCCATGTACTTCGTTATGCAGATCAATGTCGTATGGCTCGATGTCGTTACGTATCTGCACCACCACGGTTATGACAAGAAGGTTCCGTGGTACAGAGGCGAGGTAAGAAAGTTGTCAGTACCTAGCTTTCATATGCTAAGCCCTACCTCATGCAGTTCCTATTGTTCATTGGAAGATGGCTCACCAATTGCGTCATGACCCTGCAGGAGTGGAACTACATGAGGGGTGGCCTGTCAACCATTGACAGGGATTATGGTATCTTCAACAAGATTCATCATGACATTGGAACACACGTGGTTCATCATCTGTTCCCTCAAATTCCCCACTACAACCTTACAGAAGCGGTGAGTTCACAGTATATTGTATAGTAAGGAAACTTCAGGAAGTAGCCTGAGATGTCTGTGCCAGTTTTGTTGATTCATTGCGAGCATCCATCTCACTACCTTTTTTTTTCATGCAGACGGAGGCGGTGAAGCCAGTTATGGGAGAGTACTACCGTGAGCCAGAGCCCAGCCCTGGCCCGATTCCCTTCCACCTATACAGGCCTCTCTATAAGTCCTTCAGCGAGGATCACTATGTCCCAAGCGAGGGTAACATTGTGTTCTATGAGAAAGATGAGAAGTTGTAGAAACCAGGCATCCTGTTTGTGTTGCTATTTAATTCAAGCCTCCGCTGACTCAAAAGGCTGAGGACTTCTCTTCAAGTCTTTGCTAATTATCATTTGGTTCAATTATCCCATTTAAGTGGGATAATAATGGCACTGCTCGAACTACCCCTACTTCATGCTCACTGAGTTTATGTATGATCCCTTGAATCTTACAAGGGACAGAACAGTAGATGAACTTCTGCACAACATCCAGTAAAAAACACGGGGCTAACTCAAGTTGAATTTTTTGCCTATTTTTGCTAGTGCAGTCCCAGTTTTGGGCGTTTGTAACGCGTAAACTTGTGACGCATCTTGTCCCGAACGTACCCTCAAAACAGTTGACATGATAAGCCCCCCGGAGCTAATAAAAATTCCTTGATTACAATACAAGCCCCTGTCAGAATGAGAACTACAGCGGAATGTGTTGCATTGACAGAATTGGGGTACATAACCTAACCCTAACTAGTTGTACCCCATATAGCCCAACCCACTACAGGCTATAATATTTGACACACCCCCATAGCCTAAGTGGGGAAGGCCAATCAACAACAAGCAACCTACGGTCACAAGACCAGTCAAAAGCAAGAGAAAGAAAACAAAGCTCAGGGTGGATCACAACGTCACCACCTAATCTGAGCACAAGCAAAGGGCCACAAGGCCAGTCCAAAAGTGTGCAAACAAATATATATAAGGTACAAGCAAGCAACAGACAAAGAGCACCCTACAGCAGTCAACTAGACCCAGTCTCAACGAGGCCTAACTGCAGACAAAACCGGCGGTGGTCACAAGGCTGGAGGGCCTTGGTGAAGATGTCTGCAGTGTTGGCCTCGGAGGCCACAAACTCCAGACGAGCCTGCCCGCGTCTCTGCAACTCTCGAAGGAGGAAGTACCTGACGTCGATGTGCTTCACTCTGCTCTCCAGTCGAGGCTCACGACACAGGAGAATCATCGCCTTGTTGTCAGCAAACAAGGTCGGTGCAGAGCTCGGCCGCTCACCAAGGTCAGTGAGCAAGAAGGTCAACCAGCGTAGCTCCTGTGCAGCGAGGGCTCCAGCGTAGATCTCGGCCTCTGCGGTAGAAGTCGCAACAGAGGAGGACCGAGTAGACCTCCACGAAACAGCTCCAGAGCCCAGGCTGAAACAGTAACCCTGTGTAGACCTCTGTGACTCAACGTCGTCGGCGTAGGAGGAGTCGCAGTGACCGGTGAGTACAACTGGCTGTGTCCCTCCAAGTACAAGCCCCATGTCTGATGTCGCGCCGAGGTACTTCGCCACCCTCTTAGCCGCCGCCCAGTGAACAGGACGGTGTCTCCCTGTCGCAACAAAGCGAGAAAGGATGCTAAGAGGGAAGGCGAGGTCCGGGCGAGTGCACGTCATCAGGTACATGAGGCAGCCCACCAACTCTGCGTAGGGACCACTAGGCTCGAACGGCTCGTCAGGAAAAGGCCCAGTGAGTCTGTGGTCTACAGCAAGAGGGGTGGGAGGAGGAGAGGAGTGCTGAAGCCCGAACCGCTGAAGGACCTGCTGCACCATGTGTGACTGAGTCAGAGTGATGGTGCGAGCGGCTCTGTCCCTGGAGATCTGCAGGCCAAGGTAGCGGCGCAGTTCCCCAAGGTCAGTGCAGGTGTGTCTCTTCTGCAGTTCGGACTTCACCTCCGCCAGTGCAACTGTGTCGGCTGTGGCAAAAACCAGGTCGTCAACGTAGACAAGAACAAAGAAAGGTGTGCGCCCACGACGAACAAACAGCGACGGGTCGGCGGAAGACGGCTCAAACCCAAGGTCGGACAGAGTAGAGCGGAGAGTGTCGTGCCACTCACGGGGTGCCTGGCGGAGACCGTAGACCGGTCGTCTGAGGCTCCACTGGGTCCCAGGCGGGAAAGTGCCAGTGAAGCCCGGAGGACGACGCAGCCAGATCTCCTTGTGTAGGCTGCCCTGCAAGAAGGCAGTGGAGAAGTCGAGAGAGTGTAGCTCGTAGTCTCTCTGCGCTGCTACGTGCAGTAACACCCGAAGAGTGGTCATCTTCGGGGTGGGCGCAAAGGTCTGAAAGAAGTCAACTCCCTCACGCTGACTGAAACCTCTAGCCACGTAGCGTGCCTTGAAGACTGGAGGAGATCCTGGCGGCCCGCTTCACCTTGAAGATCCACATGCCGTCAACAATGTTCGCCCCTGGGGGGGGAACCTCGTCAACGTAAGTGCCTGTGGACCTGTAGGAGGCCATCTCTGCGTCCATGGCAGCTCTCCACTGAGAGGCCCAAGGCCCTGACACTGCCTCAGCGTAAGTGCGAGGAGTAGGTATGTCAGGAGCGTCGGGGTCTCCCTCAGGAGCGAGCAGCATGGCACAGAGATGAGGTGAAGCGGCTGCCAGGAACTCTAGCTCAAACTGTCTATCCTCTAGGACGGCACAGCCAAGGGCAAACTCACCCCCGGCGGACAGAGGACGGACAGGAGGAGCCGCCACAACGCGAGTGGCGTAGTCAAGGCGACGCGTAGCAGTAAAGTCTGTGACAGCGGCAGTGAGGACCGCGACGGAGGAAGGAGAGGCACGAGGGTCTGTAACAAGAGAGGCGAGAACACGAGAGAGAGTGGGGCGGTACGTGCGGTAGTAGTCAGTGACCGGAGTGGACAGGGAGGCAGTGAGAGACGACTCAGGAGGACGAGGAAGAACAGACGGAGGAGAACGAGGAGGACTAGGACGAAACAACACGGTACGAAGGTCACGGACAGGTGACGAGGGACGAGCACGAGGAGGACGAGAGGCCCAAGTGTGGGAGAGAGGAGTGGGAGACGGAGCGGGAGACGGAGGAGACTGAGAACGAGGGAACACAGCCGGAGCTGAGTCCGGAGGAGGAAACGTCGGACCGAACACAGGAGGAGAGGAGGAGGGGAGACCAAGGGCCCGAAGGCCAGTAACAGAGGCCGGAGGCTGCTGCTCCTGCTGCTGCGGCTGCTGCTGCTGCTGCTGTTGCTGCTGCTGCTCCCGCTGCAACTCCAGCCTCTCACGCTCCACCCGCTGCTGAACCTCCAACCTCTCACGCTCCAAACGCTGCTGCTCCTCACGCTCAAGACGAAGACGGGTCTGGTGTCGAGTCAGGTAGGGGTGAGGAGGAGGAGTGGTGTCAGGAGACGAAGAAGAAGAACCGGCTCCGCCCTTGACAGTACCCGGCTGAGAACCCCCAGAGCGTGTACCCCCTGCGGCAGCACGACTAGCACCTGTAGGAGGTGGACCCGCACCCCCAGTCGTGGTGCCTCCAGTGGCACCAGCACCAGCCTCAGACTCTCCAGCTCCAGAAACACCACCAGCTCCAGCACCACCACCAGCTCCAGCACCCTCGGAACGGGCAGCCGCGGCAGGTGCACGCTCAGCGCCAACGCCAACACCCCCAGAACGGGCGGCTCCTGTAGGTGCACGAACAGCTCCAACGCCAGCACCCCCAGAGCGAGCACCGCCAGAGCCCTCACCCCGAGCACCAACACCCTCAGAGTCCGCAGTGGCCGGTAAAGGAAGCGCTGACGGCTGCTGCGGAGGCTGTGAGGACGACTGTGGGGAAGGAGGAGAGACCTGGGGGGGTACCGAGGGGGGGGGAGTAGCGTGGGACACACCAGACGGAGCAGGACCAGGGGGGGGTACCGGAGGAGCAGGGGCGGGAGGAGGAGGAGGTGGAGCCAGGAAGAGGGGGGGGGGGGGGGGAACCGGGAGACCTCGACAGGGGTACCGGACGTAGTAGGGGACAGACTCGTCGAAACGGACGTCACGAGAGTCAAAGAACCGGTGGGAGGGAGGGTGGTAAAAGGTGAAGTCAGAGGAGGCCTCAGGGAAACCAAGGAAGACACAGGGGACGCCGCGAGGTGAGAGCTTGTCCGCAGAGGTGTCGCGGACAAGCGCCAAGCAGCCCCAGACACTAAACCTCGACGCAACACCAGGGGACCCTGTCCAAAGACTGGTCGGTGAAGCCCCTGGCCGAGAGACGCGAGGCCAGAGGTTCAGCTGGTGAGCGGCGTACCGAGCCGCGTAGGGCCACAGAAAATGGGGCGCGCGGGCGTGGATCATGGAGGTGCGGGCAATCTCCATGACCAGGCCTAGCCGGCGCTCAGCAACCCCATTCTGCTGTGGAGAGTCTGGAAGAGTCCAGGACTGGGTGATGCCCTGCTCAGCACAGAATCTGGCGAGAACGCCGGAGCGAAACTCACCCCCACGGTCGGAGTGGAGACAACTGACACGACGACGACGAGTACTCTCGGTGGCGAGCAGCCACCGGATCAGCGTAGAAGTCACGTCGGACTTCTTCGCCAAAGGGAACACGGTGGTGTACCGAGAGTAGTCGTCAACGACCACTAGAAAGAAGCTCTCTCGCTCAGGGCCAAGCCGGGAAGCGGGGCCCCAGACGTCTAAGTGGAGTGTCTCAAAGGGCTCGGAGGCTGGACGAAGGGAGGAGGAGTGAGGAGTGGCGCGCAGCCGACCCTGGACACAAGGACCGCACGGAGGAGCGGGGGACGGCGGGAGCGGCGGGAGGTCGCGGGGGAGGCCTAAGACAAGACGCTGACTGGACATAGCGCGGAGACGAGAGAGGGACGGGTGACCAAGGCGGTGGTGCCAGAGGAGGACAGGGTGGGACAGCGACCGACACGAGCACGACGCAGCCACTAGACCTGGCACAGCTACCTGACTGGACCTGGCTACCTGGTGGGACGGGGGAACCGGACGGGTGTCGGTGTGGAGGGTGTACAGACCAGAGCCCGACTCCTGACGAAAAGTGGCCAGAGGGGCGTACGTGTCACCGTCCACACAGACTGCAGTGTCACCAGAAGGCTCAAACCAGACCCCGACGTGCTGTCTCGCCAGAGGAGCCACACCAACCAGGTTCCTAGAGAAAGTAGGAACGTGGAGGCCGGTCAGAGAACCGGAAGGGGCAGCTGGGCACGGGAGGGTAGTGGCGTGAGTCGCAATGACCGGTCCCGAAGAGGGATCAGCCAGTGCTACAGGAAC